AAACTCACATTTAATCCATAAATGCAACCCCCCTCCAAACCTGTATAAAAAAGTTCTCAGTGTTGATTGCCTTTTAAAGCCCCTGTAGGGAGTTTTTAGCTGCCGTGTTACGAAAGATTTCTGAATTGCAAGAAAAGCGAGTATTAGACCAGCTGATCGACACTTGGCTGAATAAACATCTTCTTTACTTTTATCACAGTAACTAATATATTTGATTAAAGGATAACAGAATGAGATTTTTTTTTGCCAACAATCACTTCTGTGACTACAGGTGTTGTTCACAAAATAACACCTGTTCAACATATAGAGCTTTAATATCAACGTGGAAAATACCCCCCTCCTTTCCTGAGCAAAAGAAGAGTTACAACTTACAAAGTGATCATCAAAACCCTCTACCAGCAAGAAGTTGCTTTTTAAGTGTTTTTCAGCATGTTGTTGACTCACTCAGCATGTTGTTCTGCTCTGAGCACATGACCTCTGACCTCTGACCCAAACAGCAGCAAGGGAACAGAGGATCTCTCCAACAACACTTGGAGGCAGCAGTGAAGTGGGTCATCTCTTAGTGGATTCCAGCTCCTGTAGTCACAAGCTGAAGTGTCCTTGGGCTAAACGCTAATTTGGGCCTGAGCCGACACTGCAAGCAGCGTGCGAGAGCCCAATTGAAATTGCAGGAAAAAATTAATGTCATAACTGTCATACTTAAATATGACATTTTTAGCATACTATTCTATTACATTTTTATATACTATACTATGACTTTTTTCATATTATGACTTTTTTTTCTCATTACATAAGATGAAATTTTTATCATATTATACTGTGACATTTTTTTATACAAAAGTATGACATTTGTTTTTAAACTAAAATATGATTTTTTTAACATACTGTACTATGACATTTTTATAATACTTTACTATGACCTTTTTTTCATACTAAAATGTGAAAATTTTAAACATACTATTCTATATCATTTCTATCATACAATCCTGACATTTTTTTATGCTATACTATGAAATTTTATCATACTATACTTTGAATTTTTTTTTCCATTCTTACATATGAAATTCTCATCATACTATACTATGATATTTTTTTCATACAGCAGTAGGAACTTTTTTCATATCAAAATATGAATATTTAAACATACTGTACTATGACATTTTTAGCATACCATACTTTGACATTTTTTCATACTAAAATGTTCAATTTTAACATACTATACTTTTACATTTTTCCATACTTAAATATGAAATTTTTTATACTTAAAATATGGAACTTAAACAAACTTTACACAAACTTTACAAAAACCTGACAATTTTTGGCACCAAAATATAACATTTTTATTTGATAACTTATATGAAATTTTTAACATACTATACTATGACTTTTTTTTATAAATATATTAAATTATGATTTTTTTTCATACTAAAATGTGAAATTTTAACATACCATACAATGACATTTTTATCATACTCTACTATGCCTTTTTTAATTCCAAAATATAATTTTTTTGATTAAATTTACTTTGACATTTTTATCATACTATACTATGACATTTTTAGCATACCATACTATAACATTTTATCATACTAAAATACTAAAATTTTTAACATACTATACTTTTGACATTCAAATCATTCTATACTTTGACTTTTTTTTAACGTACTTTGCTATTACATTTTTATCATACTAAACTAAGGCCTTTTTTATAGTATGCTGAAATTTTTGACATACCTTACTATGATATTTAACAACATACTATACAATGACATTTTTAACAAACTCTACTATGACATTTTTTCATACTAATTTATGATTTTTTTTTTCCATTCTAAAAAATGGAATTCAAACATACTATACTATGACGTTTTTTGGCACCAAAATATGACATTTTTTTCAAACCAAATATGAATTTTTTAACATACTAAACAATGACATTTTTGAGCACCAAAATATGACTTTTTTTTTTTAAACCTTTATATGAATTTTTTATACAATGATATTTTTTTAATCAAAAAATATTTTTTAATACTAAAATCTGAATTTTTTTACATACTGCTATGACATTTTTAAACACGTGATACTATGACCTTTTTTTATTCAAGAATACGAATTTATCACAATATACTTTTTTAAAATAAACTTTACTATGTCATTTTAATCATACTATACAATGCCCTTTTTTATACAATACAATGACAATTTTTAACATACTATACAATGACATTTTTATCAAATGTACTATGACAATTTTTTACTTACTAAAATGTAAAAATGTTAACTTACTTTAATTTCACATTTTAATCACACTATACCATGACATTTTATTCATAACATGTTTTTTTTTTACAAACATTACTGTCCTTTTTACAAAAAACGTTTTTTATGCCAAAATGTAATATTTTAAACAGACTTTACTATGACTTTTTTATACTATACAATGACAATTTTTAACATACATTTTTTTTCATATTAAAATATGAATATGAAAATATAACATTTTCAACAAACTATACTTTGACATTTTATCATACCAGACAATGACATTTTATTCATTCTATACTTTTTCACACTATACTATGACATTTTTTAACATACTTAACCATAAAATTTTCAACATACTAAATTGCCAAAAATTAGTAAAAAAATAAAATATGTTTTTTTACTAACTAAACAATGTCATTTTTAAGTAAAATAAAATATATATGTTTTTGAACTTTCTAACATACATGCATTATTAACAGACTCTGCTCTGACATTTTATAATTCTTTACTTTGAATTTTTTCTCATACTATACTATGACATTTTTTTCATAGTAAATATGACATTTTTTTCATACTCAAGTATAAAATTTTAATCATTCTCTTTTATGACTTTTTTTATTCTATACTATGACATTTTTTACATAGTTTGCTATGACTTTTTTATAACTTACTATCAAATTTTTTTACATACTTAACTTTGACATTTTCATCAAACTTTTCTTTAACAATTTTTTTCATTCTATGAGTTTTTTTTTCATACTTAAATATGTGACTTTTAACATACCAAACTATCACATTTTTAAACATACTACACTATGTTATTTCATTCATACAACAATATGCATTTTTATCACACTATTCTATGACATTTTTTCGTACCAAAATATTAAATGTCTTTTTATACTAAAATATAAAATATTTGTTTTACATCTTTTACTTTGTCATTTTTATTAACGTAATGTTTTTTTCAAAATATGTTTTTAATTTTTTTCTGACGAAAATATAAAATTTTCAACAAACAATACTTTAACATTTTTATCATACTATACTTTGCATTTATTTTATACGGAAATAAAAAAAAATTCAAACTAAAATGTGAAAATTTTTTACATACTATACTATGACATTTTATTCATCTTTTGCTATGCCTCTTTTTTAACATACATAACTATGACATTTTTATCATACTATACAATGACATATTTTAAAAGTAATTTAACATATTTTACTTTGGCATTTTATTATACTATACTATGACATTTTGTTGGCACTAAAATATGACATTTTTTATACCAAATAGAAAATTTTTTACAAACATTGACCTTTTTTTTTAATATATTTACATATGTTTTTCTTTTCATTCCAAAATATCACATTTTTTATTGTTCCAACTATTTTATTTTCTTATACCAAAATATGAAATGTCTTTTTATACTTAAATATGATTTTTTTAACATACATTTTTTTATTATACTATACTAGGATATATTTATCATACTATACTATCATATCTTTATCATACAATATTATGATTTTTATCATACTTAAATAAAATTTATTGACATATTATACTGTTAATTTCCTTTCACACTAAAATGATAAATTTTTATCGTACTATACTATGACATTTATTATGCCATACAATAATATCTTTGTCGGCAACTTTGTGCAGATTTGTTCTCTGCCATGCTAGACCCAGAATGAACAAAAGTTGATCTAAGCTAGAGCTGCACAAACTGATTGACACTTATACCTTGATATATACTGATAGATCTGCTTTATTGTACAAACCTTAGCTAAACTCTGATCCCACAGATATTGATGACTTTAAAGCTGATTTGTAAGTGGTGTTATATGCACTCCAATAGGCACTTCAATAATACTGCAGAAAATGGTAGAAAACATCATAACAACCTGCAGATGTCATATTAAATTTTCTGATTTGTAAATTCTTGAGCTTTGATAATAAATCTTTTCTCCAGCTTTCTCTTGTTTCTTTGTTTTCTAAATTCCAGTAATGATATTTTGCCTAACCGTGGATGTGTAATAAAAGTGTGTTGAGTTTAAGAGTTAATTTCTACAAAAGCTGTTAATGTAATTTGTAATTATGAAAAACACATGTAGAGTTATTTTAAAACACCTGATATTTACTTTTTTGTTTCTGTCTGGTAGGAAGAAGTTTGAAGCGATTAATGTATGTGGGAAAGATTGAAGTATATCCTGATCAAAGTTTCTGAAGCTTGGTTTTAAATTCAACTTTTTTTTTTTTCTTTGAAGGATTAAAATGACTCTCTTATTGTTAATTCTGTTCTTTGGATTAATTTGCGGGTTAGGGACGGGTCAGTAGATACCTGATAGGATGAAGTAAGGAGTGACAAATGGCAACAGGCTGGACTTGAACCTGGACTATAGCCTCTACATTTGAGGTTTGTGGTTAGACCACTTAACTCAGCCAACTCCTGATCATTGAAAACTCAAGCTAATAAGGGTCATGACATGAGCCTTCTGTTGAATGGTTGCCATGTTTGAATAACTGACTCATTATTTGGCCGTAAAGTTTATCTAAAAGTGTTTGATTCTGCTGCTTAAGAGACGACAGGATCATAAACTCAAACTTGAATGCAGTAACTGGAAGAAATGTCACCTACTTTGTTATAATGCTTCACTTCTCCGTCATAAATCCAAGAGGGAACTGTTTCTCTCAAGAACTTTGGAGTAAAAGGAAGACAAGGATGTGCACATACTAAGTTGCTTTTATTAATACAGAACTGCATGCTACAGAGACTGTACAGCATAAACATTTATTCATTACAAAAAAACATGGTTTTGGAACCATTTAAAATAACAGGAAAAAACAAACAAACAAAAAGATAAGAGCATAAAATAGAACAGGAACATCACAGCCGTTAAGGAAACATTCAAACTATTTATCATTAGCATCTTAATAAACCAGAGAAGAAATCGACAGATTACAGTCGCGTCATGTCAACTACAATGGCACCGAGTGGATGATTCTCTTGTAGCTTTTTTTACAGCCTCTTGCAACATCAACATGCCTATTTTTTCTATCTACCTATATGTAGTAGTGTACTTAAAAGTGGCAGTTTGTGTATTTTTTTTGTATTTAATAGTTTTTTTATGAACTTCCTAATATACATAATTTGGCCCTTGTGGGTTTATACAGTATGATGTCCGCCTTTTTATTAAGTTTAAATTTTAATATTTGACAATTTGCTACCAAACACATTTGTTATAGCAACATTTATACTACATACATAGCAATCTATGTAACGTCACAGCAAAGAATGGTATCGAAATTAAAAAAAAAACAAAAAAAAAACAAACAACAACAAAACAAAACAAAAAAAAGATCCCTACAGCGTGGTTAGAGAGGGGCAGAGAAAATTATCACAAAATTTGGCACGGAAAATCTGTACACGAATCTACAGTCTGAGAGATGTGACTGTGCAATAAAAAAGAAGGGCTTTAGACACGTTTCCAACTACTGAAGACACGGTACCCACTGTCTCTTGTTTCAAGTTTTTCTTTTCTTCTTTTTGTAAAATGGCTTATAGACGCATTTGTTGAAATGAAGTTGTGCATACTTCTGTTCATGAGATCTACACAGTACACTGAGTGGAATCCAGGTTTTCAGCAAGGAAAGAAATCAATAACAAAAAGATTTTGCCTTTTTAAAACCTCCTTGTAAAAATGGATCATTCATATATAAGTCGCTTACCTTAAGAAAAAATATTTGTACAATGTATTAAGAAAAAAAAAGGTCAAAAAGAGACACATACAAGATACAACAAGCAATCTCTAAAGCAATAAATACTACTGGTCCTAGCGTTGTGACATTTTGAATTTAATAACCCTCAACCCTCCCACCCCGACCTCCCCTCAAGCCCACCCAACTTGCCTGACTCCACCCCATAGGTAAACAACAAAGAAAAAAAGACAACGCAGTGGAAGAATGCATATTTAACACAGTAATCCCCCCCTCCCCATTATTCTGTACATTTAAACAAGAACAAGTAACATCACAATTAAAGTTGTTCCTCAGAGAGGTGTCACCGCTAGCCTCATGCCCTCTGAGAGTTTGAACTGATGTCAGATGATTGGTTCGCGAGCTCGTATTTAATACAAATAAAGAAGGAGAACCAACTCTTTCAAGAAAAGGGCTCATTGAATAATCTAGCCTACCTTTTTATATCCGTCTTTTAAACATTTCAAAGTTGAACTAAATAATTTTTTCTGTTTGCACTGTTGAACACTACAAAAAAGACAAAACAAAAGTCATAAAAATTTTGGCAGATTCACAAAGCTATACTACAGCTCATTGTATCATTTCTTTATAATAATTAGATTTTTTTGATAATGATGGGTCAAATATTGACCAATGAACTTTAATAAAACAAGAACTAAAATTTCAAAGCCTTATGGCACAGAAACAGAAAGAGAAAAAGAGCTGACGGTAAGTGAAATATAGCAGAGTGAGGGCCTAGAAAGGTGTGTGTGTGCAGAGCTAGAAAAGAGGAGAAGAATAGGGCAGACTATTCTATAGACTTGGTCACTAGCGACAGAGGCTGAGGGGCCGAGGAGGGGAGGAGCGAGTGGGAATGACACAGCGATGCCGAGGGCCGGGCCATCGAGGACGCCACAGAGGAGCCCGGCTGCCGCGAGGACGAGACGTCGCCGCCGTGCTCCAGGGCTCCGTTGTGGGAGGAGGCGCCAGGCGTTTTGCTAGCTGCAGCGGAGTTTTCCAGCTGAACCAATGATGGCGGAGGCCCAGCCAGGAGGTGCGGGTGGTGGAGTGGCTGGTGGGCCGGTTTCATAGTCAGTGAGAGAGGTTGCATTTGTTCAGTCTGAGGTTTGGACTCTTTTGAGGAGGGGGAGGGGACCACTGAGGAGGGGGAGGATGGGGGGGAGTCTAGTAAGCTTCCGTCCGTAGAGGGAGGACTGGCACAGCTGCCTTCACCTTGGATGTAGCGAATGCACTTTTTTTTTCTCCTGAGGGACAAGGCAAGAAAAAGAAAACATTTTTTAGCACCACATCTTCGACACGGATTGCCTCTTAGCACTGTTGCTGACTTAAATGCACCTTTGACGTTTGAATTAAAAAATAAAACAAGTTTTCCTCTATCCCCTTATCGCAAATATCTTAACGCCCAATTCTGTAAATTTTTGGCAAGACGTTCTCCAAAACTGAGTGATACTTTTGTTTCCTGTAGTTGGATCTTTTCAAGATGCATTTAAGCAGCTCTGTGAACTTTGTGCTAAGAGGAAAGTTTGGCGTTGATTTCCAAATACAGAACCATCAGACAGGACAGACATGAAGGAAAGGTCAAAGGTGAAGCACCTGGACAGGAAGCGGCAGGGAAATTAAAGCACATATAGAGGTAAGGATGAAGATGAGGATGTAAGAGAAGGATATGAAGCAGTTTAGATGGAGTAATGGTTGCTCTCTGGATGTAAAACCAGCCTCTCTTACAGACAGAGCTACAGCTGGGGGATCAGCCTTCTTTTTTTTTTTTTCTTCTCTCCAGCAACACGAGGTTACTGGACCTGTCTCGCTCCTCTACCTCTACTCTCTCTTCTCCTGAGGGGACAGAGTTTGGATACGAGGCAAATACTAAAAAAAAAAAAAAAGTCAACAAGATCCTACACTACAGTGCAATCTGCCCCACAGACACGAGTGTGTGTGCGTGAGGGGTCAAGGCACCATGTTTGCATTCTCGCCAGGGGTCGGGACCCTCCCCCCCTCTGCATGCCGAGTCCTGAGGCCAGGCCCGTTTGTGCTCGGTGGAACCCGATGGATGAGCACAGGAGGAGGGGGGGGAGTTAAGAGAGAGTGAGGGTATTGTTGCGTTTATGTGTGGTGACTCTGCTGTGTTCGGATTTGGTTAAGGGGGAATAGGCTATACAGTACATCTGCCCACTTCATCTTTAGCCTGACCCTGGCAGTGACCTCTCTCTCAGCTCTCAACTCTATCATTTTGACGCCCGGAGGCCACAGAGTATAAGTATTTAAAACTAGGAGTGAGTAGGTAAAAAGACCAAGGTGTTCGGAAAAGAAAGGAAGCAGCCTTTGAAAAACACACGGCTGATCTTGAGTTAATTTGAGTTATCGAATCAAACCTCCTCTATGAATTTTAAAGCCTATATTTAAACCCTAAAAGAGAGCGCAGATAACTGAGGATAAGAAGAGAAAAAAAATCACATGAAAAGGGCCAACAAAACCTTGGTTGCATGCTAGAGTGAAAGACAGACATGCACTTGTGATAAGTACAACAACACGGGACAGTAAGGAAGACTAAAAGAAGTCTGGAAAAAACAGGGATGAGGCTTTTAAGTGCACCCTGCACTGATACTGCAGCAGTGGGTGGTGCGGGGCGTATCGACCGGCCGTAAAAAGGTATCATTTTGCCACTACATACACATCTTGCCCTCCATAACTGTCTGTCAAACTGCAACAAATGAGCTAATATCCATTTTTTAACAGACATATCGATTCATAGTATGTGCCCGTGTATGTTATTGATTTCTCCCTCTCGGGGGAAATTACACCAGATGCATCTTTTAGGAAATGGAGCCCAGAGAGAACTTTTAACCTCTCGGCTCCTCGGATGGAGACGGAATCACTGCGCTTTTCAGATCTCTTATCGTTGTTTAAGAAATAATGGAGCATTTTCGATAATATCAGTGTTAAGAGAGGCAGATTGAGACGACAGAGAGATGGACTGAAGAGACGGGAGATTCAATGTGTGTAGAAATAAGCTTATCAACTGCCCAGTATTGCCTCTTCAAGTGGTAGAAAAATACAAAAACCATCAAAATTTCGGACAAAGGCGGACAAACAAGAAAGGAAAGGTGTAGCACCAGAAACGATGAGAAACGATGTGTTGTGATGGCTGGTTGTGTCAGAAAAAGAGTGGGGCAGGGTGTGGTGCAAGCCAGACACAGAGAAGGGTATTACTTAGCAGAAACAAATACCTACCATGAAAATATTCCCAATTCAAAGACTGCTTGTGTCAGAACAGAAAGACAACAGGTAGGGACTAAGTAAGGGTTATTGAAGAGGAGTTTGGAGGAAGAGAAGGAGGAGGAGGAGGAGGAGGAAGAGGGCACAGAAAAGAGTGTCACTGAGCAGGCCCTCATAGAAAGCAGGGCTAAATTTGTAAGCATAACATTGTTATTCAAAAAGGACGCCAATTAGAACAAACATGACAGTTAGGATGGGAGGGAATTATCCACAGCCCGGGGAGAAAATGGATTTCAACCATAACAAGTTAGATCGTAAAGAAGTGTTACTCCAAATTACATTAGGAAATCAAGATCTTCCAGCCAGATATTTTGAGATAAAACGTTCGAGTAATCTTATTTTCAAATCCATTTTCTGCCGCTTGGCTTGAACTGAGTTTAATAAGGAAAAATTGCTGCGAAGGAATTTATAGCAGGAAGCTCCTCAGTGAGGATATAAGGAGCAGAGAAGTTTGCCATCTGTTACCGCACTGATGGAAACATGTAAAAATCTAGGAGGAGAAGAAGAAGCTGCTCAAAGTGGATGTCTTCCTCCCATTTGGTACTACAGCAGTTATACCTGCATGGTTTGCACCATAAACTCAGCTGGTCAAGCCCGAACAAGGCACGACACTTCTTTGGGGTATTTGCATCTGTTAGCCAAAGAGGTAGACACAAACATACACACAGAGACAAAAAAAAAAAGAAAACAAAAAAGGAAAAAGAAAGAAAAAAATGGACACGTCATTGCACAGACAAAAACATGTAGCCAGGGCTTAGGTTTAGGCTGGTAAACACTGGGATGTCCTCCATATCTGACTCCAGATCCTCCAAGCCCAGACCTGCCAGTTTCTGACCAATCTCAGTGAGGCTTTTTGAACTTTTAAAATCCTGCAATACAACCCCAGAAATGATCCTGCATCAACACACAGACACCATTCACACAAACACTTGTGGCGGTTAAATGTGAACGCCCTCCATCCCCATAAAAACAGAAGCTACAAATTAACAGTGATAGCCTGGAGATAGACCGGCAGGGCGTGGCTGGAGGAAGCTGAGAGGTCACAGTAGCCTGACGGAGCAGACAGAAGGAAGGGAAAGAGAGGACGAGGCAGCAGCAGTGTGCAAAAAAAAAAAAAAAGAGAGGAAGTCCCAGTGTACAGTTACCCAGCAGCCTTCACCTGGCCCCGGCTGGTGCAAGCACACACCATACACACCTGCACGGGCCACACCAGTTATTCTGTTGGTCGAGCCCAAAGCGCGCTCGACACTTCTTAGGAGCGCTCAGGTCTGATGCCGCAACAGGGAGGGGAGAAGCCAGCAGAGAGGAAGAGTAGGAGAAGGAGGAGGAGAAGGTATAGAACCAAAAACCAAAACCATAAGGAACAGAAATCCAAAAAGGAGGAGAGAAATAAGGAGAAAAAACAGGTAACAGTGAATCTATGAAGCTTTGCAGTGGCTCATTGTGCAAGAAATCCCCTCTTAAAAAAACCCTCAAAGCCATTCTCAAGTGTGCCTCCAAAGATAGGACTGAACACAAAACTAGAGTTTCAGACGTTAGTCAAATCAAAACGCATGCAAATCATCAAATTAAAGCATTGACATGTGAGAAAAAAAAAGCTGCTTTTAAGTCAAAGTCTCTAAACTGACTGGAGTTAAATTTGCAGGTAAGATGAGCTTTTTCAGTCTCGAGGATAAAAACGGAGCAAAATGCAGAGTAGATTAACTCGCTGCTAGATGTTATCAGTGCACTATGGTTTCAAAAAGACAAGGTCAGAGTGGTAGAACTAGGCAGCAGGCGGCTAAAAGCGTGGTGGTGGGTGAGTTAGCCCTAGCCAGGGGGAGGATTAAAAAGGCTGGAACCTGAAGAGGGGGAATCTACTCTTCAGACCTGGCATCAAACACTTGACTGTTTTCCATTAACTTTGGCTGTCCATTACAGATTACAAAAAAGCTGCCAGTCACTTCAGCTCTACCCAATAATTGAGCGGTATTTAGCGGTCGAGCGGAGTGACAGCAGGATGTTGTAGAGTTCGAGTCCAGGCCTTATATGAGTAGAGAGATTTAAAGTGGGCCAAACTCATGCTGGCCTGTAGGAAGAGGCTCAAGTGCGGCTACTGCAGCGTATAGATTAAGGAGGTTTACCCTGACATCACATCCTTCTGCTCATACTCCACAATCTAACTTTATGTCTTCACTTCCTCAAACATACTGCATAATGATAATCCCAAATAACTGTATGTGCTATACACTAAAGATCAACATGAGTAATCAGAGGTAAATTAAATTAACTATCATGTAAACATTGAAACATTTAATAATTAAAATAAAGCAGCAAACAAAGCAAAAAAGAGCACAATAAAGAATTTAATCCTGTCTATAATAATAATAATAATAATAATAATACAGCAATCATTGATGAATAAATAGACATTAATTAAGAATAAAAGAAGAAAAATAAAACAAGTTAGTAATTTAATACTCAAAATGACATTAGCACCTGTAATCGGAGGGAGTGAAAGGCAAGGGTTTGGAAAATATTCTCTGTGTTCTGAAAAAAAGAACAGATAGAGAGGCCTTCAAGAAGAAATCCGTCACCAAACAAGCGCAAAAAATAACAAGTCGCCATGTCTCCTCACAACACGATCAGAAGATTATGAATCATGAAATTAAATCAAAAAATGAAAGAGTCAAAGATAAATCATAGAGGGAAAATTAGCAAACCTCCTTAATTTTAAAGGGGTGAGTGATTTTTTTTTTTATTTTGTCTTAAGCATGCACGAAAGCAAGCAAGGGGCAGCCAAGAAGCACAACACACACACACGTACACACAAGCTCACTCACATACAGTACTGTAGTGCAGTCTATCTGCAGGGCACAGGCATTATAAAACGGGGTGGGAGGGGGGCACGCACACAACACCAGCAAAGTTAATGGCTTTCACAATGCTTCAACTTCACATTCTCAAAACATACATATCACAATACCAGAACGCTAAGGGGCAAAACGGGGAGGGGGGGGGAGTCAGAGGGGAGGTGAGAAGGAGTGTGGGGGGGTCATGCATATTCAGTTGTTATTAGCTGGGGAAGGCTACGGGGGAAAATGGGAAAAGGGGTGGGGGGGGGGGGTATTACAAGCAACTCTACCATTTAAATATTGCATTGGGTAGCATATCTATACCAAAAAAAAAAAAAAGAAGAAAAGAAAAGAAAAAGCCAGGCACAATAACACACACACAAAAGAAACATAACACGCTAAAAAAACTAGCTTGACTTTTATCTTGCAACATGTCACATCTGCCTGACACATGATGGGGCTCTTCTAATATGAGAGATAATTGCAGCTCACTTACCATTGCTCTCTGCTTGCTGCTTTTCCCTTTTTCTCTTCTTCCTTTTCCCCTGTTGGTTAGCCGCCAAAAAAATAGAAAGAAAAAAATAGACACAGACAGGAACCTTAGTTATTATATTGCAGAATGCCCAAAACATGAAACAGAGAATAGGACTCATCTTTGTGTTTACTTATTTATTCATTCATTCTTTCTCTGCCTTTTCTTTTCTCTCTCTCTCTCTCTCTCTCTCTGCCCTCCGGTTTGTAACAGCCACTGCAGGCCAGACTACATCCTCCCTCCTCGCTCTTGTTTTCTGCTCTTTTATTCTTTTCTGTAATCTTTTGTCTTATTTTTCCTCTGCTCTGTGAACAGCCAGACTTCTTGACAAAATTCTTCTTCGGGAGGCAGAGCGCTCTAAGGCTGCTTGATCTGGTCAGTCTGATCCTAAAAACTGGACATTATTCATGAAAGCCTGCACACTTAAGCGCCAGAACAAAGTGTCTGAGGTGCGAAACCCTGTTTATGTCTGCAACATGTGCGAAGTTATCCTTAGTCTTTGTTACGAGATAAACCAGATCAGTCTCTGATGTACACAGGTAAACTACAGGTGGTCTCTGAGGCTATAAAAAAGCAAAACATACTCTAGTCATGTCACCTAGTGAAAAGAAGGAAAGAACCAGTTCTTCTTCCTCCCCCTGACGACTTGTAAACTTAAAAACTTACATAGTTGTCTCGTGCTGACCAGCCTGGGTACAGCTGCATGTGGAGCTGTCGCTCTTTCCTGGCCAGCTCGTAGTACTTGGCCTGCTCCTCCCGCGATAAGGCGTGCCACTGAGAACGACAGGAAAAGGGAGACGTTTTCACCACAAACTGGACAGACATCCACAGTAATAGGTCATCCTGTCATGGCAGACGGCTGTCCACCCGTTTGTGTGGTTTAAACCGTTTTTTCCTCGCTACTGTGACCAAGTGTTTGCTCATTTGTGTGGTCTCTCTTGAAATGCCGCTAACTTTTGCTTTCAAACTGAAACACAGATTGATCCTTGAGTATCGGACTCACCCTTCGCCCCAGAATCTGGTTGATGGCGGCACTTTCCTTCAGTGTGCACTCAGCCACCACTTTGGCCCGCATCTCCTTCATGTAGAGCATGAAGGCGTTCAGAGGCTTCTTTATGTGGACCTGTTTCTTCTTCTCCTCTTCCTTTTTAGCGTCTGACTGTTTCCTGCGGAGGACCAGAGAATCGACAAGCTCAGCAAAAACAGATCGAGAGTTTAGGCGAGACTTCGTTCAAACTCCAGTGAAAAGTGTACTCACGAGCTGTTGAGGGAGCTGATGTCGCTGTGGGAGGATTCCTGTTTGACGTTGGGTGTGACGATGGCGGGGTGTGGGATGCCCGTGGTGTGCAAACTGTGGTGGGGGGGCACCATGTGTGGGGGGAACCTAGAGGACAGAAGACTGTGTAAATCGTCAGAATGGACACGGGTGAAATGGGAAGATGGAAACACATGTAAACACAAGACTAAAAGGGCTCAATTCCATTTTAAAACTTTTAATTACATCTCAAACTTTTTTTTTTTCTTTTTAACAGAAATGGAATCGGCCTTTAGTCACAAAAAGACATAAGTGTACATACAAACATCCACATGAAAACGTCCAAGGCTGATTTCTGCTTTAGCGTTCACGACCAATTGAGATATGAGTGTCACATTATTTCATTGGACTACAGCCTGGACACAGAAGTATTACAACAAATCAAGTCAAACACACACAGTTCAATCTGATTTAAAAGCTTTTATACACAAGGACAAACCTTTTGTATGTCACATTTTAACAACCCACCCCAAAAAAAAAAAACCCTCAAACACTTCAGCCGAGTGTCGCTGTAATGAGAACCTTCATTGAGGTTAATCATAAACCTATTCACTTTCAATAAAACTTTTAGCTCGAGGACTCGTGCTAACAGAGAGGCTCTACAGACTGATGATATATCTGAATGATCAAGCGCTTCCAAGATGTAGACGAAGGCCTCTTATATGAGGTCTATAAAGGGGAAACATGAACTCAGATTTAAGAGAAATGGTTCGAATTACGATTTAAGAAGCAATGACAATGTCTTTCATCTGGAGACGATAAATGCCGACGACTTCACTTCAATTCAATTAATGAAACTACATTTTTCGCTCTCACTGATATGAAAATACCTAGTTTTGAGGGGGGAAAAGCTTGAACCATTATCTCTTTTCTTACATTTTGCAAACTAGATTAAAATCCTCTATCAAAGTCTAGTATCACTGCAGGTACTGGGTCTCCATTTGCTTCCCCCCCTGACTCTATTCTGCACATTCAGCACTGTCAGCAGCACTGACATTTTTATCTTCATGCCTCTACACTCCTATCATCATTTCATCTTCTCCAACCGCTCGGCATATCTAGTCCAGAAGCCCTTATTTTGGAATGGTTTCTCTGGCTGGAGCAGCCATAAGACACTGCTGTGCTGCTGCGCGTGTCACTGTCTATATCACAACGCTGATTATTCGCATCAGATTTGAGCGTCTTATCTGCATGTGTATGTATGTTTACAGCGCCTCGCCTGCTCCACGTGACCACACACAAATTTACAAGAAGAGAGGAGGATGAAGGAGAAGCAAAAGAAGGAGGAATAATTCTTTTTTTTTTTTTTTTTTTTAAAGCAGCTCATTATCCGGCTGTGTCTGGCTGCATGGCTCGGAGCCAGAATATAATGATGAGGATAAACTCGCCAGGAACAACTAGTTTCTGTTGGAGGCCATCTCAGGGGAGTGCCAGTGCGCTCCCCCCTCAAACTCTTTCCCTCTTTTTCTCCTTTCCCCTCTTCTCCCTTCATCACTGACACATTGGTGTTTGTGCCATGTCATGCGTTGATGGGGAGCTCGGCAGCACTGGCTGCATATCGCCCATCATTAGAGCTGCTGCATTTTCTCTCTGCTCACTCCGTTTCCTCCCTCCTTCTCTCTCTGTGCACTTGTTAAAATTTCCTCTGTTCCAAGATCTATTTTTTCTCTTCTTCTTCTTCTTTTTCTTCTTCTTCTTCTCCACTCCTCCCTGTCCCCTCACTACCTCCTTGCTTCCTCTCCCCCTCTTCCTCCCTCCCTCCTCCTTCTTCCTCCTCCCTGCTGCCACTGCATGGCCCAGGTTATGGTTTAAACATGACGGCCATCCCTTTGAAGCGAAGGGGCATCATCATCATCATCACCATCATCATCATCATCTGGGCTCATCAGTGGTGAGCAGCGCCTTGGACCAATTTAACCAACACAGAGAGAGAGAGAGAGAGGGACGCATCAGATAACCCCCACCCATCCTCCCATCTAACCCACAACCCCGGGGCTCCTACGTCTCAATCTGAAAGGTATGAATGGCTGGCGGTGTTCGGGTGAGGAGTGGGGGGGTCACTCTGGCAGCAAGCCCAGTGTCAGCCAGTGCCATTTAATTGCCAATGCGTAGCGGTAGCCCCCGTGCCTGTTTAATGTGTAATGATCCGGCCAGTGCACTTCTCCACGTTCCCGAGGAAAAGAGACGGAGCGGGATGACGGGGGAACATATCAAAGGGCAGGCTTCAGCATAAGGGGGCAAAAGGGGCCTTCACATCCTCCCACCTGTCACACACACACTTTAGCGGACCTGCACTGGCTCCAACCCCATTATCAAAATAATGTCTTTCATTTGCTCTGCTGTCTGTCTCTACTCTCCTTGGCTCTTTTCCCCCCTCTGTCCTAAAACGATGCATTTTTTAACAGGGACCTGGGTGTTAAGGTGCTCATTGCGGGACTACACGATACCAAGACTCGTTCCCTGCATCCTAATTCAGGCCGGGGCTGCAAGCGCAGGGGGACTGATACTGAAGCAGAGAGCTCCTGACAAGAGTACAAGGCCAGGACTTTTTTTTTTCCGTCCGATTTCCTTCTCTTGGTCTGCCCGCTACAAATCGTTTGAGCCATCACAACAGTCTGGTCCATTCTTTGAACAAAACCTACTGGCTGAAGGCTATTTTTCAAAAGGTATCTGACCGACTCTTACAAGATCCTCTCAACAACTTTATTTTTTTTACTCTCTGGTCTATCAAAACCAGATTTTTTTGATACACAAGGAGAGATGTGTTAAACCCCTCCATTCTCTAGAGAGCTCCCAGACCCCTCCATCTATTCAGTTATACTAATTCAATTAGGGGGCCTCATCACAGGGCATTAGCTCTTCCCCATGGCCATTCCCCCTCCCTCCTCAACACACGCCCCAGCTAGTATATTCAATTAACTACACTGGAAATAAGATGATCACAATGTAGAGGCTGTCATTAAGGGACCAAATTTGCAGTCACTTAAAGCCCAGGTTGGCCGGGTGCCGCTGCCAGATGCAGACGTCTGGGTAGACCGTCTGACCCTTTGTGGCCTCGGACTGGCCAAGGGGAGGAGAATGTGACTCTAATCCAGACACCCATCTTTTTTTTTTTTTTTCCAAGGAGCGCCGTTTCACTTTAATGCATGAATCACTTGAAAGAAAGCGAAGAGAAACCTGCAAAAACACAACATTTTTTTTTCTGCGTCTCCTTTACTCTCAGGGCTTTACTTCAAAAATATCACTCCCTCTCTGTGGCCCCTCCCTCCTTTCCTTTCCCTCCCTCCTTTCCTGCATCTACATGATCCATCAATGTCACAGAGGTCTAAACACGCAACCCTCAGGAGCTGCTTTTCCAATCGGGCTGTAATTAAACCAAGGCTCGGTCTCATCCCTGGACTGTTAACCAGCCTGAGCCAAAAGAGTCCCCCTGCTGCAGTGGCGCTGAGAGAGGAAGAGGAGGAGCGAAGAAGAAGAAGAAGAAGAAGAAGAAGAAGAAGAAGGACGCTGCTTGTTTTTGTCTTGTTGCTTTCTGACTGCTCCAGACCCAAAAACCATCCAAAATTAATCCGTTTCCCACCCAACACAGAGGACATGCATCCCCCTCCAGGGAGCTGTAAGCAGTCTAACACCAACTGACAAACACACACTTACACACACATGTATACAGGATGGTAACAAATACACATATACCCCCCGTGGATGTGCTAATGTCCACAGCAGCACTTGAGCTGGACCCTAATGGGGCCGGACCAAAGCGCTAGCCAAGTGTCAGCGCCCCGGCTCCTATCATGTCGTCCCCCTTCAAAGTGTTTGCGGTGTTTGTTTATGTGTCTGGCTGCTCAAACTCACAGCGAGGACATGCCCCGGCTCATTTCAGATCTGCCTGACATGCAGTGGGGGTAAATGTTCTTCAGGGGCCTCATTAGAAAATGATAAATATAATTAATATTTGAGCACGCTAGCTGGAGCGCCACACTGGAGGATTGGCCTTTTGAACACGCAGAGATGGGGAGTGCGAGCTCTCCTTAAGGGAGAAGTTGCTGCTCTGAGTGTGTGTGTGTGTGGAGCCGACACAAACACAAAACTGAATGCAAAAGTAAGGTGTGAAAAAGTGTGTGTGTGTGTGTGTGTGTTTTGCTCCTAGAGGCTCAACTCACCTTGACATGGATGCGTTGACAGTGAGCGCAGTTGGGTAGGGGTGTCTAAAACCCCCTGTTGTGATTGGATAAACAGGTTGACCTTGCCTGGGAAGAGGGGGAGAAAAGAAAAGAAGAAAGGCAAGTAAGGTAAAGGAGCAGGGTTGATGGAAGAGGAGAAGGTAAAGCCCTCTGTCTCGCTCCTCTCCCCACTGTGGGCCTCTTTATTCTCATTTGATCAGGACAAAAATCTAGGGGATTGCAGAGCGCGGATCAAAGGGAGGAAAACTCTGAACAATTTGAATGCCACAAATCTTGATAGCGATGGCTAATTAAATTTCATAACCCTTCGCTCGGTGTCGACAGAGTGGGGCCCTGTTCCTCCCCAAGCTGGAACTAGGTGTTTTGTTGTGATAATTAAAGACGAAGCGCGGGTCTCTTTAATGGAGCCATCACGCTAATTGAGGTCTACACATTCAAAGACAAACAATAATGAATGTAAATTTATACCAAAATAAAGTGCAGCAAATCAAAGGGCGCCGTGGCTGCGCTCGGGGCCTCTCTCGGTATTTAGATCGCGGTGAGAAAACATTAAATTAACAGAGCTTAATTTGTAGCCTTTTGTCATATTAACAAGTGTTGACAAGAGTTACCAGGGGAGAGCCCCCATGTGGAATTGTGGGTAAAATACGGGCAATCACGGTTCATTACTTTAATTGGACCATACAGAGACATGCAAAATAGTATTTGCCAGAAAGTAGCAAGTTGAGGTTGGTGAGGGGCCTGAGGAGGCAGCAGTGGGCTGCTGTTGACCAGGAGTGTGTTTGAGAAAGTTACAGGAAGGAGTTGGAGTTTAAGGAAGAGGGTGCCGAGGGTGGGAGGAGCAGACATGAGACGGCTTACATAATTGAGTTTAAAACTGAAAATCATCTGAGTACAATCTTTGTTGACTTTCTCTTCAACATCGAGACAAAAAAGGAGAAGAAGGTTTCACTTACTGTGGTACTAACCATCCCAGCGGATGAGGGATCTGGCCGACAGTGCCAGGTGACAGTGGGTAATAAGGAGATATATCTGGAGGATGAGGAGGCCTTGGAATTCCTGTTGAAAAAAAAAGGAGGATGAAGGAGCAAAGAGGAGGTGGACAGACAGGAAGATGACAGAAAAAGAGAGAGAGAAGCAAATCTTTGTCAGAGCTGGATTCAATTCTTTGTCAAGAGTTTCACATCTGAACGGGGCAGACATCACAGGAGTGCAGATGGGAGGAAGAAGAAGAAGAGGAGGAGGAGGAGGAGGAGGAGGAAGAGGGGCTTGTTGCTTGCATGTACACACATTGCTAAATCACACTTCCTGATCAAAGGCCTTTGAGGCGGCAGCAGCGGCGGCGGCGGCAGCGGCACAATGTGTTGGAGGGTGAGAGAGGTGAGGAGAAAACACCAACACGATTCTTGTCACATTTGTCTGCTGATTCAGGAGACTAATGATGTAAAATGACGGGGGGTTTAGAAGTTAACAAAACAACAATATAATTAAAGCCTTCAGCGTGATCACAGAGCTGCTAATACTGCTCTGGCGTTTGATTCAGGCGGACGCTGCAGCTCGATGGATGGAGATCAGATCCAGCACCGTAAATCTGATTGTGGTCAAACTCTTATCTAGTTTCAGTTTGACACTTTAACTCTTCAACGTCCAGTTAGTAAATGTTTTGACTGGATTTATTGGCTCGTTGCTCTCCCGACCAGTCCTCAGGTTTTACATTCAAAACAGCCGATTTCGTTTCTATCCCCCAGCGGAGGAACGGTGACAAAGATGTTCAATTTAAGGACAGCTCTCCATGTGGGCATCTCCAAGCAATCACAGTGTTGCCTTTAATTCCCATGGCAGCTGACAAACCGAGAAAAAAATGAAAAAAGAAAAAAAAAAAAAAAATGCATCAACAAGCTGCCCAGAACGAACGAACGAACGCCTTGAAAAGGTCTCGGGTGTAAAAATAACTTTCCCTCTCATGACAAACTTGAAACATGGAAAAGCAGACATGTACAAAAGCACAGTGAGGCGCTGTGCTCAGTAGACCGACCAGGAACTAGGGGGGACTTTCTTTTCTTTCCTTTTTTTTTTTTTTATTTTCTTCTTTGGCTCTTTCTTCCACACAGCTGGTTTGCCTCTGCAGCTGTTGTTTCCGACATCTCGACCTGCGAAAAACGCCGCTGAAGCAGAGCCAGATCGGTCCTTCGCAGATCAGGACTTTGGCTGGTGTTGATGGTTACACCCAAAAGTTTGCAGCTGATCTGATCCAGGTTATCCAGGATCTGACTCCAGAGGGGGATTCTGTTACTGATGGACAATGTGCTCAGCAGCAGCCGTGGAAAAACTTCCCTCAGTTTAGAAAAAAAAAAACTCTATTAAAAAAGAAAGCATTGGTACATTATCCCATCACCACCCAGCGCTGAAGACCTAATATGGCTCATTAATTAATTAAACACTGAGCCCAATTAGGCAGCCCCATTAAGCACTACATTAAACAGCAGCTGGCGCATTATTCCCCTCTTGTAAGAACCATCATAATAAAAGAACATTATTACCTAAAACATCCACTGAATACACCAGAGAACGCCGGGAAATGCATTAACCTGGAAGGGCGAGCTGAATGGCGGTTAACAAAATAAAGTAGCGGGTCAAGATGCTCACGGAAATGAATGAAATTGGCTAAAAATGTATGCTGAGCGGTCGTGGGAGAGAGAGGTGTGTGGGCAGGACCTGACTGCTAAATGTGGACAGTGCAGGATCAACAGGCTGCAAAGACAGGAAGTGAGACGTGCGAGTTATTCAGGTCACTCCTATGCAGAGGACTTTTTTTTTGACTCTTGTTTGAACGCGTAAGGTTTGGGAACTGGTTGAGGAGTCAGAGCAGATGTTTGCTCAACTCCTTGAGAGCCGCTGAATGTTAAAGCCACTTATGACCAAACCAAACCACATTCATGAGGGTGACGACTAAATCAATAACAAGACGTTCTCAAAAACCGTCTCATACTTTCCTTCAGTTTTGATTCATTTTCAAGAGAAATTTGATCTTTTATTGTCAAATAATCCTCGATAAGCAGTTTATGGTTGGTGTCAGCGCCGTCTACTTTATGTGACGTGTGAATCATATTTTAATCTTGAGCTGTTTTCACAAGAGCAGGTCGAGAGGCAGACAGAGAGACGCCAAGCAGACAAACAAGAGCCCTGAATCTGTGAGCCATGGTGGCAGGGCGTCATAAAACGTTTACACACCCAGCAGTGCAAACACTTTCAGACCAACTCTGCTTCTCTAAACTTTGACCTTAAACTGGATTATTCCATTTAGCATGATATCCTACTTTAAATCAAACAACCCCTGAGATAAAGGTCACATGGTTTTTACCTGTTTTGGGATCCACGTCTGTCTGTAGGTGAGGTGGGGGGTTCCCCGGTGTGAAGTGCTCATTGCTGTAGGTGATCAGAGGCGTGAGAGGGTGCACATGGTGAGGGTGCTGTACCACTGGAACCTTATTAGACTGAGAGACAGAAGGGAGAGAGACAGGGAGAGAAGCAAAAAGAAGATCAGGATGTTAATATTCAGGTTGGAAATCGCGCACACACAAACACACGTGCCGCAGGATTACAACTTTGCTCTCCTGGAAAGAAGAAGCGATCAAATTCTGGGTACTCTCGAGGCGCCAAACCACCAAACCACAGTGAAAATAGTGTGGTTTGTAATTAAAAACACTTCTGCGGTGTCACCCTGGAATCCAGTAACACAATCTAAGTGGCTTTGGGGGGTTGCCAGTTCACATTTGGGTCTAATGTATGATGGGGCACTTTTCTCCACTGTTGCTGTGAAGTAATCGATCATCTGTAAACCACGAAATCAAGGCAGCGCGTGTAAATCCACAGTCATTAGCAGATCCAGTCGGCGCTCCGCTCTCCACCTCCTCCTCCTCCTCCCGCCTGGTCTCCTTGCTCCCCTTCCCCTCGACTATCCCCCCCAGGGGCCCCGGTTCACGGAGAGTAAGGGGTGTATTGTAATAAAAGGGTTAAGAGAGAGGAGGTGGGGCTGAAAATCCATTTCTGCATTTTTGCCAAATTAGTTTTAGCTATGTAATCTTCTCTTTGTGCTCCTAAGTGGTGCAGGCCCCCTTTTTTCAATTACCCAAAGATTACAGTGGAGCTTTAGGGCTGTGCTGCTGCCATGGGCCTCCTGCGTTAACCGGAGCTCAGCCCCCCTCTCATCAGGGCCGGGGCCGAGACAGACACTAACACACACACTCACACACACAGTCCCCACCGACCACAAGATAACCAGATTAGAGCTGTGCTGTAGATTAGACTGGTGGAAGAGGCTGCTCTCGCCTTTTTACCCACACATCCTTATCCTGCTCTCAGCGAGTCAAAGAAGCAGCACTAATCAGGCTTATCATAACATGGATGATATGTTCAGGGGGGGAGAGGACTCAGACACCAAGCTGCTTGTGTGTGTGTGTGTGTGCATGTGCTCTCTCAGAGGCCACACACCCTCATTAGTGACTTTAACCCGTGCAAGAAAAAAGCTCCACTGTGGCGCTTTTGCAACCCACTTTGAAAAACATTAATGGGACTGGATGTTTGGAAGAGGGGGGGGGCATATATACATAGGATGATCACTGGCAATACAAACACAATGCAGTGAGCTTAAAGCAAGACAAATATAAGGGAAAGAAATCACGCTAAATGAGCCTACAGCTCCCACAATCCACCCAGATCCTGAGTTTTCACTCTGCAGCTAAGTCTTTTCAAGTGTCTCGTCCATACAATCCCAGCCATCTAGACCTCCATTCTGTTCAGGCAGTGGTGGAGGAGAGGAAAGTGTGGAGGGGGAGTAGGGTAGAGGGGTGGGGGGCATTCCCTATTGCCATGGTCCCAATGAAAGATTAATGAACCCCAGCAGAACTCCAGGGAGGCAGAGGGACTCTTGGGACTCATTCACAGCCCTGAGCTGAAAGGCTGCGGAGGGGAGAAGGAAAGAGAAAGGTTGGGGGTGTGTGTGTGTGTGTGTGTTTGTGTGGAGGGGGGGTGGAGTGGGTTGGAGGTGGAGTGGGGTTCGTTAAAAAAAAAAAAAAAAAAGAAACACAAACCAAGGCAGGCCTCGTTTCAGTGGGTTCCCCTGATCTGATCTGCACACGGAGAGAATAGAGGGATGAAAAGGAGGAACTGGGAGAAAACAATCAGGATGGAGGTTATGACAGAACGCTAGAAGATGGCCTCTCCCTAGTTGCCTTTTTTTTTCCCCCCTCGTCTCCTTGTCCTTCCCTATCTCTCACCTCCTAACCTCCTCCTTCACGACTCCCCGCTCCTCCCTCGGGTAATGATGTGAAAGAATGTTGTCAATTCTTCATCTCTGGGTGCTGAAAAGCTTTAGTGGCCATTTAAATGAGTTCTTTTGTCCGGGGGCCCCGGCCATTGAGAAGACAGTTCAAAATGCCCATCCACTGAGTCCACATTTAGACACAGGGTGTTACAGAGGGTGTGTGTGGGACACTAAGAGAGGGAGGGAGAGCTAGAAGGCAGTCCATTTACATCACAGTCGCTTTCTGGTCGAGGAGAGTGCTCTTTTTTTTGTGTGTGTGCAGAAAAGCCCAAAGTGAGGCGAAGCAACAAGCTGGACTAGTTCACTATGGACAGAAGCTGAATATGACGAATGTTTTTTTGAGGTATGTCCACTGTCTCTGGAGAGAAATGGTGAATTCCTCCAGAGAGATGTTAGCTGGACTTGACTCCCTCAGCTCATCTTTGCACAGGCAGTAGAAATCCAGTGACGTCAAGTTAGCACCCGGTGGTCCCTGCAGGAAAAAGAAGGCCCAGCACCTGCCCTGTGGCCACAGTGGGACAAAGCGAGCCCAGGAATCGTCTGGCAGGCTGCTGGGTCTGCTTCAGCCGCTCACAGAGCCGCTCATAGAGTGTCGGAAAACAAAAGCAGGCGACGTGGGAGGCTTTACTCTCTCTGCTCCACATAAGCCAGGGGAAAAGAAAGAACATTTCCTGCCCCTTTACACCCCCGCTGACTTGCATCCTTCTCACCCACCTCCGTCATTACAACAAACAAATATAGCAGAGGACTAAAAAAAAAAGCACGCCGCTCTGTAGTCATGATGACCAGGTTTTCAAGCCTCAAAGAGAGATTCAAAAGACCCCGCAGGAGAAATTTAAGTGCACACACTTTTGTTTGGAAGATCAATGAGCACATTGACTTTTTACACGTCCAGGACACATGCAAGCCTGCTGCTAAAGGAGGCTGGAACTGTGAGGATCAGGCAGCACTCTATAAAACAGCAGACACAAACAAGCTTGGGGTTATGTTACTGAGAGTTTTTGGACTTTCTCTCCTTCTGTCTTTTTATTCTTAAGAGGCTTAAAAGACGTTAAAACGGACGGTTTTATTGTGATGCTTGTGTCATTGTGAACACCTGTACAGTCAGCCTGCGAAGGCCAAGAGTAACTCTCAAAAAACTTTTCTCTAACTTCTTCTGGTTCGACCTTAAAACAGCCTCAAGGGTGAGATATTTCTAATTTATGCTGATGGCTAATGCTTCTCTGCCATCGTGTGACAAGAGCCTTTGAAAGTGGACAAATGAACAAGCTGCTTCAAGCCAGACCTCTGGGGAAGAAGTGAAGGGAGGGAGGGAGGGGAGGTACAGGAGAAAGCAGAGGGGTGAGAAAGTGACAGCAGGACGGAGTGAGACAAAAGGAGGGAGACAGAGAGGTGGAGGCCCGGACAGGAAAAAGCTGTTGGCCTTGCATTTCCGCCTGGTGGCACCTCGCAGGGCCAATTTGAGCCCTAAATGTGAAGGTGGTGACCTTGCAGGCCCAGGGGGTGGAGGAAGGGGAGGGTAGAGCCTCTCCGTCTCTCTGCTTTGTGTCATGATATGATGAGTTGTCACAACAGTTTGCGGGGCGCTAATGAGCTGTAGTGAGGCCGGGGCAGGAGGAGAGAGGGGAAGAGAGGAGAGAGTTGTGGGGATGACAGAGCTGTGATGGATTGAGGTCCTCTCAGGCCTCCAAATTCCAAAGCAAGCAGAAAAAAAAGCTGCCAGAGCGCCCTGAGCCTCTCCCAGAGCGTGCAAGTGGCCCACATCCAAGGCACATGGAGTAGAAAACACACGCACACACACTGGGATGCTGAGGGAAAAGTGTCAGAGAAGAGTAATTTGTATGTGTGTGTGTGTGAGTATTTGATTTGAGCACAACAAAAAGTACAAACTGTGCTGCCACCGATTTAATGAATCATCTGGTATCGTTCACTGTCGTCCTGTTGGAATCTGTTTACACACATGAACGCTGTTTTCCTTTGGGAGGTGTAGAGTGCCCCCTCCAGGCTTCCATCTTCATCTCCTTGCAAACACCATAGCGTTCACACACACACATTTACAGACACACACTCAGTCAAATCAGACCTCAGATTCAAGCAGACAATCTAAAGGAATACTTAAAGTTTAACAGCAATAGAATATGAAATGCTCCAACAAATTAAAGGCTTATCAGAGCCGTGATCCTCCAGCACAGCACGCTGATTAAAAAACCCCTGCTACTCTTCAGAAATCAGATTTCTTGGTTAATCATTTGAGAATAAAAAAAAAAAAAGAAAAACCCTCCACAATATTAGCAACCTGGGAATTGTAAGGGGGAGCAAAAGGATTTAAAAAGCAGATATGGAGGTGTTGATCAGTTTTCCTTCCTCTCTGGCAGAGAAGATGCGTCTCTGAGGGCAAGGGGCTCCTGAGACCACAGTATATTTAAAAGTTAATCTATTCACTTTGCTGCAGTGACATGCCGACTGCTTGATCAGAGCGCTGAACAAAAATATTATGTGGGCCAGAGCCTTTGCTCCCCTTCCTCCTCCTGCTCTCTTCGCTAGCACTCAAGTCGTTCGTCACCATTTATTTTCACTTCCCATCTTTGATAGTCGGCACATCAAATGGAATCGCAGAAAGGACATGTTCTGACATGTCACAGATAAATAAAAGTGCGCACAAATAGCTTAAATATGAAGTGGTATTTGGTGGGAACTGTTGTATTCTATGAAGACAAATCGGCTCTTAGATGCACGTGCGTTGAGGCTTTTTCTTTTCAGCGTAAACAGCCTCTTGAACTCTCAAACATACCTGAGTTAAAGGGGGCTTCTCTGAGAGGTGATATTGTAGCTCGGTGTTAAGAGCCACGCTGAATTCTGCCTTTTGAAATGCAATCAGCCCCTCAGAATTTCAGTTGAAAGCTGAGCAATTAGGAATTTGAATTGGATGGCAACACTGACAAAGGGATATGGTAATCTGTGAGGTTATTGAAATCTTACTTTACATTTCATGGTTAAGACATGAGCTCTATCAAATGTGTTTTTCTCGAGTGAATAATATTCCTCTCAGGAGAGGGAAATGTAGTTCTTTAATTAATCTAGATGCACTGTTAATAATGTTGATTATTTAGGCCTCAATTGATCAAAAACAGATCATTTACAGAGTGGGGAGCGTTACGTTTTAGTGGGATTAGCACATGAACTGAACAGAGAATCCAACAGTATTTTAGAGTATATTTTTAAAACATAAACTGAGATAACCACGAGTCCCTCCACCCAAATACACCCCCCCACCCCTCCCTCCACAACACCAGCCGACACCACAACAACAACAACCTGTCAGAATAAAGCTAAATGCCGTCAGACGTAAGAAAAAGCAGAGACGGTGAATTTGCAGGGGAGCAGAGCTGCTGCGTTACTCACCCAGCTGCTCAGATTGAGGTGCCAGCAGCCCACCTGCTGGAGGAGCGAGAGCCCGGGGCCCAGGACTCCTGCCTTGGCTCCCGTCTCCTCCGGCCCGGCTGGAGCTCCATCCCGCGGGTACATGACCCCCTCAGTCCCACCCCCACCCTCGCCCCCGTCTCCTCCTCCTCTTTCTCCTCCTTCCACCTGGCCCCCCCAGATCCTCCTTCCCTCTCTCTACGCCGGGGAGAAGCCCTTTTGCTTGTCTTGGCCGCTTTTCTCCTCCACTTCTTCTTCTCCTTCTTCTTTGTCTGTCTCTGCCTTGGCTCCTTCCTCCAGTGCATGCGAGTGTGTTGCTGGGCATGTGTGGTGTGTGTGTGCCTGTGTGTGTGTGTTTATCGTCCCCCCTCTCTTTGCCGTGGCCGGCTGACCATTGTTCCCCTTCAGGTTTTTGACATTAGAGCGTGTGTATCTCTTGAGGCGTCAGGGTTTGAGGCCTAGTGCCCCCACCCCACCCTCCTCCACACGAACACACACACAGTCGCCACAAAACTCCCAACCCACCCACAAAAAAAAAATCACAAAATCCCTCACTCTAACCACAGAAGCCTTCGCTCTTTGCGGCCAGCAGTCTCCTCTCCTCTCTGAGTGAAAGTTTTGATGCCGGTGACAAGAAGTAAAAGAAGTGAGCGGCAGAGAGCAAGAAGGAAAAATTACTGTGAGCAGCTTTTCAGCAGTCTCCCACAAGCTATACTCCAGAAAAATATATACTCACAAACACACACACACAGAAGAAAAAAAAAAATCAGTTATTACCCAAATCCCTGCTGTATGTTGGGTCTGTGTATGTGTTTCTTAGCGGATGTGTGTGTATGTGTGTGGGCTCTGCTGTGCCTCCAGGATGCCCAGAGACGAACTGGCAGCTTGAAAAGCTTTGGCTACAAGGTAAAGCGAGCAAGGCGAGAGATGGAGACAAAGAGGAGAGAGCAGGAGAGGGAGAGAGAGATAGAAAAGGGAAGAAAAAGAAAAAAAAAAAAAAAAAAGGAACAAGACACAACAACATCCACAAAGGGAGGGCAGGCTCAGAAAAGTGTGGCCAACAGTCATTTTATATGTGTGATGCTGACAGTCCCCTCTTCATACACACTTTCCGTGGGGGGAGAGAGAGAGTCTTCACTCTGACATGGACGTGGCACCTTTCGTCTTTCTTTTTTTTAACCCCCTTTTTTTTCTAAACAATACCTCAGAGTGGAAAGAATTTGTCTCTTAACCCCCTCCCTCCAACTCCGCCGCCATTCAAGGTTCATGTGAACAAGGCCTCAAGCTCCCCTCCTCGCCGCCCCTCTTCTACCCCATCTTTTCTTTGCAACTATTTCATCTTCAAATCGAGGATCCTTCCCAGTACTTGAGCCGAATGATGAGCTTCACCAGGTCAAGACCACTTTTTTTTCTTTTTTTTTTTACAAGCGAGAGGAAATTCAAGAGATCTGTTGTTCATCGTTGCAAAAACAAACAAGATGTATTAAAGGGGCATTCCACAAAACTTGACTTTTGAGTGTCATTTTAGATGATTAAACATGTTTCTTAATTTTTCAACACTGTTGATCAAAATAATCAAAATAAAATTATGTTTGCTTCAAATATAAAAATATTTATTTCCTCAAAAAATATAAAAAAATATGAAATCACTTTTTAAAAATATATGAATTGAAAACAAAGCAATACTAACTCCAATTATGAAAAATGACAGAATCAAGTGTTTGTAAATGTATGAATAATTTTCAGTCATAAAATCTATAATTAACTAGACTTGTCAGTCTCTAATTACCTTTAATAACCTCTAACAACCTGAACCTGACTAATGACCATGACAAATTAAATATTTATAGAGAAAATTATTCCCATCTTAGCTCAGAAAAATTGAATATATTTTTAATACGATCTAATGAAGGTTATTAAAGAGGGGATTTATTATTTAAGATAAAGACGATCATTGAGTAGAGTGAGGGAATTTCAAAATGTTGGAGAAAAATTGGGGAAAGTGTCTCTAAAGTAAGGGACGATGAAGAACAAACGGTCCAGCTGCACTTGTGCGTTTCAAATGTAAACTTACTGACTCTGGTCTCTTCTCCTGCCTGTCCTCGCTCAGCCTCTCTGTCACTGTGAGGAGCCGGCTCTTCCCCTGGCCTGCAGCAGGCAGTCCTGAGGCCCTTAAAGCCAAAACAAAGCCCCGGGAATGTCCTTTACACAGCTCGGACAATAGCGCGGGGGCTCCAGCTTGACAAGTAAAAGAGCCCCGACAAGGCGGCGGCTAATTGCCTGCCCTCCCTCCATTCAGCCGGCCTGCCACGCTCCTGCCATCTCCTTTTGTCCCACGTGCACGTTCTTAAGTAAACTGCCAGTTCACCGGCGAGTGATGGACAGCTCCCAATCACCAAACCACAATGGCATCAACGTCCACGACACAAGAGCGCACAGGAGGGAGAAAAAAATACTCTGTTCGACTCTACTATCTGAGATGTTTGCACGAGACCCCGAAAGGGTGCAGAGCCAAACAAAAAAAGAAAAGGGAAAAACTTTGACAAAACAAGCGGACGAAACGGCCTCTGACCTTTGCGAACTCATTGTTTTTTCATCGAAATTCAAACAAAGCAGAATAAAACACCACAAAGAAAACACTATAAACACACAACTCCTGTCTTCTTCTGCCATTCCTTCACTTCGATAATTAAAGTATAATTTTGTTATTAAGAAAAAAATCACATTTGGTTAAAAATGAAAAAAGCTTAAGGAGGTAAATTCAGAAAATTACTAACCCTGTTTTATTGATAACAGACGCACAGAAACAGCTGATGAGATGTTCAGGCTAAATTACCCAAAATCTGAATGTAAATACAAGATACAATTTCTAAAATTGCTCCAATATTAATAATGCATTCTAATAATTAGATTCAACAAGAATATATTTCACAATACAATTCATAAAAACCATATTTAGTTTGATGTCCAAGAGAATAATACACCCCTGTCAGGCTGTCAAGACAAAGCAATCAAACACTGCCTTTCATTATCCAAATTGTCAATCTGTCACTTAGCAACATAAGTGTTATAAATTGCCAAACGGAGCCTCGAAAAATATCCAATGAATAAATTCAATCTAAACATAATATTTAAAGGCAAACAAACAGCAGAAAATCCAGCAGAGCTCTAATTAAAATGTTGAAAAGTCTTACCATTTAAAAGAGCTGTATTTGGGATGCTGCTCGGTTCCTGGTTAAAACAAGCATGCTGGCACTCGTGGTAGTGCACAGACTCCAAGCAGACTCCCACCACCATGTCAGCCACTAATCCACTGGGGGGCAGCACCTCATCTACGGCAGCCCCCCTCGCTAACGCCCGATGGGTTGAGCCGATAAGAGAAGCGGCCGGAGGAGCCAAGGTACGCTGGAGCGACTTAGGACGGCGGCTCATCGGGTCCCAGAGCGGAGAGGGAGAGGGACTGGGAGCCGGTGGCCAAAGCCGACTGTTCACTCTCAGCCCCCCTCACGCATTCAAACGCATACTCAGGCTGCGCTGCTCCTCTTCGCGTCTGACCGGGGACTCCCTCTTTCCTTCCCCCCTCGCCCATCTTCATATCCCCCCTAATAAGCTCTTTTGTGTCCATCTCTCTTTCTTTGATAAGTTGAAAGAACAACAAAAAAGAGGGAGAGAAAGAAGAGAGGCTTTCATTCAGCGGGCTTGGCAGACATAAAGGTAGTGAAGTGCCGTCTATAGGAGTTGCCCTAACTTGGCTAAACTCAAGCAGCGGGGTGTCTCTCGTCATGTCATTAATCCCCAAAACTAGCCACGCTCCATTCACCGCTAGTCACACTAAATTAAATGCAAAAACACAAACGCGAGGCAGAAAGTGTCAGGGAAAAAAGGTGAGAGAAAGCATTCCGATCCGGGGCAAAGGGTGTCAGTCCTGCCCGTTGATAGCCCCAATTTTCATGAAGGAACCCCCGTAAAAAAAAAAAAAAAAACAGCCAAACAAAACAAAACAAAAAGACCAAAAAAAAAACAAGCATTTATCAGCAAAAGAGCCCGTCATTCTGGTGCAGCTTTTGCACCCCAAACTTTCTCCATCCTGAACTCTCTTTAAAGACAACAGAAAGGGGAAAAGGAACCCCCGAACTCCAAAGTCAAAACCTGACACACAACAAGCCAACAACAGCAGCAGCTAAAACAATACCAAAAAATACTAATAAATAAACCCAAGCCTTGTGTGCTTTTCAGGAGAGCTGGCATTAGAAAAATTCAACCCGGCCAACTGGTGGCTTGAAGAGAGGAAGCCCACTCTTAAAGCCGTGATCCGACCATCCACTATACCACCGCTGTGAGCCTTTTAACCACAGCAGAGAAAAAATGACTATTGATCTTCAAATAGCGATAATTGAAAAGATCAAAAAGATTAAACAAAAAAACGAGAATGTGCTGACTTACCATGTTGTGCTCCTTTTTTGTTGTAAGGTTTTTTTGTTTAAATAAAAAAAATATTTGCTCAAAGATGCAGCATTGGAGGTGTCAAATTTTTGTAGCCGTCTCTTGATCGTATTACTTCCACAGTCCTGGTTTCCAATGCGTCTGAACTTTTTCCCTTTCTCTTTTATTTTGTTTGTGGTACCTAGCCTTTTTTTCTCCCCTGCTTAAGACTTTAAAAGCCTTCAGCTCAGCAAAGCAGCACAAATTATCTTGCCACCTTGCTCAGCTCTGATGCTTTGGCCGCTAACTTTGGAAGGCCCTTTACTACTGCATCAAAATTAGCATTGTCAAAGCAGTTAATGAATATTAATATTGTATTTGTCATTGGAGCTGGCCCATTGCTGAACTCCAAGTCATCCATCAGGGACAAGATTAAGCACACAATTATTTCTGACTGACAGGGACCAAATCTGGAAGATTTTTTTTTTCCTCCAACAATTTAAAGAAAAAGACACAGCATCATCTTAAGGTACCTCCCATGAGACGAGACAAGATTAATACACTTTTAATGAAGCAAGATTTCATGCTGCATGAACAGCAGGAACCTCGAGAAAAAAGGAGAGGGATATAGAAATATTTTCACTCATAATTTTAACAATTTTTCAGGGATTGAAATCATAAATTACAAATTATTCTAATCACCGTAGAAAAATTTCAATCAAAAGGACGTCCCTTTTTTTTCCTCTTTTGATGAAATATAACGGATTAATTCTCCTTGATTTTCCTGGATTTAATTTTTCACCTTTTGTTGGAACACTCAGAGAAATAAGACGTAGAAGAGCTGCAGTGTGAGCGACGCCGGCGCTAAATTTAACATGAAACATTCATTAAAATCCCGAGACCTCCAGCAATCTCCGCAGAGCCCGGCAGAGCACCGACCGCTGAGGACCACACAGGCAGCCTCCACCAGCACCACCCGCTGCAGCGTTTCAGCTCCATCCAGGAGCCCCCTCCGCCACCCGCTTCCCTCAGAAACAGCTTCACACCGGGAAACTGCGGCTCTGTCAAATACGGCTCTCTGCACAATTTCCCAAACCATCATCAAAAATGTCACAATGCACAATTTCAAATTCTCTCTAAATAATAACGACGTTCCAGTTTTTCTGTTCAAGTTTTTTTTTTTTTTTTTTTCAGGAGAGTGAAATAAAAATAAGAAGCTCTCCTGAATGTGAAAGATTTAAGAACAAAAAGCTTTCCTACCAGTACCTGTCCTGAAAAATTAAGCAGACGACATGCCATCTTCTTTACTCTTCTGTACACAAAGCATCTCTGTTTCTTTTGCATGTTTTTCAAAAGCAAACTCTTTTCTTTTTTCTCACATATCCCAAATTCTGAATAACACTCAAACTTCTCCAGCAGCACACAATCTCCCTGACTACTATCTATTTTTTTTCTCCACTTGAAGATTTCGCACAGAGAGACGGCCGATTCCGAATCTTATTTAAGATGAATTAAAGCGTATTTTCTATTTTCTATACAGCTATGAAATAAAAAAGCGAACGTATTGAAGGGCTCGCACAAAAAAAAAAAATGGCAGATGTGGGGCACTAATGCCAGCAGCGCAGTGAATTGGTGTGAGTGCGGAGGTCAAGCTGCGGGCTCACCTTGGAGTGCCGGGCCCCTGCCGACCACCCTGCCGGCTCCATAATACCATTAGCAACCCTTAGATGAACATATTAAATTGGCCTTTTGTTCTCCAGGTGCCGATCCAGCCTTTTGCGACTCACTGGTGTCACAGAACCAAATACAGATGGTGCTGCCTTTTTTCGAGTGAATAGCGCGCTGAAGACAACGCTCCGTTTTTCCTGTTTTCTTCCAATCTCTGAAAGCCGTCGGCATCGCACTGATTATTTTTTAAGCGCTTTGTACTCTTAAAACTTAATATTTCACCCTGATATATTTAGTTAATTTGGTTTCTCTGCGTTAAATGTGGATTAATATAAATGTAATTTGCCAATCAAATTTAATCAAATGTTTATAAGATAATGATTAGTTAGCAATAAAGAAAGACTGTGCTTTAAACAAGACAGGGGAATTTTTTGATTAATTATACAAACAAATATAACATTTTTTCATATTAATTTGGGCTTAAAAAACAATTTTAAGGTGGATAATTTCACCAATGATTGCTCAAAAAAATCAGATCAAATAAAATAATAAAAATATTGAGTTATCTTTGATGTAGCAGAGAGAGTTTGTTCACAGTAACAATAAATAAAACATAAAAATGTAAAAAATATGAACAAAAATGTAGATGTAAATACTGAAATATGCTGTAATTTAAACCCTAATTGAAGTAATTTTATTTTAAATGTTGTGACACACGCACAGACTCTGATTGAGTGTTCACAGGCGGCTGTCTATGAAAAAAAAAAGGCACCAAACACAGAACCCCGGCGCAGCTTAATTCAAGTTGAGAGCCTAAAACAGGTCCAATCTAGGTGAGGAGGAGAGACGGGGGAAGAGGGAGACGAGAGGGGAGCGGCTCTGTGGCCCAGCGTGATCACATCAGCGCTGGTATCAAATTAACTCTCTGACTTTGAAACTTATTGATCTGCTATTAAGACACTAGTGAACTTGATGAAGTGAGTGCTGTAGGTGACTCGGGGACTTCAAAGTGTCGCACCAGCCACATAAAACAAGCCACTTTGATCCCCGCTCTGCTCCTCCGATCTGGAGAGGGGGCTTTAGAGGAGAACCCCCCAATTCTACTCTACTTTCCTCTTTTCTCACCGCTCACCCCGGGCCCGGTTCTTCTGCTCTCCCTTTTCTCCTCCTTTTTACCACATCTGCTGATGCCCCAAGAAGCAGCAAAGCATCACAATTTAACAGAACAGTCAGCAAAGTGAGAGTGTACAGTGATGCAGACAGATCTCCTTTTCTGATTCTCTGAGAAATAATAAACCAACACACACGCACACACACACATAGAGAGAGAGAAAATGCAATATGATGTCAAAACAACTACTAGAATAAGGCGGCCATCTAAGCGTAGTGGCATTAAAATTCAGTGCCGATAAGAAGGGGATTCTTCATGCCAAATACGGCATGTAATAAGGTCGGCGATGAGAGAGACAATGCAGAGAGGGAGATAGCAGCACTATTGTGTGCTGAATACATCCCCCTCCTCGCTTAAGGCAACTCTTCCCACTACATTAAATACTGTGTGCTGCCAATCACACCTGCCTTTTTTTCACTTTGTGCCACTGGGTGGAGGTAGTAGTTAATGTTTTCAACATGCGCCGTATCACTATAATACACTGAAGCAGACACAAATCACAAACAGTCCAGAGTTCCTTCGTTTTTTTTTTTTCCTTTTTTTTTTTTTTTTTTTTTTTACCAAAATAAAACAACTATGAGACAAATGTCAAAAAAGAAACAAGAAATAAACCGAAAAATCTGATTTTTTTACCTCCTTATTTTTGAGAAACAGAATCTCAGCTTCACACTCCACTGAGCTGCTAACTAACCAAGACCGACTAAATAAATATTAACGGCTAAATTAATCATCGGCAGGACAGTGTTTGCGCTCAGGCTCCGGTGCTCACAAGCTGAGTGTGTGCGTGCGTGCGCGTGTGTGTTTGTGTGCCAGTGTGTCTGCAACTTGGAGTGCTCTGTTTAATTAAGAGGGGTAAAACAGATGACAAATGCGAGACAGTTAAACATTTAATGTGTGCTTATCTCCCGCCTCATTTGTTTAGTTGGGTGAGATTCAGAGTGGGTGGCGTTTAAGAGTGATGCGCTGGCTAAAAAAAAAAAAGAAAAAAAAAGAAAAGAAAAAAAAACAACAACTGTGGAATTAAAACGCAGCCCCGTGTTGCCGTGACAAGTCAGCGAGCAACACGCAGCCGTTTCCTGACAATTGTTTTGACGTTTTGCAACTAAAATCCGTTTGATGAGAAAGACAGGGATTACGTGATAAATCAAATAAACACAAATGCTGATTCTGCAACACAGCTGGGTGTAAAAAGTGTTAAAAAATAGATGAGATTCAATGTAAATGACACTGTCTCACTTAATTATGAATGTGGTATTTTTAGTAATAGTCGAAATAAACCATGCAATTAAAAAATCCACTGGTATTAAAGACCTTTTCCTCCTTGGTTTCACCTGACAGAGATGTAATTTTTTTCTGGATGATCCCCATTGTGTAAATGTGAAGCTGATGCACATTGCCTAGAGTCAATGTCAAATCCCAGCTCCAATAGTCCCACAAAAATACAGAACGAACAGAGCCTGCGGCACACACATCCCTTTACTCAACCCACTTGCAATATCTCACCCAAAGTTATCGCTTCCAATGTGACAATGTTAAAATAAAAAAAACAAAAAAAATTATATTTCATATATATAGATATATGGGAAGAAGGGGGGAGAAAAAGAGATAAAAACGGATGGCAGCAGTCGGTGGGGTGGATGGGGGGGAGAGAGGCAGCAGCTAAAAAAGCAGAAAAAAGAGGGAGAGGGAGAAAAGAAGAAAAGCAGGAGGAGGAGGTGGTGGTGGAGGAGAAAAAAAAGCCCTGTGCCACGAGCATATATAAGAGAAACCTTCACCAATTAGTGGGGAGAAACGGGAGAGGGAGCTGCCGCGGCGTCGGCACTCAAAGAGCCGGGCCTCGCGGCGAAGCTGTCATGTCGGCAGGATTGATCAACAGGCCTGCTATTTCTAATGGCATGTTGTCATGAAGCTGCAGCCATGGGGAGCCACCTGCCTCAGTCCTCGCACAGCACTCTGCATGTGCATGTGTGTGTGTGTGTGTGTATTAAAGATGGGGTTGGGGGGTACTGCAGCAGCCATACCTATTCTGTGCCCATATATCTTTTACTAACAATTTAAAAACAGCCTGGAATCCTCCTCCCACTCTCTGGCAGTCAACCTTGCCTTTCCCTGAAGGTGGAAGAAGAAATGTGCCATCCTGGATTGTTCTTTATTCTGGCACTGCAGAGCCAAGCTATTGTGAGTTACAACACAATGGACACAAACGTATACCGACTGGAGAGAAAATGTAAATAAAAGCTAAAGCTCCTTTTAAGGGTCAGAGTGAGAATAATTCAGCGTATATGTCGCTCATTGTTTTTTATTTATTCATAATAATCAATTACGTTTATGTCATGGTCGATGTTTTTGCCGTTCAACCAATTAATTCCTCAATCACCGTACGAAACACCGTGTGGCATAGACGGAGCTACCCTTTGTTATCTTCTTAAACGTATTTATTTGATTATAGCCTGCTGTGTTTGTTTGAAAATCACTGAACGATAAAACTGTTCGGCGATACGTCATCGGGAAAACCATTTATAAAAAAAAACAAAGCAGAAATTGCTTTATTAAAAAAACGTCACGTTTACCTTATTTTTAGAAATACAGCAAAACAAACCAGCTTGGTTTCGTCCTCGGCGGCCAAACAAGCCTGTCCTCGCTAACAATAAAAAAGTCAAATAAAAGTTACAGAACTTGAGAGTTCAAGGTAGCACGGGCTGCTTGGAGTGCGTGTCACGTACAGTTAACCTTTTTATCGGGCATGCCTGTGGTCTCATCAGTCGATGAAATTCTTCGCCCGCGGCGCTGGCTTAGCCGAGGGACACGGACCAATAGGAAAATATTTCATTGTGTTAGCATTTCAAATGGCGAGTGGAGGGTGGAGAGGAGGGCATTTGGAGGGGCGGTGGGGGGAAGAAGCTCTAACCGATCGTTGCCAGCGGAATTAATTGCCTATTCTGAGAATAATGTCCCTTATCCACGATCCTCGGAGGGCCGTACGCTAGCAGAGGCCACTTTTTTTTTTTTTGTTTGGTGTCTTCAAAAAGGAGAGCGCTTAGGGGTACTGGCCGTATTAGGGGTTTATCTCAGTCCCCTTTAGGCCTGGAGAAATAATCAGAAGCACTGAACCAAACTCGGCTAATCCGTGCCCCAATTAAAAACGCCGAACCTATTATACCTTACGTTAATGCGAATCAACAAATAAACACCTTTAAATAGTTGATTATTTTTAAATTTACAATCAGGAAATCCTATCAGTAATTTGGTTCTTCGATGAAATTTACTTCGAGAGAAGGAGAAGCAGAGCGTCTACGTTTGGCTTTCAGCCAGCACTCGATAAATGGCTCAAGATGGAGCGACCCCGGTGGTGCTTCTATCCTTTTATTTAAGGGGATTTAAGTTCAGGCTCTGTTACACATTGGCCAAACATATGCAATGACCCTAACTCATATTGGTGCATCTTTTTAGCCACATCTTAATCTAACCCCTATAAAGCTCCCTGGCTTTTCAGACTCAAAACAGCATTAAGAACGAGCATTGTTTGGAAGGACGTGGCCCTGGGAGACGACTCCTCGGAGAAGCCGGGACCCGCCTGGGTAAGAAGCCCTCTGGAAAAACAGCTGCTTATGCACTCCAATCAGCGGGAAACAAAACAAAAACCCAACTGCTGCGAAGGGGCGAAAGAAATACAGAGGATTTTTCGAGGTGAAGGGGGCATCCCGAGCGCTCCATCCCTCCGTATCGACCTCCACGGGCCCGTTTCTGCTAGGTGTCGATTTCATCCCTTGCCAGATGGACTGGCGAATTCGCAGCAGTCCCCATTACACGCCTCTCCGTCGCTCATTGTGAATTCAGTCAACGAAGTCAATCTTATTAACTTCCGCGCCGGTTCACACATGACATTTTCTTCAATTTTCTCGCCGACATCAAAAACATCAATTAGCAGCTCGAAAATGGGAAGGAGCGAATGACAGAGTCCGATAACGCCAACTTATTTGAAGCCGAGGGTAAATCTATTCTCCAGTTTTGAATGTGTTCATTACAATTGCATTTTCAAAGAAGACCTCCAAATAGCAAAGAAATTAAATTTATCTCCTAGAAATGTCCAGAAATTGTTTTTTTCCCCTCTTTCTTTTTTTTTTTTAATCCTGTGTCTATCTCTCAGCCTCAGTGGGTGACACAAAGCATTGTGCTGCTGCATTTTCTTTTTCTCATTAGTACAGATCACAACTCCCACAGAAGTTGAAACCCTACACTGTAAACTCTGGTGTAACCCGTAAAAATCACTCTAAAAGGAGTCCGACATGTCTTTAAAGGGAGGAGATAAAGAAGCCTGCATGTGACCTACAATTTTAACAAAAATACCAGATGTGATGGAAAATGCAGTATCTATTTTTACCCAACAAGGGGAGCTATAATCAGATTAAAAACACCAGTGCTAAACAGGTAAAAATGCTCTTTTAAGTGTGTTTATTGTTCTTTATTATCCATCTTTACAGGGGCATTTATCGTTTAATTTTGAGATATTTTTTGGTTTATATTTTTGGCATAATTGTGAAAAGATTCTTGTTATAAATATCTGTTCATGAAAGTAAAAAAGATCTTTTTGTACATGAAATAATTCAACAATCCAGAGATGTCTTCTTTCAACCTTCTTTGGTTATTTCTTACAAAAACTGTATCGTAATTTATCCAAAAATTAAATATTTATTCCCTAAAGAAAAATAATCCTGAATAAAATTTATTTTAAATCCTTAAGTTTAAAAAATATTTCTATAGCAATTCCACTTTTTAAAAATTTGTACATTTTTTTATATCTGATATTCTTTATTGGGTAAAAAAGAAAAAAACTCCCATTTCAAATCTCCTGTTTTCTCCACTCCTTCATTGATCATTTCCTCTATCGCTGTTACATCAAAATGTGAAACACAAACCTACACATTAACGTCGCTCTCTCATGACTCAACTCTTCAGCCTCCATCGCTGATGAACATGTAACTCAATAAACCTTGGCCCGTAACCTTTAAGTAAAAGGCTATTTTTTGCCGATATCCAAACATTGTCAGACGGCTTCCTCATGCTTGAGTTACATCTCCGAGGGGGTGAACAAAAGCAAGTTTAGTGGCGGTGAAAAGACACTCTTAATGCAAGGGCGGGCGGGGGGGAAGAAGAGAGAGAGCTGGTCGCTTTCGGAGCTGTGCGGATCACGTTCCTCCGGCCTCATTGATTTCTGATCTTTTGACATTATTTAGTTGCTTTTTATTTTCTCGCCCGTCTTTTCTTCCATGTCACAAAAGACAGAAATGTCCAAACAAGTGATGTTGGGAGTATCTACTATCTGTCAAAGGAGCAGGCTTTTCCCGGCATTAAAAGCGAGCGAATGCTCTGACGCAGTGCCGAGAAGCGACGGGATGAAAATATCACTCTTTATAATGGAGGCTAATCAGATTTCTGATGCTGTTTGCCTTCTAGCTAAAGGGAGATAGAAACGAGTGGAGCGATGAAGCTGTAACCAATACACTTCTGACCTGGAGACAAAGGCCTGCCCTTGTTTTTCTCACGTCTAATCCTCTCTTTAACGCGACTATGAATGGCTCCAAATCTTCGACGTGATTTTACCCCCAATTCCTGCGGCTGAGCGATGAAACGGGCTTCCTAAACATATTAAAAAAAAGAAGCGACGCACGTGTAACGCGTCTGTCTGCTTAATCCTGAACACACAGTAGTGATCGGTTCCATTAAGCAGGGATTTGATCATCTCCCCCGTATGCTCTCACAGCCCGGCTTCAGATTAGATCACTGTGAAAATGGTCAAATGGTGTGTTTATCTCCCTGTAATTATTTTGATGCAGATGACAAGAGATTGGTTGTTTGCATGCGGCTTGATGAGTGTGCACAGTGTGAGCCAAGACATGCATGCACTTTGTGAAAGCACACGCCAAACACACACACACACATACAACACAGCATGCTGGTGTGGAGAGAGCTGAATGGCTTCTCTCAATGCCATTAACCTATTAAATATTTTCAACAAAGGCCTGGAAATAATGATTCATGTGCAGGGAAACAGTGCGCGTGCAATTACTGCACCCTCATTTTGAACTTATGAGTAATACGAGTGTATTTTGTGGGTGACACAAATGGACTTTCAATGACTTTTAAAAGAGAGAACCCCAGAGAGCAGTTGAGATGAGGAAAAAAAATCCCAGCATCCATCTTTACTGTTGAATTTTGAGGTTTAAAATTTTAAATATTTTGCTTTTGGCGCTCATATTAAAAAATGTAAACAAACATTTTTTTTTTTTTGTATAATAAAATTAGAAAGAAAATGATTTAACTTTTTTACATTGATTTATTTTTTGCACTTTTGTTGAAACTCTGTGGTTTTAACCCTCCATAATGTGAAAAGCAATCGCCCTGTTGACACGTTTAACATCCCCTTTAAGTCTGTATTTCCAGCTGCTGTTTCGCTCATCCTGCCCCTTTACTCATGTGGTGACCTTCACTGGAATTGTCTTAATCCTGAGGGGAAACTTTAAGAACTTCTGCCCTTCTCGTGCGCTGATAGCACGCTCAGAGTTATATAAGCTTGTCTGTTCCCAATAATCACCTCTACTTTTCACTTCACTCGAGTTAGCCTGTGTCACCAGATTACTGGCCCTCCGTATCTACCTTTCCAATTACTTTTAAGAGTTTTGGATGGACAAATTTGCGCTTTCATGTCCCGTGTTAGCGGATGAGTCGCTGCTTCTGGCCATGAAAGGAGAGTTTTTAATGAGCTGAGGTGAGGTTAATTGGTTCGCTAAGATCCTCCGAGTCATGTGCCTCTATATGAAATTAAAGTCCATTTCCTGGAGTTTCCCCTGGACGGATTTAATAACAAACACTTCAGGCCAATTTTCATTTTCCCGAAGAGAGGAGGTGATGCGGGGAACGGGTGAGAGAGAAAGAGAGAGAGAGAGGAGGAGTTTGGTTGTTTGTGCTTGTTGTTTTTTTTTCCCCCTCACCTTTACCTGAGCAGGTTATCCCTTACTCTTCTTCTGCTCTACCTAAAAGCGTATTATTAGCCAATTTTCCAACAATAACAGTTAACTCGCAAATCGAACAGCTGTAGATTCAGCGCGTCGAAACTGATGCGAACACGCCACGCTACGCTTACCCTCCACAAATGACTGGGCCCTTCACTTGCCATTAGGAAGTACATGATGTGGATCTGCCCCGACTAAAAGACCTTGTAATCAACACTGGTGCGAATGTGTTAAGTTCAACGTCTGGATGAGGGGGGGGTTCAATGGTCCTGACAGTGTAATTACGGGTTGCCACCGCAATGCAGCGGCCGGAGCACTCAGCGCTAATTCAATCCATCTTCATTTCCACGAGCGACGCCCCTACCATTGATGGATAGTTATCATTAGAGAGTGACAAAGCACTGAAACAACTGAGGCGTGAGCTGCAAGCTGTGTGTATGTGTGTGTGTCTATGTGTGTGTGTGTGTGTGTGAAGTCAAGGAGCAGAAGGATGTGTCCCCTCAGATACACACTATTGCCCGAGACAGCAGGATTATATATTACTACAGGGATGAATACGGAGAGACGGGATGAGGAAGGAGCTTTGGGTCGGGGAAGGGGAGGTTGCATCCTTCACACACTTGCACACACACACACACACAAATAAATACACAGCGTACTCACACAGAGTTTGTGTACGTGTACTTGCACAAACAGTTTGGCTCACTGTGACCCCGACACACAGAGAGGCTACGGCTCGACTCACCAGCCTTTTATAGCATGCTGCTCAGACTGCTGACAGACACACACACACACACACACACACTCGTACAGGTCTGGGCACCGTCTGCAGCCAAACAGTAAACCACAGGCTGTGATTGAGGCCGACTGCACTGCTCCTCTATATTTTCAGTCTATATATTCAGTCCACCCTGGGTTATATATCTTAATTATGTGCTCTGCCTCTTTTTCCTAAAAGAAGGGGGTGACCGAGCCGGCTAGTCGGGCACTGGAAGCAGCAGCAGGCCGCTGAAATGAGGCCCTTCCAGTCTTTATGGGGCCTCCAGCTCAGCCACTGCATCATTACATGACTTTTAAGCTGGGAACAAAAACACAGTGGACGAATCCTTCCCCGCGTCTTCGCTGGCGTAACCTGCTCGCACAATAGAAATCATCCTGTTTGTGGCATTTTTTCGTATCAGGCTTCAAAACAAACTAGAGCTGGGAAACTTTTTCACAGAGACTAACGGGCTGTGAAAAGCTGTAATGAGTAAATAGCTCAAAGGGCGGAAGGAGGAACAAATGGCGAGAAGATTTTTTAGCACAGTGCAGTGCTCAATGTGATTATCTCTGCTTTTTCCTCCTAGCTTTAGGGGTCACCGCCGCCTCACACACACGCGCGCACACACACACGCAGGTTAGGCTTTGCCATTTCAATGACTCAATCCCATCTCATCGATTCTGCTCAGTGACCCCGCAAAGGCCCATGTGGCAAGTGTCTGCCCCACCTCCGTGTATTAGACCACATCCGAATGGAAAGCCGGTATCACGGCCGCCCCAGTCCGTCAACCAGGAGGTGGTGCTACAGGGATGCAGAGTTGCTACATCACCTTTTTTGTGTACGCTGCAGAAAAGGAAAACAGTGGTGTGTTTTTTAAAGGTTAAAAAAAAAAGGGGGATTTTCTTGCACCTGAAGTTGAAATCACTTCCTGAAAAAAAGAGGCATGCTCACCCCTGTTGTCTAGTCGCTCGCACACTCACAGTCAGATGATGCTCGCCTGCTCGAATGCATGAGATTCTCCAACTTGTGAGCTCTTGTTCTGTTGGCTCAGTGTGAGGAATGAATGGTTCGCTACATCCCGTCCAACCTCGGCGCACGTACAGCCGCACAATTAAACCCGATGCTTACTCATGCACATTCCAAAATGCGCCTTTATACCCTCACATGGCGCTGCATTTACACAACACACTTTCGCGGTTTGTACACATACATGCAGGCATGAGCTCAGCGGCCAATGTGCTGCCGTTAGACTGGCTGGCCTGCTTGCAGACCCTGCAGTTTGTTTAGCAACACTCCTTTTGACGACGCCCGAAGGGTGCAATTAAGCCCAATTAGAGCCTGTCAGTTTTATTAAGAGGCACAGACTGGCCAGGCTCGGGGGCAGTGAGGGGTAGGGGAGGGAGGAGGAAGAACAGAGGGAGGAGGAGAGGCTGCTGCACCAAGCTAGCGCAACTCTTGAGAAGCAGGGCTGAGAGGAAACTGGGGTAAATATAGAGAATGCCAACTGATCCAAGACAAAAAAGACAGCTGTGACAGAGAAAATGGACCCAGAAGTGAAGGAGAGAAAAAGGGTCTGGTGGAGTCTTCATAACCAGGTCAGGTTGTAGACGCAACCTCAGGTGCTCTCAGTTCAAATGCACCGAGATTACCTTTTTGATACGACATAAAAGCAGCTTTAAAAGTGCAGTTTTGTGATCAGAGAACCTGCAGGGATCAATGGACGACAAAACCAAACTCGGCTATAAATACTCACTGGCTGCAGTGAATGCAGACATGTGTGGATGCAGATGTCACAAAGCATTTTCGGAAGGGGGGGATAGGGGGGTGGTGGCTGTGTAGTTATGTGAGCCTGCCCTGATGTATTAGCGTGGCTGTGAATAGAGCAATACAGCTGGCTGGGAACAAAAAACGGCAGCATCCCTTTCATCAGCGAATCAAAAAAAAAGAAAAAAAAGAACGCAAATGAATGTATCATTCCCTCACAATTCCTTTTCCGTCGACCCCTCGACAGAGATGTTTACAGATAGCTATCATTCCCCCTCTTTTTCACATTTGCGCTTGGACATGTTTCAAAAGACGGGGCCTTTTCATCTCCCCTCTCGCTGTGAGGAAATTTGCTCCTTAATGGCTTTCAAAACAGGAAGTGCAGACAATAAAAAAAAAGAAGAAGTGAGAAAAACGCTTCGCTCCCCAAGTCCTCCCCCCCTCCTCCCTCCCCTCCCTCTTCAGTCGACGCATCCTTTAGCGGAGCTAAGTGCTGCAGGAGCACGCTGCTGCCGTGCCAAGGTGCCAACTGTGCCAGTCACACTGACCTCCATCTGCAGGCAACTTGATACCATCTCTCCAACCGCCGCGCACTCCTGCTGAATGGGTTCGCTCAGTCACAGTGAAGTCTGAATGCCATTCAAGGCTCAGGCTTGGAATTGTGTTTCGAGTTTGTGCGCTATTGTATTCTTTGTTCACAGCTGCTGTGTAAAAAAATCCTTTATCACTACACTGAATACTAACAGGGTTGTATTGGAGGAATGCACACAGGAATACATTACCGCCAATGTGCGAATCATTTCACTATCAGGCAAATTAGAGCTGATTTTTCACAAGTCTTTATCAATGACCCTCAGAAGAGGGAGGTTGAATTGCTACGGACCAGCTCAAATTACTACTTAGGATGGTCTCTTGCCACGTACTAGGCTTACTATTTTAATAGTATATGTAGGTGTCTGTTTACTCATGTTGTATTCATAAATCCGCCTCCTGCAGGGCATCCGTGTCCACTGAGTGCCCTTGAACATGCCATGAGTAGTCTTTCCTCGCCTCGACTAAAAAGAGACCTGAAAGACAGCTACACACGCTTCCGCACAGTTGGATAAAACAAACCTTAACCACACAACTCAACCTCACCAAAGAACTTGCTTTTTTCAAAAGATGTTCAGAAGAGTGCTCTTTTTTTTCTCTTGCTCTCCTTGTCTTTGCTTTTTCTCTCCCTTGGTAAAACAAATGCATCATTTTTCAGTATAAGAAGAAAAAAAAAGAAAAAGAAAAAACCTTTACTCCCTCCTCTCCCTCCCATTGTGCCGTTTCCGTGTATGGAAGTGTTCCCTCCCATTGATTTTCTCCCAGCCAGGGCCCTACCCAACACAAGCCGCTTCCTCGCCGGTGTCATCTCCTTGTGCCTTTCTGCTTTTAACCACATTTTTACTCTTGTGGCAAAATGTACAACTGCCAAACTGGCTCTTAGGGTGGAAATGGAGAGGGCAGCGCAAGATAAAACTGATACATGCGCTGAAAAGTTTCAACTATTGATTTCTTTTTGATGCAGATGGGGAAGAAAAAAAAACCTCTTCAAAGCTTCTGAGAGCCTTTTTGATCACTGGAGATGATCTGTTTGGTTAGCACAAGAATACACTTGTTTTTTCATTGTGTTATGGTCAGCCACTCTTTCAACACAAAGGCTTGAATAAGGTTATTAAAAGGCACTTGGATCAAAAAATGCTGATCATGTATTTGTGCAACAATTTCCAGGAAAGAGTGCCACTTCTGGTCAAAAATACTTCTTTTCAGAGTGACATAAACTGCACTCTGCAGCGGTAATAATGAAGGAATCAGCTGTGAAAAAGAGTTTTCTCAAATGTAGGGAATATTCCTGACATCCATAAATTCAAACCAGGATAGTCAAATCAAAGGCACAGGAGAGCCATGTGCAGAAATCCAGAGATGAAGGAAAAAGCTAGCAGGTGTATTTTCCAGCCACTGCAGCTTCTCACCCACAGCTCCTGCTCCCCACTCTGCCGGCCCCTCTGTGATGAGCGCCTGTGTCCACTGGGGGCTACAATTAGCCCATCAAACTCATTCCAGCCGGGAATCCACACCGCCTCTCCAATCCCCTTTTCTGGCTGTGCGAAGCCTCCAAAGAGACAGGCAACTTGTAAGACGAGGGGAGGTAGCCTTTGATGTGCCAGGTTCTGCCCAGGCCTCCCTTTTTGCTCATATCAAGGCTGAGGAGATATAACAATTAAAATGGCGGGTGAGGCAGCCTGACACCGCAGTGTGCAGCTCGTGCAGCTCGTGTGCCACATGCTCTCTTGCACAGTCAAGACCTGCCCCCTCGCAGGTTCTGGGTGCAGATATAAATTTCAAAATGAAGGATGAAGCAATAACAAGTCTTTATGCCAACGCTATAAATCTGTCCTGTGGGGTTTTTTTTCAGGCTTCTGATTGGCTGGCAGGATTTTCTGTCAGTTGAGAGCTTTCTCAACCTTCCCCTCCCTGTGGCTCTGTTTTTATTTTGGTGTCTAAATGACTGGTCTGTAAATCACAGATTTTTAACTGAGGGTAATAAATATTTCATCAATGTTTTATCACTAAAAAAAAAAAAAAAAAAAGTTGTCTTTTTTTTCCATTTATTAAAAAATACACATCTAAAGCTGGTTTGCGTTGATTTTGGTGCCCCCTGTAGACAACATAATACTTTTTCCTTTAACAGTCAAACATGAATCTTCAAACAACTATTTTTCTAATTGATGGCATTAAAAATAACTTTATAGAAGTAATAATATTGCAGGTTGTTTCTTGCTTTTGTAGCTCAAATACAGGTGTAAATAATCAGTTTTGTTTTGTTTTTAAAGCTCCTGTGAGGAGTTTTGTTTGTGTTGGTTCTGAATGAAGCCGTGCCTCTAACATCTTTGCTGATTTTGTCCTTGAAAGCTGTGTTTTCTGACAAAAAAGTCTCATCCTGCTGTCTTTTACTGTGGAAATATGACATACTGTGGAATATTTGCAGTGGAGGCAGTTTCCACAGTGAGCTTTAAACCATCTGGATTGACATGTCTAGCAATAGGCATCAAAATGACAGTATAGAAATTGTTTTTGTAGGTTTTAAGTGGATATTGTGTTAATTTCAGCCTGTTTCATACTCAGTAAAAGGAGCTTTAAGTTTCTGAATATTGAAAGAATATTAAAGAGACAGACAAAGTCAGCAGGAAAAGATTTTTGTCAGATGACAGGAATTAAATATGCAGATGAGGATGTAAGAGAAGACTGCTGTGTCCACAGGGGGCGCCAAAATGTTCTTCACATGTGCTTTAAATATCCAAGTGAAAAAGTTAAGGGTTACTTTTTCAAACATCACTCACAGTGTCATAATATCGTGGAGTAAATGATGTTTTCTGGTTAATCTGTGATTTCCAGATGTCTCCTGTCAGACACTGAACAGGTTCAACCCCACAGAGTGTTTTCTTGGCCAAACTAATCCGAGTTTATACTTTGATTTACAATCTTAGAAAAAAATCTCCTCCATCTGAGCCTGTGACTTAACACATCCCATGTTGAGTCCCGACCCTGTGCTGGACTGACTCTGTGCCAGCGGTTCGGAGGTGCTGCTGTGTTACGTTGTGTGAGATCAGCCCCACTTTCTGTCTCTTCTCTGGTGGGACTACAGGACCACAGCCGGGTAATTACACAGCTCTGAGTACCAGCCATGAGAGAAAGGCCCACTACCACACACAAACGCACACTCTTACCTTCATTCATGCGCACACACATACACATGCACATGCACACAGGCCCTGCCAAACACAAGGACTACATTATGTCAAGCAGGATTACAATGACTCCAACCTGACCCGGCTCTGCAGCTGCTCTGCCTCTGGCGTGAGTGTGCCTGAATTTACTGTTTGAGCTAAAAGACAGCACACAGTTTAAACAGGTGTGTACTTATGCAGATGCGCAGCTCAAGCATGTGGTTTGCATTAGTGGCTGCAGTGGAGCCAGAGTGAGCTTTCAGCGGAGCAGGAGTCAGGCCAAACATGTCATTTGGGGCTGGTGATCTATGCACATTCAATTCCCAGGATCCAGGAAGTGGATATTTCCTGAAATTCCAAAAAGGTGAATGAAAAAAATACTACTCAGGGGTCATGTGCGCAAATTTAATCTGCCACAGAAATTTGAATTAATCTCCTGCAGATAAAATACTGAAGGAAAAGCTTTAGTTAATAAATTCTGTCAAATAAAAAACAAATTAAATGAAAAAAAAATACAGTATGATATGTTTTTTGAGCGAGTATTTGTTACTTTTAGAACCTTTTATGTTATTTTCTAGGACAGACAAGTTAAATGGAGACAGGAAATGTGTGTAGAGAGCAGCAAAGGATCATGGTCAGGAGTCAAACCTGCTATGAGGACTATAACCTCTGTACATGGGGTGTGGGCTTGAACGGCTAGGCCAACCGGCGCCCCTTTGGACTCTGACTTTAGTATGACATCACTATTTATTGAAGTCTTTTCCTGTAACTTTGAACAGCCGAACACAAAAGTGCATAAAAATTTCAAGACACGGGGTCTGAATACTGACTGTCACTTCAAAAAGCAGATATTTTAAATTATCTTCCAAGCTCATCCCATCACATCTTGTTTCTTTTTACTAATCCCAGCAGGCTAATCACTTCCTTTGAGTTAGTCGACTGTAAAATCAAAACATCAAGGCTGCAATGATAATTTATTTATTATGGTAATGTGATTATTTCCATAACCATGAGTTAATTTTAAACCCTTTAAATGAAGCAGCATGAATCCAAGGCTGGGCTGCAGCAGCAACAGAGGTTAGCTATTTTATTCTGACATAACAAAACAGTGAGTTGGCATAAAGGCGAGTAAATTGCACCAACAAGACAAAAGGGAAGTCATGCTTCAAGAAAGCCGGAGGTATTCTCTCTCTCCCTTGTTGGTTATTCCAGACTTTTTCCAAAGAAAGAATCTTGTTCGGAAAAAAAGAAAAAAAAAAAAGAGATGCCATGGATTCCAGTGAATGCCAGTGAGAATCAAGCGAGCTATTCATGCTGCCAGTTGATTTAGGCACGCCTCGCTACACACCAATCAGCCCGGCCCCCAGCCCTCGCCAGCCACTCACTTGTCTGCCATTCCAACACAAGATGGAGACAGTGCCAAAAGTTCCAATTAAAATATCCATTTGTGATGTCTGCGCAGAAAAAAAAAGGAGTAAGGAAAAAAAAAAAAAAAAAAAAACAAGTACCAGGCTTTTTCGATAGCGTAGGAGAAAATACAACAAAAGCTGCCAAAATTCTGTGGACAAGCCACACACTTAAGAGTTTTCTGTCTACACAAACTAAGTATGAAGAGTGTGTGTGTGTGTGTAGGCAGGATGTGTGCGCGCGAGAGCAAGTGAGACAGACAGAGGCTTTCTGTGTGTGTGTGTGTGTGTGTGTGTGTGTGTGTGTGAGAGAGAGAGAGAGTGGGAGCGTCTTGTTATGGAGGAACAGAGCATGTTGCAGATAAGAGGGCGACGCTGTTCAAAGAAAAAGGCAGGCCAGTAAAGTGCGCGCCGATTCGACATCATCGCCTTACTGTCCCTTAATGAGCCTGGAGAGGAAGTCTGGTGTCCACAGAATCGGCTCCTGTCTCGCTCCAAATCACGCTGCCGGGCTTTTTATTCAAATCTCACACACAACTGTCACACAGCCAGTCTGGCCGCGCTGTTTATCTTACTCCAGGAGGATGTTAACAAGACAAATGAATGAATAAATACACAAATAATGCGTTTAGGTAATGTTAATAATGTATGAAATGGAAGATGCTTTCTGACAGTAACGCTGCACTAAGGATTCTTCCTAACTTTGGTGACAGGCTTGTTTATTTCCTTTCCCAGAATGCAATTCTCTGCATCTTTCGCAGGCGGTGTCTGGCCATTTCAGGGCATCTATAGCACATCTTGCTGATGAGAAAAAGTGGTCTGACACATGAGTTTAGACTTCTCTTCCATGGAGGGAAACTAAATAATGTCAGGAGTGAGCAAATCCCTTCATCCACATCCTTGAGAGGGATGATGCTCCTTATTTTCAAGGATCCAGGTCTTCTTTTAATCCATCATCCCTTCACTTTATGAGTGATTATAGGGACTTTTTTACAGGCCGGTCAATTATTGTGCCACTTTTATTTTGAAAGGATGCATAAATAAATACAAGAGCAGCTGCACGGGTATGAGAGAGCAGTCAAACTGCAGCATCACCTGCCTTAAAAGTGATGTCCCAAACTTCCAGGGCTATTACAAAAAACACAACAACAACAAAAAAACAAGAGCTGGGAAAAAAATGCTCAAAGAAAACCGACTGGGTAGGAAAATAAAGCCTCACATCTAATTCCTTCCCTGGGCCGAGACAAAAGCAGGGCCTGGCACTCGGGCGCTATCGACTACACAGGCTTGGAAGACGGAGAAGAGAAAAAATAACAACACGCACATCAAAACGGGAGCCAAACAAATCCAAAGAAAAGTTCAGATAGGTCTTCAGTGGAACCGCCAAGAGGAACCAAATCAAATAAATTGGGGGGTTAGACTTGCTCAGGCTGGCCCGACTAACCGGAAAACACGGTTTGGAATATATGAGGGAGGTGACAGAGGACGATGCTAAATGACTCACAAAGCAGATACACTGTGTTTACCCCTAAAAAACTAAAAAAATGAAGGCCCCCCTCTCCTGTTAAAACACAGGCGGGAACAGAAAACTGAATTCAAGGCGGGCTTAAGTGCTTTCTGGAGTCACTCAGCATTCCAGCATCTTCAGCACACACGCACACACACATCCACAGAGTTGAAATGTGACTGTGGCAGTCTATTCATCCATAACTGTAAATTGTTCTTTGGGGAATTTGGCAGGTCTTCATATTCTTTCCCTTCTCTTGTCCCCTTCCTCTCTCTCTCTCTCTCCACAGAACCGTCTCCACCACTCTCCATCACAAGCTGCTTCTACATATGCACACAACTGACGTTCTCCATAGCAACTGCTGGTAAGCCATTTCAAAATCACTGCGGTTCGAGTGTCATAAAACGAGCGTGAGATTAATTTCAAAGATATACCTACAACTTGTTTGTGCATCTGTAAAACAGGCTTCCACATACGAGATGATGAATCCTTAATTATTAATGTCTTAGACGAGCCTGGCTTTGCGCTTGTAGTGAACAAGATGTGGGTAAAGTACCGCAAAATATCAACATAGGATCAAGCCTTCCTTGTTGCTGCTGAATTTCTACAGGAAAAAGAAACTGTTTGGAATATTTTAGAAAGTTTAGCAAGCTTTCATTAATACCGTCTTTAAGGCCTTTGCTATACGCAGGAGTTGTTTTACTTTGACTTCATGCTTTATTTAAGTCTAGCAAATATCCCCACTGCGAATTTAGCTCAACTGTTTTATAGATGGTCCGCGATCAAGACCTTATTTTGAACACTGACTAAAACAAGATGTCCCATTCGCTGTTTTTGGACTAGGGCTGGGCGATATACCGAAAATTTACCAATATAGAAATTTACGACAATAACCGACGTCATTCTACCGTGTCGGTATATTCGTCAGAGACGTGACTCCACCCCATCCAGTCCGTAACAAAGAGAGAAAGACAGGTGAGGAGATGGAGGACAGTTCAAAAGTTGTAGCAGCTGGAGCGGCGGCTGAAGTAGACGAAGTTAATGTAAGGCACACTAAAAATCCTTTTGGCTTGTCGGAGCACTGCAGCTACCGTAACCTCGCGGAGTTATTGAATGAGTTAAATAAAGTTTGGTTTATCTGACTGTTTTGTTTGGCTTAATGCGCTTTATAACCCGGTGCGCCTTATGTATGAAAACAGACGCGGATAGACGTGTTCATTGATGGAGCGCTTGATAATCAGGTGCGCCTTTTAGTGCGAAAAATACGGTAGTTATCGTCCATTTATCGTAATCAAGGTGAACTGCTGAATGTATCGTGATATTGATTTGAGACCATATCGCCCAGTCCTACCTTCCTGGTCTTCTCCTGCTCTACTTTTTAAGCTGTAATCTTCCTGTTGTTGTAAACATACAGCTTCTGACTCCTCTTTGTTGTGATTGGTTGGCTTACATTTACTCAAAAAGCATCCTCCTCTCAACAGAGATATCTTTCTCATCCTGAAAAAGCTGCCAATTTTATTTAATGCACTCACCACTGAGATACTTTATAATCAAGCTCACCTGCTGTACCTGCATTTTCTGCGTTCTGTACACACACACGTGTGTTTGTCAGCATCATTCAGGAGCCAAAAGCTACTCTAAAATCTGCGAGCCACTCCTGGGATATTCTCCTAATCACCTGAACCCCTTCTCAAAAGTTCAGGTCTAAACTTCCTGGAATACGAAGCAGACTTTTCGGAGGAAAAACAAAGAGGGTTAGCGCGAGTAATAACATTGTGTTTAATCCAACACAACATAGCCTCAAACAGCGGCGAGAGCGGCAAGCCAAGGAGGGCCTGGTAGCGAAAACAAATCAATGCTCCTGCAGACGAGAAACTGAGTAGAGTGTGAGGAGTTAGTGTGAACGAAATCACACATATTCACTATAAAACGCTTCATTTAAACATGACTAAAATCACAGTTAGGTTGCTGTTTTCACACTTGTTTTCACTGTTTCCGTCTTTTCCCCTCCTCTTTGTGGCTCAGCTCGAACCTCAGCCCTCCTGTGAGGTAACAGAAAACAGGAGTCACGTATCACCTTACTCCTGCCTTCCTCTTATGACCACAAACCCCCCCCTCCCATCTTCATCCTCCGCACCTCTCTGTAAAACTCTCATTCCATCATTGCGGCCGGATTCGCCTCATCCTATCCCTCCATTTATACTTCTTCTCCCCTCTCCTCCCTCGCTCCCGCCCTTCCTGTGCCCTCAGCCCAGTGCTAATTGGTAAATCTGTTGAACCATGCCAGCCGTAACAATGAGACACCTGGAGTTCTGTCAAAACAAGTTTCCCTGTGAAACGGCCTCCGCTGTTCATACAGTAGCGTCGCGAGCTGCTGAGTGTGTCGTCGCTCACGAGGCCGGCTGCGGAACGGAGCCGGGAATTGTGTTATCTTGGGAAATTTATCGCGAATAAGATAATTTTACAATATCGCTTCTGAACCTCAACCTCGTCACCACAAGACATTCTTTGATACTCCCTGTCCACTTCCCAGTGGCCTGTGAGTCAGAACTCTGGGTTAAACGAGTTCACGCTGTTGTATGTAAACACATGGAACTTTTAACCCGGCCTGACCTGGCTCCGACTGCCTGTCATCTAAAACTCAAGTCGCACCCTCGACGCAAGGATACTACAGACACGCTGGTGTAGACAAAGGTGTGTTTGTACGACACACACGCAGAAAGACAGGCACACCCAACAGCGATTCCTGCCAGACCTTGTCAAACAAGTTCTAGCAAAGGCGCTTGTATAAGAGAGGGAGGGGAGGCAGGCAGCGAGCTGACATGAGGAGAGGAATGTTGTTGTTTTTTCATGCTCTTTTTTCCTCCTAATAGACTAGTCTATCGTACTAATAGCTGTTTGCACAATCAAGCATGATTTACCTTCTTTCTTTCTTACTTCTTTTTTCCCTTTTCAAGGACTCGTGTTATTAACTGGCAACAAAGGCCCTGCAGAGTGTGCAAAATCAACAAGCAATTGATTAGTCAAACAATTCAAGTAGGCAATCCACACAGCCACGGTCGCCTCAGAAGAGATTAATAAGTTATCCCCTGGGCTTCGTAACGCGTCTTCCCACCCGGAAAACCAAAACAAGGCTCACTGATGTCCTCAGCACGTCGGCTCGGTGGAGAAATCAACACTAACTTTGCATTTAGGTTCCACTTTCTCAAAATTATTCAAGGGAGAGCCGCAGGATGAAGACAGAGGAAAGTGAATACTTTGAACTACAGAGAGACATGCAGTGTTATTTCACATTCAGGTTCAGTCAAATTTAATCCAAATCTTTAACCGGTTGACAAAAACAGTGTGTTTTATTACTCCCTCTATCTCTCTGTGAGGCTTTTACAACCAGATGCTGCCAATAAAGAGAATTCTCTTCATAACAGCGGAAAAAAAAGACAAACAAAACAGAAAGGCTCCCTCTCTCTCCCGCTGTTGGATTGCGGGCTAATTTGAAACAAATACAACCGCAATGACTCCTCAAGCTTAACCAGAAACAGAGAAGAGTTAGGCACGAGATAGAGCGACGAAAAACAGGGTCCGAAAACACATAAAGAAGAGGAGAACCAAACACCATGACAACCCCGTGAAGATGGACGACCTCTGTTTTAGTGAGTAATTTGGGTCCAAACTGTGTGAAAATGATCAACTTCTCCACAAACATCTGTGCTGGTGTTTTAAGCATTGAAGGAAAAAGCACACAAAGAAGCAGCAGCTCTGGATTAAAGCACAAAGCACAAACAAAAAACAGCATGATTATCAACATCATCATCCCCAGGATTTAGGGTGTTTTGATTTTATTTTATTTTTTTTAATGATCAATCATGAGGTGTTAATTTGCGTGTGGAATCAACCAAAAAAAAACCCAAAAAGATATTTCTGGAATTCAAAAATCTCTCACCAAATGAAATTGGTGAAGGCTCAGATCTGACTGTCCGGGGAATTCCCAGCAGAAGGACCCCTGAAAGGCAAAGATGGACGTTCCCAAGTCACACAATTATATCAGCTCTCAATCTCCTGCACGCTCCCTCCGTCACACACATAGTTATACGCACACACATCTGCACACAATCCCGGCCGGCCAGGTTTATGTAAAAGAAACATGTTCTCGCTGGAAATAATGTATCCCCTGGCTTTTTAGTTATTTAAACTACTACCTCTCCTCTGCTGGCTCAGCTCTCTCCTGGGTGCGTGCTCAGCCCCATTATTACTAATTTTACACACAGAGAACCAGCTCTGCTCTGGTTACATGACTGTTGGTACTGGCTGGCTGGTTGTTAAAACAATATTTCACTTTGGTAGAACATTTTATCTTCTCAGCGTTTACACCTCCGCAAATATTCAGCCAATCCGGGGGAGAGCCGGGGGGTCACCGGCGCAGATCTCTCTTAAACTGCAAAGTTAGCATGATGTAGCACAAAGGAGTAAATAATCTCACCTGGGTTAGAAAACAGGATTTTTGAAGTATCTGAACTCTAAAAAGGGAGTTTGTAGAGGAAGCTGCTGACTAAATCTGCTGTATTTTTTTTCTCCCTGATAACAAACATGGTAGCATCATCATCGTTTTATCGTATGATGAAGACACTGTAAGCTAAAACAAGTTGGTTCTACTTTATTATGACTTTAATTGGCAGCAATTATGTGCAGTTTATTTGCTGAGTGTGCTGCTTTATTGGAGAAAAGCAAATTAGAAAGGCCTCTAAACTGTTGTCTACCTGGTAACCTGGTTGTGGCTGAATCTGATATGAGTATCAACAATATCAACAACTCCAATACTGTCTACAGGTCCCGAGAGCATTCATTTTTTTTATATTTCCTTCACCTCACTGTGTGCTAAATTTAAAACGGTGACCTTCCGAGTCTTCCTAGCTGTTCAAATACAAGATCCTTCAGAGGATAAGGCATTCAGAGGTTAACTTGGCACATTTGTATCTACTGCCCCTAAGAGCAGAGAACTCACATCTCACATCTCCCTGCAAGATTTCAGGAGATGGTAGAGGACAGGAAAGGAAGAAAAGAGGAAAAATAGGGAAAGGGAGTTATTGATTTCCTAAAGAAGAAAGGACATGCGAGGAGAAAGTCTCAGAACATGCTGAGAAAAAGCAACAGGGCCTGTAGTTTACAAAGGGCTCCGAGAGCTACTGTGCCGGTCGCTTTCTCTGCACAAAGATCACTGGGTTCTATTTGTACTTGTGCTTGACCCCGAGGCCAGCTTGATAACTTTTCCAACAGTGAACACTGCGGTTATTGGTGAAACACACAAACACACACACACACGCTAACAGATACACATATGTATTATCCTTCTAAATGTGCATGTCCGACACAGAGTCACACGTTTCCTGGGGTAGCTTGAGTTCAGCGGGGTTATACAACGGTCAAATACCACAGCAAGGAAAATACACGACTATTTCCCTGGAGCTATTAAGACACAAACACACACACACACAGAAAGAGACACAAATAATACAACAAATTGTTAACTACAATCACATGCTGCCTCCTCTACTACATTTTCCGCACATTTCTTCGTCAAATTTTGCGAAACGTGAATCCTGGTCATCTGGCCACCTCCCCCGACATTAATGCGGCCTTACTTTGAAAGGCTTAAGGTTTTTCTGTTAAGTCCATAAACGAGGCGATAAGACTCCTCAGTCATTGTTATGGCATTGTTGCTGACTAAGCCAACAGTGAGTGGATTGTCTGTGGGAACAAGCGAGGCGTCCAGACTGCCGGACAAAGACTGGAGGTGCTCTCATTTTCATTGTCACAGTTCCCGGGCCTGACGCCACGTCTCGGCGCGGCCTCAGATTTTGGTGATGTAAGCATGACCCCCTGAAGAAATGTCTTGTCTGGCGAGGACAGGGGGAGACAGCTGACAGGCACAATAGTCTTTATCTAAGGCCTAGATCATAGATGGGCAGTAGATGAAGTTGGAATACTGGCATGTGCGCAGTTTGATTCCTGTCTTCATGATAAATATATTTTAGTGAAATTAAACCCACAGATAATTTAAGTTATAAAAGGCTCACGCTTGCTGAAAGGTTAAAGAAAAGGAGGTAAAAGAAGGGTCAGAGAGGTTGTGAGGAGAAAGGCATTGAATACAGTCAGAAAGAGCAGCTTCAGGTTGGTATAAGTCAGGCGGAGAGAGCCTTTAGGTAAAGCCTGTGGACAGCGCGTGGGTGGTGCCTGCGGACCATGGGGTCGCTCATTAACAGCTGAGGAGGCCAGGCGTCCCAGAGTTCTGGGCAATTGTCTGCCTAACCCAGGTGCACGGCCTATTCAGACCACAGGAAGCCCCCTTTATCCTCACTCCTACAAAACGGACAGAAAAGCGGTCAAGGAGGGTGAATGTGATCATCTTTTCCAACACAAACTCAGAGGTGCAGGCGCTTGTTTGGATCCACAGAGCCATTGTGGTGTGTGTTTTTTTTTCTCCTTTTTTCTAAACAATATCAAAAACACGTCAGCTCCTTTCACACTGCCTCTCTCTCTCTCTCTCTTTCTCTCTCTCCAGCACGCACTCTTCAGAGAAACAAGTGAGCCTGACTGGGAATAAAATAAGCATGTTTAGGAGTTGTAAAAGGCTCAGGTGGGAGGTCTTACAGGCTATAAAAACGGCCAGATTCCATCACTTCCTCCACACTAATTACCATACACTTGGAGCGAGGGCCCTCCCTCTCTTCTTCCCTGAGACCATGCTTCACTACCTCTGACACACACACACACACACACCAGAATACACAGAGAGGCACAGTTGGGAAATGGTTAACACTCCAGCCGTCCCCTGCTGCCAGTGAAAGCCCACAAAACAATGGAGACATTGTTCAAGCGGGGCTAGGCTCTAGACTCTAAGACTGTGTATGTCTGTGTGTGTGTGCGTGTCTGTGTGTGTGTCTATGTGCGCGCGTAAATATCAGGAAAGTAGTTTCCACGTATATGCTCTTAACATTTGCATGTTTCTGCCCCAGTTCTGTGAAAAGCATATTAAGTAATGTTTCAAAGAAAATCAAGGTTTTTTTTGGGGTCGAAAATTTAAAGATTGTGTTACTAAGTTAATTGAATTATTGCTGTCTTAATTAGAAATGTGTTTGTGTAGTTAAAACAAACAAAAAAAAAAACAACAAACAAACTTTTTTTTTTTTTTTTTTTTACATCATCCGCCATCTTTGAGTCTGACAATGTCAAATTAAACAATCGCCACGTAAGCCAAGCTGGCAAAGCGAGCCCTGTTTATAATCTTTCCCTCAGGAGCTGTGTGAGGCAAAAAAAAAAAAAAAACCTTTCTTAGAGTCTCCCCCTCAAAAAATACACATCAATAGGAGGATAAATATTGAATAACTTTCAGCCAATAGCATAAAAGTTCAGCGGCGGCAGGTTTTGAGGCTGCCTGCGGCGTGGTCAGGTACTTCAAACGGGCTCTGCACGGCCCCCTTTGAGGGCATGGTAAACAGGGGCATGCAGCATGCCCTCAGTCAGAGCGGCCTGCGTGAGGTCACTTCCTCTTCTCTCAGCTGCTCTCTTCACATCCAATGAGACTATCTCAATCTTTCTTCCCCGCCATTACTGTCTAGCTACGGCCATCTTTGTATCTATCACTCTCCTCTCTGTTGTCAGTCAGACCAATCAACAGCGTCTTATCACTGGAAATGGAGCCTGCAGGTGCTCTAGGTAAGGAGAGGTCAAGGTGTTTCTTTGCATTTGTACATAAAAAGACTAAAACTACTGTTTACTGCTCTGTGCACAGATAAGAGGAGGAGGAGGCTGTGCCTGTGGGTCTGTGGACGAACAGAAAAAAGAGAGAGAGGGGAACTTTCACTGATTGAGTGACATTAGCAGGAGACCGTGTGGGGTTATCATCAGCATTCACAATGCCGTCCGCAGTTATCCGTCTTCTCTGGATGTACAACAGGCAGTATGATGCAAACCAGGGAAACATTCAATCACACTTCCCTCACAGTCAGAGGTGGATGCTGGAGCAGGAGGGTAGCAAGCAACAATACAAGCTGCATTTCACATTCAATTCGATCACTCGCCCTAACCGAGAGTTGTGTGCCTGTGCAGTGCTGCTGCAATGCCTCTGATCTTACCAGCCCGTGTGTACCCCATCAAACAGATCACACTGTAGGGCTGGGCAATGTGAGCAGTAATATTACAATATATTGTCTGATATCGATCAGTGTCAGCACTGATAAGAATATCTGTTTAATCGTGCTGCTTGTTTTTCTTCTTTGAGCGGAAGAAAGAAGTGGTCGGACTCAGAACCTGAGATCTATCATCACATCTGACTGATTTGTTGCCCCACAAAGACAACTTTTTCTACATTTGAACACGTCTGTTGAATTTACTCGTAATTGTGGTTAAAATTTAAGTGTTATTTGCTGTTGAGCCAGAATTTTAACCCACTAAATCAGTGTTTTAAAGAATTCTGTACACAACCTTGTTATAGTCATTTTTTTCAGCTCTTGATAATATGATGTTAAACTGAGCGTCTCTTCTCCTCCTCTTTGGACTCACATGTTTAATAATACAGGGAAAAGTTCTGAAGTAATCAGCACATGTGATTCAAAGCACATTGTTACCCCCGTATTTTGTACCAGTCGATCTATTGTGTTGTTAAAAGTAGGTCTGCTCTTCAGCAACGTGCGAGCTGATTTTTTCCATCTGTCTGCTTGTCCGTCTTTTGTTGTTTCAAGTTTGTTTTTCGCCCCACAGCCAGTTTTTCTGTTCTGTGATGAGATGCTGGTGTTTGTTCAAAGCTTGTGAGTGTTGCAGACTTGACTGTTTGTGTTTCAACGCTCTGAGTGTATGGTGGAAAGAAAAAAAAGAGGGAGATGCTTGAATTTATATTACAAAAATAACACTAAAACAAATAACAGATTTTTTGAGATCATTCTTTAAAAAAAAATAAAAAAATCTGAAAAACTAAGTCTATGAAAATGTGCCATGACATCATGTGTGCTGCTTTCTAAAAAAGTTGGAGAATTACACATCGGCGCAGTCTTTAACCTTTAAAAGTGAATTATATAGCAGGAGCTGAGGTGGGATGTGAGGTGGGAAGTATTTACAGCCACATGACTCATTGCAGGATAAAACCTCAAGTATTTACCTGCAGCTTTTTCGCTGCCTACAACCAGTTTAATGACTTCATAGGAGTTGGGACTCTTTTCTCAGCGTCTCCTAAAATAACGGAGAACGAAGAGGCCCCTGAACTCTTTGGTATAAAAATAACAGCAGCAGCAGCAGCAGCATCGCGAGGAAAGATAAGGAGGGCCTATGCTGGGCTTGTTTTGTTCAAAATAACACTGTCATCGCCGGCTCTTTGTCTTGAAACACAACTTTTTGACAAGGTTTCTGTTTCAAATAAACAGCCTTGTCGACTCCTGCTATTTTAAGACGTGCTTAACTTAAATGGGCAGAATACCAAGGAGGGCCGAGGCGCGCCAATTTTTGAGTAACTGCTCGGGATGGTATTTATTACGGACCATAAAAGTAACTGAAGTGATCAAATGTCAAATGTGACTCAGAGGGACGCTGTGTCTTGACGGAGTAGTTTTGTGTGATAAAAAGTCATCAGCGCCTCCTGTGCGAGCCGCAGGGCCGTGGCGACTGCTAACTACAGTGTTGTTGCACACAAACAAAAAGGGTCAGCGGTGTATTATTAGCTCCTGAGCTGCACATCTCACCACGGGGAGATATTATATTCATGAGCGTACAAACCGGAAGGCGCCTCGGTTTAAAATCTTTATATATGCTCTTTTCAAATTTTCATAACAATATGTAGAAGACTTCAAAACAAAAGTAACAACTCTGCCGATACTGGCCGAGGGGCATTCATGATCACCTCACTAATTCCACTCAAACCCCACTCCCATTGATTTTCCTGGCTTGCTAACCCTGCGACCACATACGTACACCTCCCTGTGCGCAACCTTTCGCTGACCTCCTGGAAAGTTGATGCCTTTGGCTAACTTCTTGGTTCAACTGCTCGTTCCAGAGCTGCTATAGCCTCTTAGATATCGACATGCCTGGGGTGGATGCTCTGTTATGTGTATGTACTCCATATGCCCCTTTCGCCATCCAGCCAACTCTCCTCTCCTCTCCTTTCCTGCCTGACTACTCCTCCAACTCCGTGGACAGGCTAATCAATGCTGTAGGAGCGCCCACACTTCCCTCAAAGACATCATGTTAGCAGCCCAGCATAAGCTCAATCTTGTGGAAAAAGTTGTCAACATGAAACCATTGTACTTCTTTTGTCGTCTATTCTGGGATAACCTGTGTTGTAGCCGTCCAAAAAACACACCTGGGCTGCTTCTTTTTTCGTCCGCTTCAAACGTCGAACCAAGAAAAGCTCGAGTTTCCACAAAACCGCCTGAAGTCGGTGCATGATTTAGAGGTAAATGCAAACAAAAGTGCATTTTCCCAATCAAAAACACAGAGGGAAAAAGGAATGTGAATGAGAGAAGAAAAGAAGCAGGGTTGGTTTGTCTTTCTGTCATGGGAAAAAACAGGAAGAAGAGTTTGGGAGAAAAGAGGCATAGTACCGAGCGGAGGTGTTACTTACAACGATGTGTGCCGGTGACGGGGACCTGGCATCTTTAAGTGCTTGTCTACTCTGAAGACCTCCTGGTTGAACATCTAGCAGGGGCCATTTCATCTGTAGGTACTGAATGGCAGAAAGGAAACAGAATGGAAAGAAAGAAACAAAACATGTTAACAATGCAGAAATCAAAAACCAAAAAAGGATCAAATTAAAAGTAAGACAAAAAAAAATAGGGAGACGACATTTCTTGACGGGGTGTACAGGTGTGGAAACTGAAAAACATGGAGAGGCAAACAAAGATCTTAAGGCGGATGGTGGATGAGGTGAGGATGGCCTCGAGCGTGCATAGGAGAGTCCAGCAGGAGGGCACATAGTAGTTGTGTAAAACCAAACATACATACACAATACTCTTCCTTTTGGTAGTTGAGCTTCAACAGAGTGAGAAGAAAAACAAAAAATACAAACACTGTTTTTAATCTTTCATAAAAGAGCTGACTTTGACTTTAATTAAGTCACTGATTTGAAGCCCGGGCGACAGCAGAGGTTAGAGGTAGCACTGTACACAGCTTATGACATGAAGATGACCTAATGTCATAAATGTGACTGTTGTCAGACTTTTATTGGAAGCCATAAAGAGGTTAAAGCGTGGCGTCTCACCACGCTCCTCTGCAGGGTAGACCTCCTGACTGCCTCCATAAATGATTGACTTGGCCTCTATCAGAAGTCTCCCTTTCTTTCTCCCACTCTCTCTGTCACACACGCACGCACACGCACACACACACATAGTGAGGTAGAACAGATAAGCAGAAACAAGGGTCATGAGAAACATCTGTCTTCGTGACAGGAAGCGGGTGGAGCCGTTTTAATTTGATGACAAAAGTACAACCCTCAATAATCATAGCTCTGTCCTTTATACACTCACTCATTACCAACAGAAGAAAGCACATCACAAGGATAGACTTTAAAACCAAAACTACATCAGGCTCTCTGTGACTGCTAACTGCTCTGTGTTGGTTTTGCCACGATGTGTGGTCCACTCCAGACCAGTCAATGTCACAGCCACCTTATTAGGGGCTAAAGGGTCAGGGCAGCTGAAGGGCATGACATTACAAAAAACACAAACTTCTAATCCAATCAGCAAGCAGTGACCTCAGTGGAAACTTAGGGGAAGTTTCTGGGAATTCTGAAGCTGCAAAATGAGTTTGATTTAATTCAAAGTGGAACAGATATAATAAAGAGACATGCAGAGTTCAGATAAAGGCTTATTGATACAGAGGAGGGTAGATCTGCCTGTTTTGAAACCACTGTGCTACAGATATTTGGATCTAAGAGCCAGAACTAAATAGAGGGGAAATCTTCAATCCTTTAAACGCCCCGTCCATATGGAAATGAATTTAGGATAAAATGCAAAAGTTTGTCATATCAGAGTTTCATCCACATACAAACGTCGTCCCTGATTTCCATGGACAGTCCCCGTTTTGGATGACCTGTCCTTGGCTAAAGTTGTCCCTGGAAATGTTTCCAATTTTAGTGTTTCATGAATGAGGGAAAAAAAATGTTACACTTCGACTAGAACAACGTTTTTTAGTAGCAGGGTAGGTAGGACGCGCGAGAGTCCAAGAGCGCAAAAATCCGCATACGATTACTGTTTCGTTTTCGTGTGGATGCTTAGCCGCATCTTTCTCTAAACAATCACGTCACACATGGTGTAACTGTCTTAAGGTGCCTGTATGAGTATAACCAAAACATCTTCATACATATGCTCGGTACTCTTCTTCTTTGGTGCATTTCCAGGCTAGCATTACAGCGCCACTTACTGGCTTGGCATATGCACTACATCGTTTTCGGCATTTTCAGTGATTACGTGTTCACGCAGATATTTCCTGAAACAATCCAACTTTATGGAGAACTTTTTGAAACGAAACAACAGTATATCGCTTTCATTTCCATGGGGACAAGTCCTCAAGCTGCTGTAAGGAATTTCGTAACTGCATAGATTTTTGGTGCGCCGGTACGTCTTAACTCTGATTTCTCCATGTTTGACCTGTTCATGGATAGGCAGAGTATTTTGGATGGAAAACTCTCCTCCTGCTCAATTCGATTTTGACAATCGAGTCAAGCAGCTTAAAATGTCGGTAAAGATTCTTTCTGTAGAGCACTTTGTCTCACACCTTGGGTTACAAGCAATTACAAAACACATGTAGAAATGACCAATTCTGGTGCTGAAGGAACTGTTTACTTTTTTAGCTCGCATCAGTATTAATTCTTTTTTTATTTCAATACATATGCAACCATCGTCACTCATCTAGTAAAATAGGTGAAATGCAAATGGAGCTCAGCTTTGGCTCTCTGCTCTCAGACTGGCGTCCTATAGTGATGCAGGTGCATTAGATTCAGTTTCTTTGTCCTGCCATCCAGTAAGGGTGGCCACTAGTTGGTATGCATGTCTCAAGACTTGTGGGTATGTGTGTGTGTTCTGTATGTGTGTCAGAGTTGGTCGGAGAGTGAGTATGTCGCGACCCTTCCTGAGACTGTGTCTAAATCAGTGGTAATTAGCGAAGAGTTCACTGTGGGGTGCCTGCCAGTGGTAGACGCTGGAGGGAGTTATTGACTCCATGTCCTCGGTTACAGCCCCTGCAAGGGAAAAAAAACTGTTTGCTGCCTGGTCTTTCTCCACAACTACCACTCATTTATGACCCTAAGACGGCTTTTACTGCTTAAAAAACTGGGTTTGTTTATGCTTGTTTGTATGTCCTGAGAGTGGAAAAAGGAAAGGTTGTAAAAACTCCAGAGTTGAGGTCTTGCGGTTTTTATGGACCCCCCACACTGGGTATTAATTGCCATGAAGGGGGGGAAAGAGCGGGGGAATGGGTGGGGGGGTTGTTGTAAACGTACAAGAGGAGGAAAAGAGTGACAGGGTTGCTGTCATCCATGAGGTAATTCAAGACAGTATCCGTGGGTGCCACAGGGGGGCTAGAGGACAGCAGCGCAGTGCTGGAGGAAAAAGGGGGTGAATTCTGAATCCAGTCATGGGAAAGTCCTGCTGTAGGGTGAGTGCATGTGCACACATGCTCACACATGTAAATATTCAAACACAGCTGCATTGGGGCGAGGGGTCGAACAAGAGGACATTCTGAGTAGGTGGGTAAGGAGCGTGAAGGTGACACCCCAGAGTGTGGCAGTGGGGTAGGGAGACACTGAAAGACTACAGAGAGAGGGAGGGTGCCGCAGCGCATGCCCTGACAAGTGGCTCCACTTCAGCCCTGCTATTGCAAATGTTCTCACACACTAATCTCTCCTGCAGGTTTTACAAGCATGCCAAGGAAAACGAAGCCCTGGCAAGCACCGGGCTTTTCAAACCACCACCCACCCCCCCACTTCCATCTTGGCCTCCTTCCTCTCTTTCCCCACCCACCCACCCAGCCTGCCCCTGCTAACGGACGCACCGCCTGGGCTTGAGTAGGCCATGACCTCTGACCCCTTTCGGCTGCTTCTAGCCCCTCCCTGTTACCCACTCTGCGACCTGAAAACTCTCCTGCTATGAGGGGGCCCCCCGGGTAACTCAAGAGCCATTCCGATGTGACAAATTGCTCCGGAGTTCCAGGATAACTCTCTCTTCTCCTCTGTCCCTCTTCCTGCCTCCCCCCCTCCTCCCCCACCAAAACGCACACAAACACTAAGCAGTACCCCTCCTTGACAAACCCCCACCCTGTAAGAGCCACCCGATGGTTGTGCTCCGGCTCCGGGTTGTGCAGCAGACAGCTTTTCCTTCTCCCCTCTCCCTTTCAGCCTTCCAACCCCACTACCTCCCCTCCCTTCCCGGTCCTCTTCCCCTGCCCTGCGCCCCTCCTCGCCTGGCCGGCCCCACAATGGGCGCTGAATGACTCAATTGTCTCTGATGAAGTGAAAGACAAGGGAGTCCTCTAAATCCTTACAGAGGGATGAACTCACTCTCACTGTCCCGATTTTTCTGTCCTTTGCTGCTTTCCCAAGCTCAAGAAGTGAGTTGGTGGTCCTTCTGCAAGTACCACAACGATTTCCAGTTCAATTATAATGATTGTTTCAATTATTGATAACATTCAGAAACATTCTGATACTTTTTTTCCTTCCTGGAACCAATTCTGATATCTCAGCTCCAGTATCAAGTTGTAACCCTCAGATAGCAGTGTTATGTCTCTTTATATTGCAAACACTGCCGGCTTTAAACTCACATGTTACTTCCTGTTTATTTTTGTAAATATGTATTCTTCTACAAGACTGTGCATGTCAGCGCTTTTTAGTAACACGCTGCAACCAAGATGTGAGGGAGAAAGAGAGAGAGACAGAGAGAAAGAGTGAGAGAGAGAGAGAGAGAGAGAGAGAACAAACCCATCAAACTAATATTACTAAACATGAACATCTTATCCAATTAGGACTCCAAACTAGGGGTGTCCCAATACAACTTTTTTACTTCCGATATGATACAGATATTGTAGCCCATAGTGTTGGCCGGTACCGATATTGAGCCGATATTGGCACAAAATTGCGTATCACAAGTTTTGCAATCAGCTGCAAAGTCTTTTTCAGACTTGAACAAAAAATACTGCCACACGGCCAACATCACTCTTACTCCTTGCTACTTCGTTAGTACCTTAGTACACATTGTTGTTGTGATTAGGTGAGCTGGATCAGGGCGCTACAAGATAGAGGTGCTGACTACTTGCATCGAAGTGCTGATATTGGAGATTTTAGATGCAGGCTGATATAATCCGATATTCATTATTTTGCTAATATTGGACCAATATCCGATAACAATGCCTTATCAGGAACACCCCTACTCCAAACCTATACAGTCAGGAAATTATTGACTAGTCCTTAGTTGATGCATAATCTATAACTTATTTCAGCTCTACTTATTCAAATACACTAAGTCTGAGCGAGTCCCCTCTGCTTGCATAGTGGCCCTATCACGCCTACATGAGTGACTGCTTCCACACCGAGGTTTGACATGCTTTGTATGAACTGCAGAATGTTAACCCAGATCCACAGTGACTGTCATCACAGTGAAAACAAGCTCCGGCTCTGGTCCTGGTGTTACGGCTCATGGCAGAGAGGAAGTACACCAAAGACAAATAGAGGGTCATCCTGAGCTCCGACACATCATCCTCATGTCCGCAGCCTGGCTTCCACCACTTGTTTTACTAATTCAACAAGCTGGCGCTCAAACAATTTGGCTTCAAATGCTCTTTCCTGGTTCCAGTGCTTGACTCTGATCCTCCCTGAAAATAAACCATCTTTTCCAAATCCTATCAAACATTAACCGAACGTCAATAACCGCTATTGACCCAGGAGGAGAGGGGAGAAGTCTTTCTAATAAATTTTTTAGCGTGAATGACAAACACAGAAAGTGCAGGGGATTTCTGCCTGCTTCTGGTCAACACACTCGTTTTTTTTACCCCCCTCCTGTTCTGATGTGTTTATCACATGCGGCCCAGCGACTGGAACAGCAGCCACCACACGGCTTGTTCGTTTTGTTTTGGATTAAGAGCAGAGAGCTTCAGTCCAATCAAACAAACAGGGCTCCTTATGTGCCAATGTGGCTCCCAAACATTGGTCCAGTGGGCAGATGATGAGGAGCACTGGGGCTCCATGGAGCATTCCTGCCATGTGGGCAACGTGCGAAAGAAAGGGAGGGGGGCACAGACAGACAGACACATAGCAGCTTGGGTTTAGAGTCAGCATATGGATGCTGGGTGTTGCTCCAGAGAGCGCAGCAGATCTTTGACCCATCTGTGGCGGCCTCATATTCCAGACATGACATACATCGACACAGGCATTAATAAAGGCTTGATAACACTTACAGTGACCCATCCCTTCACATGCTTACTCACTAGTTCACACCTGAGTTACTTCACTCACCTACATTACATGCTCTGGTCGACAGGCTCAGCGGCTCCTCTGGGAGCGCGCTCGGAGATGAGATTGACAGCTTGCAGATTACACCAATCAGACTGCTACAATAAAGAGCTTTATTTAAGTCTGAAATGATCAAGGCTAGTAAGAGGAGCCCATTCAAAGCTCTGAAAGTAAACTGCACAGAGCTTAAAAGATTAGTCGCTCCAGTTTGACTACAATTTTATCCCTTTAAAAACGGGAGCTGAGCATATTGTCTTGATCTGTTGCAGTTTTTGTCCTTACTCGCAAGTTCAGGAGACGACGCACACGGGCGCTTATATAAACATGCAATTTGTTAAGGGAAGGACAGTAATTTTCTGTAATTAAGGAACAGAGAGGTTTAATGCAGCACAGACCCTTTGAAATCCTCCTGGGCCAAATACAAAATCACCTACGGACTCAGTTGTACATCACACTGACATCCTGGGAGAAACGCGAGAATTCCTCATCAAATGTAGGAGAAAGTTATCCGACACAAGAGGATCCATCATGGCTGCTTTGGTTCTGCTAATGCACATTTTATGAGTAAATATTAAAGAAAAAAAAAAAACACACCCCACCTGCTCTGATAGCCAGAGGCATTTTGCAACCAGGAAAATAAAAGTAGAATGTGGGAAGGCCTGGGGTTTGTGTGCCCTGGGGCAGGAAAGGGTCCGCTGGGCCCATATTTACTCCAAAGCCAGAACCGCTTGGGGGTTCCACTGGCCCCGACAGCATTGGGGCTGCCGACCTGATCCAAAACCTCCCCTTCTACCTCCTATCCCCTTTGCCAACAATATCCAGCTCCACCTCAAAAACTCCCCTCGTCTGTGTCTCGTAGGAAAACTGAACCTGACACTTATATGTAGCTTTTTTTATACAATGAGAGTGTGCACATGGCCTCCCCTCCCACTCAGCCCAACGCAGACTTCGCTTGACCCCTTAAATGAGGCAGTAAAAACAGGCTTGTGAAACTACTATTGTCTATTTTATCATGGAAAGTTTTACATTCTTGGCTAAATAAAGGCCGATTCTCTTGTTCCTAACAGATCGGTTTGGTGTCCTTCTTTAGAATTATTTCTGAGTGTTTGACTTTTGTCTGTCCGGATCTGAAAGTGAGTTTTGCTCCTTTATACACCGGTTCACAAGATAAGTATTGCTATGCTGACACTGTTTACTTTGCAAGTGTGGACAAATGTGCTGTTCAAACACCAGCTGATTGAGGGAAATGTTTCAGAGGGTTGCGCAACGCCTAGTTGGCACATTTCTCCACGGCAACAGAGAGAAAACAAAATTAGTCCAAAACTTTGTATCGGTGAAGTTCCTCACTTAGAATCAAGTCAAATTGGGGATGTTAGACTCTAAGAAAAACAACACACCTGAATGCACACACTGTGTTCTCAAAGGAAGTGTGAGGGTGACATAATTACAGTCCACATCACACCAACTTCTCAACAAGCCTCAGAAAGTAAACAGTGCTCCACTTCTGACTTTTGCACCCCCTCCCCCTTCTCCACTGTCCCTCTCCCTGTGTCATTAAGAGTATCTCTTGGCTGCTCTATAAATATTGTGGCAGGGCGGGTGAAGGCCAGCAGGAGCTGGCTGGTCTTCCATCAGCCCTGCTAATGAACAGGCACTCTGGCACCTTTAGCACCGGGCTCTGCTGCAGAATGCTTCTGCTTTCAGTTGCTTCTCCTGCTTTACAGGCTACACTTGCTGTTTTTCGATCTGAATGATGCTTTATTTTTATTTGTTTTCCTGTCTGGCTCACACGAAACTTCAGTTTTGGGGGGTGCTTCTATGATCGCCAGGTGGGCAGACTTGGTGCGCGCTATGGCGCTGGAGGTTCAGATCATTTCAACTAGGGGTGTCTCAATACAACCTTTCTTACTTCCAATACAATACCGATATTGTAGCCTTCAGTATTGGCCAATACCAATTACGATTACATGGGCTCTGTATGCTGGATATGGGTGCTGTTAGATTGAGGGTGCTAGATAGATAGAGGTGCTGGAGCAGAGTCTGGAATGGACTGCTTGTATCGGAGTGCTGCTATCAGAGATTTTTGCACGCCGATGTAATCCGATTTTTGTTTCGGTTTTTTTTGCCGATATCGGACTGATATTCAATGTAAATGTCGGATCAGGACATCTCTAATTTCGAGGGTAATTCATCTAACTTATTAGCCAGCTTTCTTACCTGCCACAAACCAGATTCTGATTTGATAAAACCCCCAAGAATGGTGACACATCACACCTGTTGACACTGGGGCAACGACATTAGTTCTCATCTCACTGTGTAACTTGGTCCTGCTCACACTAGTCGCGTTTACATAGGCACATGTAATCTTAATAAAGGGACGATCGGAATAAAAATGCGTCATGATCCAATTGACTGCAATTTGAAAGAAATTGTATTACAATTGAGAGGGGTGGTTTATGCCGATCAATATTCCGAGACATGCGCATGTTAACACTTAAACTGATCATGACTCTCTGTTGACTCCGCATGTGTGCCCTATGTCAACATAATACATTTCCGCCGTTAGTGACAAGACCTAAACATGGCGAGACCCAAGAGCAACTTTCTCGCTGGGTACAGTCTCCTCATGTGACGCAGGATCAGTATCTGCTGCGGGGCCCGCTTGATGATCATGAACGCTAGGAGCAATACAACCGCTCTCAGAACCTGGCTCAGGTCCATTCTGAGTGGAGAGAAAAATCCTGAATCGGATGAAGTGAGTCACTACCGCGTTTGTTGGTTTGTTGACAGCACAGGCGTAAATACAACTCTTCTTCTGCTGTTGTTTTAGCGAAATTAGACAACTCTACGCATGTCCAAATGCGTCTAATCTGATTAAAGCTTGGTGCCTGTATAAGCATGGATTATTTGATTTTGCGCCCATATAAACAGTGGATTAAGATTTTCCGATCCCTCAAATTTTAATCGGATCACGAAATGTTGCACACATACACATGGCTATTGTTGGAATTCCAGTATGCATAACACCTCTAATAACCATCTATTCATGATATAGAAACTCTCACTTGTCCTGCAAGTAGAACTAGTTTCAGAAATGCCTCTAATCCCAGTGCACGGCAGTCTGAAATCATCTTTGAAAAATGGAGGCCCAGATCTAGATAATTCACAAAACTCTTTATTTGTGTTTGGTTCTGATACTCTGCACAAACAAACAAGAATCATCCATGGTAGTCACGGCTCAGCTGGAGTAAGTTGGTTGATTGCCAGGCTAAAGATCAGGTCCTAGACCTTCATGGTTGCAGTCTCACAAACACTGACCTACTTAGAGGCTACATGGAGGTGAACAGGCATGCCCGCAGGCCTAGGTGTGTCTGAGCCCCTTACGCAAGGCCAGGGCCAAGGAGGAGAGAAGGTTGGGCAACTGTAACGCTCACTCCACGCTTACCTTCATTTGTAGAAACCAGGGTCTGAGGCGTGGAAGTGAAAAAAAACAGTGAACAGCAGCTGAGCTCTGCTGACAGAGAGTAGTAGGCTGATTGCAGCGCCCACATTGTGCTGGAGATTGCTGTGTTTGGTACTGTGCTGGAGGAGAGCTGAACGCTGCCCTTGATGTTTGGTGTCTGGTTTTGTTCTGCGAGAGTTCACTATGAATTAGTTAAACGGTAGACTGGATATAAGGAAGCTACGAAACATGCCTCAGAGGGAGAGAATGTGTACACTCACAGGCTTCACAGAGACTTCCGATACTCTGAAAACACTACACTGTATCACACAATTCCACCTACGCACATTCATCAATCAGAAAGCATTATGTGGACGGCGTTACACACACAAACCAACTGGCAATTAATCCTCACAAAAGCATCATATAAAAGCAACAAACACTGATTCACACTTGCACATACACCTTGAAGCACTCCAGCCTCCATATTCATGAAGCCTGCTCCCTCAGCATACCCAAAGCCGGAGATTTCAAGGGTTTCAACTCAGATCTCAAATGTGGTTTAAGGTTATGAATTTGTTACCCAACCACCTGGGCTAATTCTTTAGCTGTAAGCTATTCTATTTTGGGCTCAATTAGCTTTAACTTAATTTGTCATTGTTGTTGCAAAACACGGTTTTTACGGTGATATCATGCTTGAAAGAAGAGGGAGGGGAAAAAAAAGAATTCCCACACAAGCAATTACATGCACACTCACACAGTGGGGTACTGCCGCTTTGCCACAGTAGCTTAATGAATAAATAAGTAATAAGGGCTTGGTTATTGGGGCTCATTAAAATGGGAGACACTTCCATGACAAAAAGACCCGAGGAGGGTCAGAGGAGGCGGCTGTGTAGCCCCCGCCGTCCCTCCATAACCTGACCACATGCCCCCTGAGCTCACCTCCAAATCAACTCTGTCAGCGATACATACAACACACATACACACACAAGCACACACAAACACACACACCTTCTCCTCTGCATCCCCACCTTTTTTTTTTGACACAGCAGCATCTTCATGCACACACACCCCTGCAAGCACTGACACACACACACACGGAAACATACCTCTCTCATGGTTAATTACCACTTAGCTCAATCACATGGTGATCAGTCCATAAGAGCCCCCCCCCTTCCTCTACCCCACCTCCTCCCACGCAACACAAACATCAGCACACATGCCAATTATTGATGAATCTTTAATATGGCGTTTTAGAAAGTCTCCATCTCATTTCCTACCGCCGAGCAGGTGATTACTCCTCCATGAGGACAGGGAGCATAAACAGAGTATAAAGAGAAAACAGCTTGAAGATCTAAAATACAGCATGCATGTCGAGTAAGAATAAATTAGCTTAATGTAATAGGGTTGTAATAAAGTGGCCTGAGCAATTTAAAGAAGACAGCAAACTTTTATTTTTTTGCTCCTCCTGCCTTGCATCTCCTGCTAGCTCTATATAAAACCCCCGCACAAAAATCCCACGCCGCGATAACATGTCAATAATGAGCTGAGGCCATCTATTGATCAGCTTAATTTTGCATCTATTAGCTAGGGAACGGCTTGCTCCGGGGGCGAGGGAAGCCGGGCGCTAACACGCACCGACAGGCTGGATGGAGATCATTACAACTGATGTTCACACACACGCTGTGATTGACATGGAGATAAGGCAGGGAGAGCCCGGGCTCGCACGCCTCCCCGCACACTAAGCTAATGATACACCAAACGTGTGCTTGGTGTGTGTACGCCAGTGTGTGTGCGTGTGTGTGTGATAGAGAGCATCTATCTAGAAAGAGAGCTGGAGCAGGATTAAAAAAAAAAAAGGAGAAAAAGAGGAGAAGAAAAGCAGGCCACACGCCTTTGCTAATTGGCACAGTCAGACAGAGAAGCTCATAAAAGAGGAAAAAGCATTTAGTGGAGCACCTCAGCTTTCTGGATCGCCTTATCAAGTCAGCGTCATTTAAATAGCAATGACTGCACCGCAGAAAAGTCTGGCTTTGACCGGGGAATGCATAGCTTCCTATGATACTTCCTTCATTTAGAGAGTTTGCATACAAACTCAGCCGAAGCATTCATTACGTGAAGACCGTTTGTTTTCCTCTGGATTGCAGGATTTATGTGCCTGGTGTCAACAAAGCAACCGCAGAAAAAGAGCAAAGAGAAAGTGTTTTTTTTTCTTTTTCTTTTTCTCACTACTTGAAGAAGACGTGTACAGAGGAGGGGTGGATCTATACGGAGTGAAAACAATATAGTGTAATGCCCTTTTTCTCCTGATAACCTATCCACCGCTGCTGCACCGCTGGGCCGCCTGGCTTTTGCATTGATGCAACCAGCTGCAATATTGTGGATGCTGCATGTCGTACACACACTGAGTGCGAGAAATGGAAGGGAGAGGAAAAGGCCGGGGCAGTGGAAGTGCACCTTTTACCACGCCATCAAAAGAAGACGTCTGACTATCTGCGTACGCCATCTGTATATGCGCGTTTTTCACGTGGAAAGGGGGTCTCTTTAGAGCCGGATCAGTTCTATGGAGGTGAGGTCAGACTCAACACACACACACACTCACAATGAAAAAAAAAAAAAAAACCTTTGGCTACAAACTGTGTGTTTTTGTCAGCTGAGGGATGCAGCGAAGGGATCGAGGGAGCAAGGGGGGAGGAGGGAGGAGGGGAGAGAGAGAGAGAGAGAGAGAGAGAGAGAGAGAGAGGAGGAGAGAGGAAAAAAAGCCCTCAGCCAAGCCATCAAGTTGAACATTGAACTTCACAGTAGTAGCTGCCTTTCTATGCCTCTCCTTTTGATGTTACCTCCAAAGCAAAGGATCAAAGGCTTGGAGTGTGGCGTGGGGAAGTCCCAAGCTCTTAGCCTGCCAGCCTGTGATATATGCAAAAGTCTACGCCAAAAGAGAGAGAGAGAGAGAGAGAGTGGGGCAGAGGAAAAAGAGAGCAAGAGTGAAAAAAAAAAAAAAGAGGAAGCCTGCATGGAATGTGGCTAAATAGTATGTTTGGGTCTAATGAATGACAAGAGGATGATGCAATCAGTCGGCTAGTTACAGTATGACAGAGTGGGAGAAAGTGCGCGCACACCCACACTCAGAGATGATTCTCAGAGAGGGCAGGGCGCAGAGGCAGGGAGGTTTTCGGGGGTGCTTGCAGTGCGTGTTGCCCTCACGACTTCCCCCCTCACCTCACGTTCAACCAGCAACATGGGACACCCCCCCCTCCAACCCACCCCAACCCACTTCCACCTCACACCAACCCCCCAGTGCCTCTCCAACATCAAGGGGTTCGAGAGGCAGTGTCGTCTCGACATAAATATACAGTGTGCCGTTAAAGCGAAGACTACAGTAAACAGACTGTGCATAGATCCTGGTTGTGTCTCGCTGGAGTGCAAACACACACAGACACACACACACAGGCACACACAACACACACAACGTGGGCTCAGCTGGGCCAAAGAGGAGAGCAGAGGTGTGCTAAACTTGACAAATCTCTACGAGACAAACACACACACACACACACAAACACGCACGCAAACTCACACACCCTTTCCCCAAGGCTGTAGGATTAAGAGGTCCAGCTGGCTGACAGCAAGCCCTTCCTTCCCACGTATCCCGTCGATCTCACCCCCCACTCCCCCTCCACCCAGCCTCCACCACTCCACAGCCCCTCCCACACTTCCACCACTACCCCCCCTAAAGGTCTGCCAGCCCATCCAGCTTGCCGAGCATGCCAGGAGGACACACCTGAATTTGACAGCGATCAGCCTCGAGTCGGTATCACCTCAAATCATCCGACGTATATTCACACAACGGAGGAAAAATAAATCCAGAGGCGCAGGAAATCCTGGATTTTGGGGAGGAAGTGGTTGTAGAAACTTAGGAGAAGCCAGCACAGCATTGTCTGTCCATCTAGTCCTTGTCAGAGCTGCTGCTTGTGTTTTCAAGATACAGACTCATCAAAAGTCGAGGCCTTGAGAGATGGACAAACAAGTAGGAGGAAATAAAGAGTGAAAGGGGATGTTGTTGGAGGAACTAGAGAAAGTGAGAAAGAGTTTTCAAGTAGAAGAAACCCCCACCCTTCTCTTACCCCTCTACTCAACAGCTGCCAGGTCGCTTTACGAATGTGTGCATGAAAATATGCAGCAGGGTGTTGTTTGAGTGTTATATCATTTTGTCGACAGGGAAGTATGCGCGTTTAAATGTTCGAGAAAATAAGCGTTCAGTATTCCAATATGTGAGATAACCGAGAGCTTGGATTATGTTACCGGAGAGGGTTTAGCACGTTTCGTGTGTAAGCATGCATCCAGGGCTGGAGGGGATGAAGATGCAAGAATGGGGCGGTCCAGAGAGGAAGAGTGGAGAACTGAGATTTGAGAAAGTTATGATTTAAGAGGGTGTGTAAGACGAAGGGAACTGTCTATCTAAAGCATTTGAATGAATAAATAACTACTCTTTGAGTACAATATTTACTATTACACCATTTTCTCCTGTTTTATTCTCAGATCAGCAACATGCTGTTTGTATGAGATGTTCCAGAGACACGACTGGAGGAGTAGGTGGTCATTTGGTCAGGATACAGACGCCTCCTCACAAGTCTGTTTGTTATGGAAGCATCTTCTACACTAATGAGCCCTAATAATTATCAGGGTGTCCCAATACATTTTTTTTACTTCCCAAATGATACTGATATCGTAGCCTTCAGTATTGGCAAATATCGATATTGATCCAATATTCGCACAAACTTGTGCTCGTCAAGTTTTGCACTCTGCAATGTCTTTTTCGGACTTGAATGAAAAATACTGCCACACAGCCGACGTCACTCCTACTCCTTACTACTTTCTTAGTACCTTAGTACACACTGTTGTTGTGAACACATGGGCTCTGCAGATCCAGGTGCTGCTAGCTAGAGGTGCTGAAGCGGAGTCTGGAATGGACTGCTTGCATCGCAGTGCTGATATCGGAGATTTTAGATGCAGGCCACTACAATCCAATATTCGTTTTTTTGCTGATATCGGATGGTTTCCGGGACATCTTTACTAATAACCATCAGAGACAGTGACATGAGATACTAATTTGGAGGGACTACAGGCAACAACTTCCCACTTAAAATCCCAAATTTCATTTTGATAAAGGCAGGAATAAATCGAAAAATTAACTATTTCCAACACTGGTTCTGGTATACGCATTCCTATTAGTATCGGTATCAGTATCACCATCAAGTTCCCTGCAGAGTGAATTTGTTGAACATGTGTAACTGGTTTCCAAAGTTGGCGTGAACATCACTCCGAAGTCAAATTGATTTGTCGGACACACCCCTCGCCAGAGCGGCAATTCCTTACTCAGCGGTCGAGACTGCGGTCTCTAATATTGGCTGGATACTCCAAGGCTACGACGATGAAACATGTGAACACTCCAGGTTTCTTGCTGCCAAGAGTTACATGTGAGCGACGAGCCCAATAAGAAGCGAGAGGTTTGGGTGAAGACAAAACAGGAGGGTTTCAGAACAGGTATGATCAAAAAACTCCTGAGGATGCTAAAGCCATGCTTTTGGTTGCCTTGCCTCAATGGATAACTAATGAGAAGAGAGGAAAAATCCATCCACCAATTCAGTGTGATACCTTCGACAGAGGCAGATCAGTACTGCCGATTGGCTTCAGAGGAGTAAAGAAGGGGAGAGAAAGAAAAAAATAAATACAGACAAGGCTCGGTGTAAGGGAAGAATAAGAATTAGGGAGTGAGAAATGGAGAAAGGAGAGAGCAAGAGATAGAAGGGAGGGAAAAAAATTCACAATGATGACACGTAAGTGCAAAGAGCGATTAAGGATTTACTTTCAAAAGGACTCCCATTGATCTTTTTTGATAGACCTGCAATAAATCAAACCAGATTGACTCGCATGAGAACCAAGCCTAATCCTTTAGTCAGATCCAGGAGAACTCCAACCAAACCAGCTGTTAATTTAGGCTTTACAAGATAAAGCGGGAGAAATCCAACCTGATGTACCCTAGGGCAGGGGCTTACATCATCTCTGTAAAGCAATCAACTTATTGCCAGTTTGGAGAGGTAATCAGAGCACATACTGAGAGAGGAGAGGGAGAGCTCGGGGGGGAAGGAGGGGGTGGAAGAAGAGAAAAGGGAGACGGCTGAAGAGGTTAGAGAAGGAACAGAAGCGAGGAGGGTTAGAAACAACAGAAAATGAAAGCTGAGCCCACTTTAGAGATGTTATTCTCCTACAAGTAAGTCATATTTATTCTCTGCATACAGATCTTCTGACTGAAGCGGTAAAAACTTAACTTTGAAACAGAAAAACATGTTTACAACAAGCACATCTCCAATTATCTCAAGAGGGCAGAGGATGAAACGCACAGGAGCTAGCTAGCTAGCAGCACGCAGCAGCTCTCTGGGCTGACAGTATGGCGTGGAGGCAGGCTTCAGCTCCCCCCCCTCTTCCACACCACCCTGTAATTTCCCTGGAGGCCGGCCCAGACCTCTTCCCCATCCCCAGTGGCCGGTGCCACCTCAGCCGGGTCCTGCCAGCCACGCTGTGGCTGCACCATAGCACAACCATAGTAATTAAAATGGATATTTTTGTTTAGGGTGAACAAGAGGGATTTTTTTTCAAGCTCTGGGCGGAAGTATTGCAAGACACCATCCAGCCCACACTGAGCAAACCTCCCTGATGTCTTTCTCAGTTGTGTATTCTGTGTTTAAGTGTGTGTCTGTGTGTACTGTATGTCAACAAGGGGACTAGTAGGGTTTTAGTTCCTCTTCTCAACAGGGTGGTGTGACACTACAATGAAGGATACAGCAGATAAAGCCTGAAAACCACTCAAACGCCAACCCCCCCTTCCTATGCACACGCTGACACAAAGACTCATTAGCTCACCATATCCCCCTGTCTTTAATGTCCTGTTTACAACACAAAACAACCAGATCAGGAGTGAAATCCAATCATGCAGCTTTGCAGGGCCCATCACGTCGGCCTCGCAGGAGAGCTGAGGAGAAGCAGGCCTTGTAGTCTCTGGACACTGTCCAAGGGAAACCAAACCTCAGGAGTCAAAACAAAACCACACATAAAATCAGAGTTAAAACAGCAGCCTGGGTTCAGCCCGTCATGACTCCACCAGCACACACAAACGTGCGCACACACAAACCCTTCGGCCCCTGGTTACACCGTGTGCACACAGGGATCACTCCAACTTCAGCTGGGCTTCACTCGTATCGCCAAATTGTTTCAGGGTTGGTGACTTTGGGTTTTGTTACAAGCTTGCTGATGTGAGTGTGAGTGTGTGTGTGTGAATACAGACACACAGACTCAGGGTACATCCATGTGAAGGAGACTGCCACTTAAGCTGGACTCACATCAGCCTGTGCTATCTTTAGCAGCTGGGCTAAACTGTTAAAACCGCACAACAACACCCCCCCACCACCACCACCCCCACCCTCCCAGAGAGCCTCCCAGACTTCATATAAGACGGCCCAGCTCTTTGGCAGCGGCTGCCCACTGGCACCTCCCTCCATGGCCACAAGGTCACACGTTTAATTACACAGAAAGTAGTAATCTCACCAGACAGATGGCAAGCAGGCCGCCTCTCAATTACTTTATGCCCAATTGAATCATTACTGGTGTTATTTGCTAAATTATGGTGCTAAGAAAAGTACCACAAAAACTGGATTTGTGCTACAAGTGGGAGGGGGGAGGGTTACGGGGTCGTGGCAGTGCTGGGGCAGAGAGGCAGATGTGCCTCTTGCCAAGCAACTGTGACAGAGATCAAAAAGGCGTGAAGAATACAAGCGCATGACTGTGTTAGCTTTTGGGAAAAAAAATGGGAGTTTAATACCACAGTGATCAGCGCCAGACAAAACAGACCCTTATTTTTCTCAAAACCAAACCCGGTACAGAACATTGGCCTATGTGGAAACAGTCGGCTCCCGGCAGCCCAGTCGAGGAAACCGCAGGACAAGGCCAATTTAAAACGTGAAGAAAGTGTCTGTCTCTTAAAAATGAGCCAAGGAAAAAGAGTAAGGTTTCCTCCATGTTTTTTTCCCTCTTCCTTTTTAGAGCCACCAGTTTTGTCATTTGGGTGCATCCCAGAGGGCTTGATTCCCTTTCCTAAAAAAGCCTCCGAACAGCAAGTGTGAGCGCCTTCATCTCAGTGTCCACCCCTGTCGATGCCTCACTCATCATTTCTCAGCTCCTCCTGCCAATGGCTTCTGTGAACAATTAGAGGTCGACTTTCCCAGCGCCTGAGACCACAGCATCTCAATTCCTGGCCAGCGGAGCTGCAACAGTCTATCTGGCCAGCCAAGAAACAAGATTCCCTTCAAGTTGAGGCCTCAATTTTACTATTTATTCATCACTAACTGTTAGTGAGGCCCTTCTCTTTGCCTGTTTATGATTTAACACCACCGCATAGCCAAATAACTGCAAAGTAACTGTGCTGACTGGCCTTGTTAATGTCAACTAAAGAAAGGCTTCAGTGGGATCTTGTCTGAAAGTCAAATTATTCACCAAAACTACAGGACAGATGTGGCTCAGGCCTGCATGATGATCATTTCTTCGCTGGTTTGGGTCAGAGTTTTCCCCCATAGTTTCCTTTTCGCACCTTCAGCTGTCTTATTAAACCTTAAATTTATACCAATTTAAAAACAAACTTGACTACCCTGCTCTATGAATACAAGCATGAGAAATATGCCTGCCTGGCTGTCAGCCACAGCCCTATGTGTGTGTGTGTGTGTGTGTGAGGCACTCAGCTGAGAGGAGACTTCCGTGTAGGTTAGTAATTAGCAAAATAACATAAGACAAGATAAGGAATTGCATTTTGGTGAACGGAGAGGGCTCATCTCCAATCAGGGCTGCAAAAAAAAGCTAAAAAACACCAGCAACAACAACAACATGTCTGCACAGTATCCATTAAAAAGTTACAGGCAGACAAATAAAGGCTTATTGATTCAAAACAAGAACAGGATTCGGCCTTTCTTGATTCATCCTGCCATGAAACAGCTCTGCTATTTGTTTATTCAAACATTTCTGTACCACAGTTACAGAAATTTACAACAATAACCAATGTCGTTTCACCCATGTCAATATATTCCATGTCAAAAAAATAAGTAAACAAAAGTTTGTTTTGGATGTGTGTAGGTCGGCTATGGTCTCATGTCCCTTTAAGACGCTGTCCTACGTCAGAGACGTGACTCCACCTCTTCCAGTCCATATTAAAGAGGGAAAGACAGGTGAGGAGATGGAGGACGGTTCAAAAGTTGTAGCGACCAAGTTAATGTGGGAGGGGGTGAGCAGCTTGTGGAGTAGTTATCGTCCATTTATCGTTATCGAGGTGAACTGCTCAATATATCGTGATATTGACTTGAGGCCATATCGCCCAGCCCTGCATAGTGGTCTCATAAGGGATCAGCTTGTTTCCCTATAACCCGAGGAGGATCATTCATATGGGACAGCTGTCACTCTGTCACTCTAACAGAGGAATAAGCCGAGGCAAGTCCTCCTGAGTGCTGACACATCAATTTCAACTTCAGGAGATAAGACCCTGTAAAGTTCACATGCTTCAGAGTTTCAAATTGACAGGTTGTATTTTTTTTACCAAGTTTTTACTTCAGCTCTACATTTTTTGCACCAAATAATGGCAAGTTGTACTATCAAGAGTATCCCTAAAACCCGAACAATACACACCCCTACATTTCACACAGCTCAAATCGAAGTCTGGATTAAAGTAACAGGTTGGTTTTCCCAGCTTGAATAACTTTCCAACGAAGCCTCAAAGCATGAAACAGAGAGGTAGTGAAAAGCATTTGTCCTACCAGTGACCGTACTAAGACTGGCAGCTTGCCACTAACTGGGAACAGTTGTGTTGAGAGGCACGTCTACTGATGTAAAATGATCTGTGGGAGCATATCGAAAACTTCCATGTGGTTATTTTTCTGAGTGGGGTTAGGAATCGCAGCGGACCCTACACGGCAGCCAGCAGTTGTTCTCCCATGGGGTCTTTGCAAGCATCTGGGAAGAAGCGAGCGAGTGGATCAGGAGATGATGATGACTGGATCTGCTTTTTTACTGCCGAGGATTTTCAGATTGTACTCAAAATGATCCCAAAGGCGAGTGCAGAAAATGAGAAGAAAGGGTCCATGGAAGTTCCCCCAGAAGCCTCTGAGGGCTTACTGTAATGGCTCCCAGGCACATTTACCACCCCACTCGCCGAAGAGGACGGGGGTTTCCTGTTCCACTTTCCAGTTGTGCCATTGAGAGGGAAGCTGCACTGCTGTTAAATACCACAACGGGGCTCAAAATACAGGGCTCTGACTTTGTATTCCTAATTCTATCTGATCGGTTATCAATCACAAATCATTTCTTATTAGGCAGCTGATGTTGATAAACAGTGAAATATCTAAAAATTCCAAACTGAAGGCCATTACTTACTGACAAACTAACTAGCTCATAACATGTCACACAGCTTTGTTGTTGAAATCCTGGCAAGCGCGCAAATGCGTTCCCAATTTTTTTTCAAAATCTGAAACTAGTCCAAACGCTTACGTGCTTGATTCTCGGTAAATGCATCAAATTTCAGCTCCTTCAAAGAAAAGCTGCAAACAAAACAAGAAATCAGCTGGGCTTTAAATGCTTGCACACAGTTTAATTTGCATCGGTAATACGTTGAGCAGAATTTTTGCCAAGCTGTTGAATTTGGGTGAAGAATTAACACAGAATTCCATGTTCTGGTTAAAACAAAGAGCAAGAGCGCTCAAAGTACAAAGAGGATCTTAACATTTTAAAGTTGATTTCAGAGAATTATAGCACACATCCGATTAGATATGCATGAACAGGCTCTAAGACTCCTTAAGCATGCATAGGATTTCATAGAAAACCACATGTATCAACTGCAACTTGCTACGGATGCAGAGAAACTAACTTTATGTGCTTCACATCCTCCAGAAGAGTAAAAACAGTATGTCTGAGAGGTTTTTTTACAACTGGCTTTTAATGGACACATTCAGTTTGTTACAAAATGTAAAAAAAAACAGAAACAAGTCCTGCTTGTCCATGTGGGGTCTACCTTTCACCTGTCCTGATCATGTCACTGCCTCTACTCTATGGGTGGGAATCACTAGTGGCTCCACAATACAATATTATCACGATACTTGGGCCACAATACGATACTATCATGATAATTGGGCCATGATACGATACTATCACGATACTTGGGCCACGATACGATACTATCACGATACTTGGGCCATGATACGATACTATCACGATACTTGGGCCAAGATACGGTACTATCATGATACTTGGGCCATGATACGATATTATCACGATACTTGGGCCACGATACGATACCATCACGATACTTGGGCCATGATACAATATTATTGCAATTTTTTACATTTTACAATACGGTGAATATTCGGATACCATATATTGCAATTTATAAAACATTTTCAACTGTTTCAATAATTTAGCATTTGGCTTTCCTTTATGTTTATTTATTCACACTGTATTTTATTTTCATGTAGCACATCTTGCATACCTTATACATATTTGTTGTACTAACTTTCTCCTGATCTATGATGTCACCTATGCCAACCTCACTGAAAAGTTGATTTTATTTTTCCATTATCATAGATTTGACTTCATATGAGCAATAAATTTAAATAATAGATAGATATTTGGTAAATGAGACGATACGATATATCACCAGACAAAATATCCTGATACTATGCTGTATCAGTTTTTCTCCCACCCCTACTCTGCTCTGTGTCCTCGTACACTGGTCAGTATGTTTCATAGTGGACCAGGATTTATAGTAAACAGTGGTTTTCTTTCCCATCATTTGTTTTATGCTCATACCGCATGGCGTGTTTCAGCTTTAAGCGGCAGGACTGTAAGTGAGACATACCCATTTTATCACCCACTAGCAGTGAACTGATGCTGTATCCCGATGGCCCACACGTTGCTCTGAGCCCTGCAGTCTTTCCCCAGCTGCTATACTACAGGCATGGGGCTGCAGCTCTGGCACCTGTCTCTGACAAGCCTCAGCATTCACACTGACTCTGGTTTCCTGAGGCCCGTTGCCTGGCAGTCAGGTGACAAATGCTAACACACACATACACCACCGCGGACGTGGCCTGCAAAAACACGCGTGCACACAGCAATCCAAATCTACTGAACCGGGAGGTACTCCAGTCTGATCCCGACCACTTAAAAAGCATCGGCACCATAGTGAGAGAGGTCTTACCCTCTGGTGTTTCTCTGCCTGATAGCATAACCCTGCTCTGATTCAGGCTGTGGCTTAGAGCAGTAAACCAAAGCTTACCTCAATGCCTCTCACCCGCCCCTCTACGCTCTAACCACTGTTTTTGCATACCGCTCAGCTTGTGTAACCGTTGAGTGGTTTTGCTCAAGCGAGACAATGGCTGTGTAACAGACTAAGCAGAGCGAGGCCATCCAATGTCGAATGGTTGCGAGAGTTGATAAACACAGTTCTGTTCACGCAAGACAGGAAAAACAGCCGAAAGAGAGCTGAAGTAGTTGAAAAGGTTTCGTGATAGGTTTTGTACATCAAGGGTTCAAGGTGGAGACCCGGTCCTCAGGTGAGGTACTCAGGGTACAGACGGCTTTGCTTACCAGCAGTAAACACTAGACGCTATCCAGACGGTAATTATAGTCTCATTTGAAACCCTCCTAAGTTCACAGAGAGTATCAAGGTCATTTTCAGTGAGCTGTACCACCAACATTACACAAATGCTGTGTCAATATTTTACCATTTTCATGCTGCTGACTCTTCCAAGATACTCATTTCTGATGACACAGCATTTAAAATGTTCCTAAAGACATTGCTTGATAGATTGACACAAGCAGATAAATTACGACTGCTTTTAAAAAAGGCATTTGTTCTGGTACATGTTGGACACGACTGTTGCATGCAGAGAAAGCAGACAGTTAACTTTCAGGAGGGCCTGGTTGAGCTCTTGGTACTGCAAAGCATGCTGGTACTCACTCTGCAAGCCAGCGGACCACAGCCACGTTTCCCCACCTCATTTGCAAAGCAATCCCGCTTCCCTCCCACTCAGTGCCCTCAGTGCATCTTTTTGTCATTTCCCTGTCTAAGCTCCATTTGTTTTGTCCGCTGAGACGGTAAAGAAGGGGGGGCACGGAGGGGAGTGAGGAACCAGGTCTCAAGGAGACTTCTCCTCCACCAAGACGCAAAAAAAAAAAAAAGATACGCACCCAGTGAGCCAACACACACATTCACCTCTCTCCCCCGCCTGACTAATGTGCCCTGACACTCGTACATCACCCGTAAATTGGCCAAATGAATTAACCACGGCCCCTGCTTAGCTTTACGGGCTTTAAATGGATTTTCTCCTCTCCAGGTCTGCCCAATAATTGCATTTATCCATCTTGTTGAAGCCAGGTTTACACACTCCCAAAGATCATGCCAATCCCCGGATGCATTTTCCGCTCTGGTGGCAAGAGAGTGAGAGATTTGTCATCGGATCATAACAGGTAATTCAAACAACAATTAGCTCCACGACTCCGCCGTATGTCAATGTCTGGCTCCTTGTTGTACAGGACCTTGGTAGGAGCAATGACGTGCCTTGTGTCTCCTCATCTGTCTGGATAGCTCTTCCCCTTCTGTCTTAGCGTGATAAATTGAGCCTTGTCTTACTTTTTATCTATCATCCTAGCCTGCAGGTTAAAACAGCAAACACCCACAGTAGGGAGGAAAGTAGTGGCTATAAGTCTTGCACTGTTTCATTGTCCACAAACACACATTCAGACGCAGAGCAGAGGCAGAGCTGTGAACACCAGCATCAGTGGGGGTCATCTGCACACTTGTGAATGTTTGAACAGAAGTGCATTAGACACTGGGGGGCCCAGAGGACAATTCAGCTATGTAAACATGCAGCAACTTCCTTCCCTCAGCTCCTCCAGGCCCTGCACTGAGACAAGCCACTGTTTAAACAGCGCACACAGCATTCCTGTGCCTGGGCCCTGGCCAGCTGCTGTATCCTCACTGCAGGCCTGCCCGACTGCCTGAGCAGAGACAGATACAGGCCTTGCAACAGCCAGGGTCATCCACTACACACACAAAAGGGCTTTTATAGACATGCAAAGCTGGACTCTTCTGCTAGAAAGGCTCCAAAGCGCTACGCTGGCTACTTCAATGCTGACTGCCAAAGTCCAAGTAGACCTCCCACAGAAAGGAGAGATTAGCTATTGAGGAGACTGAAATCATCACGTCGCCAGCGGACCCATCCTGAAATCTTAACCACTTGACGCCACTGTAATGACGAAGCTGGAAATTTATCTTTATTGATATTTGAAATATGCAAAGCCTGGTGGCCAATAAAGATAGAGGGGGCAGTAAAAGAGGAGATAAAGGGCGTCCTGGTTCTAAAGGGCATCGTGACGTGCATCACATGACACAAAGGCCACTCCGCTTCAGCCATGCCAGTCTCCAGCTAAACTTTCATTATGACTGGACAGGTTTCATTTCCACTCAATATCCAATCCCGAACTTTGGCCTGGATGCCAAAAAATATGCCGGACGTTACATTTATAGGGTTATACTGAGTCAACCATGAGCCACGTTAGAGAAAATGTAGGGTTCAAGGATTAAAAGTGAAAAATTATTGAAAAAATATCTGAAGAAAGTATCTCCTGACTTGAAGACAAACTTCAGACTTTAGTGTTGTTAATTTTGGACTCAAATTTTGGAGGATTTGTTCTGCTTGAGCCTTTTCCAAACCAAATATGAAACTCAATCTATCACTCCAAGAGTTGTGAAAAGGACAGCCTCAAGGGGAAGCAGCTGGAGTAAGACTTGGGTCTCACTCTGGACAAGTAGAGGAACTAGGAGAGAGAGGACTCATCCATGGATTACTCTACAGCTTGAGAAAGAAAGAAGAATAATCGTAGCTCCCCTTTTGATGCCTTGTAATCAAAACAGGTATAGAGTTAGTATATGATGGTTCAGTTTAAAATTCCATTGTCGTCAATCAGCTGCAAATCCTTATTTTGAAGGGTGGCCAGATTTGTATTGTTCTCCATCGTCTGAATGCCCATTTAGTGCCTTTGTCTGACCCTCTGTCTGTCATTTCATCCCTTCTGGCGGGACACCAGAGGCCACTCACTCATCTCACCTCGGGACAGTTGTCCAAACAAGACACTCCATTCACTCTGACCTCTGGAGGGAGGGAGGGAGGCCGTCGTCGATTCACTCTGAGAGTCAATTTGTCCACTTTAGGACACTCTGCCTCACACTCTAGTGGAATGAATATGTATCACTGTGGACGTCCCCCCCGGCAGAAAAATCTACATTTATTCTAAGAGTAAACTTTACATGCAAAGATCCATTTTTTATGAACGATTCATTTTAAATATAAATCCAATAAACTAATTGAGCACTATTTACAGACTGCAGCCCATTTAAATTCGCACAGCCAATCAGGATGCTCGGAGCGGCATTTTTGGGGGGCAAAATAAACACTCCATTACCTGCACAATGGTTAGCAATTGAATGCTGACATGCTCGGCGTAGGCCATGTGTGGATGTGACAAGCTGTTCACATGAAATGTTATCTGCCGCAGTACACAACATGACAGCTGTCTCTTTACAAGAGGCGTATTATTATTGTGTTTAAATAGGTTTCTAACAGCTGGTTAAAGAGCTAACATGGGAATTTACTCTTAATCTGTTTTCCACTGGAATTGGTTCATCAGCTAGAGAGAGAGAGAGAGAGAGAAACAAGAGGAATCTGACGCTGCTCGCCAGTCACTGTAAAAGGGTTACATCTTATTAGCCTTGTGCATTTTTGAGTAATCTCGCCAACTATTTTTTTTTTTTTTCCTCGAAATCCCACCATAATCCCGAGATTAGTTGATGAATTTATTTCTGCCTTGCTCTCTTAACCCTCCCTCACCTTTCGCAGGCAGTTATGAATCCGGCACCTTTTTACGACAAACAAGCAGACGATCGCCTCATTAGTGGACTCACTCCGCTTCTTAAACACACACACACTTACACACACACACAGCCCTTGGAGCTTATCCTACTACAATTAAAAGTTTAATTAGTAGATTAAAAATACATTGACTGGAGTTTTATCACCTAAACTCCTCTATTATGTGTTGAGCTCACACAAAGGGCCTCCTTCCCATCTGAGCCATTTTAAACTGATTATCTGCAGACAGAAATTCCTGAGGCTCCTTTAAGACTGCAGATAGAAACTAACTCCCGGAACTAAAATATTGGATGTTACTTGATTAATTTTGATTGGACACAAGTTTGACAGTATTTACTTTAAGAGGAATATAAAATAAATTAAAATACGGCTAAATTTAGCAACAAAATAAAGTTTCATTTCTGTTTTGATGTGTTTTTAAATGCTTGTTTTCTGATTATGAATGTGTTCGAGCTGAAGAAGATATTAGCATGAATGAAATTCTTCTTCTGTGGTACGATCCGGAGCATTCTACCACATCCATAAAAGGCTGGTGTACCACAGGTGTTCGCTGCACACTGGCACGGCTAGTCATTATCTAGCCCAACATGATCATTAAGAGCTGTGATGGCAGTGTGGCACCTCCTCCCTGCACACACACACACACACAGAAACACACACACACAGGAAAAAAAATACTGGTGGAGACTCAAGCACTCGCTATCAGTCGTTGTAAAAAAAAAAAAAAAAGGGTGAGAGGGGAAGCTCCTTCCTCGACGAAAAAGCATGTCAGCGGCAGTGCACTTTGACCCTTCCCAAACACACTCCACAATCCAAACAGAAGGCCGGCACCACCAGGATTCCTCCAGCATCACAGCGGCCCTCTCACACACAGCGTCTACAGCTGATTTTTTTTTTTTTTTCTTTTTTTTTCCGATGACGATTAGGGTGGGAAGCGTGGAGAGCAACACGGAGGAGAGGTTGGCTAAAACTTGCCTGCTCCAATCTGTGTTCAATCCCTGCTGGGTTTTATTTTGTGATTCTGTTTTTTTTTTTTAACGGGGAGATAAATGTGAAGCCTAGGGGCACCATTGTTTGGACATCTAACCAGGAACTGTCGCTGCTCTCATTGCCCCGGCATTAACAGCAATTATGCGCTCTATTCAGACGGCTTTTGTGCGTCCGACCCCCTGCCCCCCCACCCCTCCACCTCCCAACTCTCCCTCTCTCTCTCTGTCCCCCCTTCACTCACTCACACACATACACACACATGCACTCCCAGCACACATTTCCCGCTTCTCTCTGCCCCCTCTCAAGCCCGTGCTTCCCCTCCCACTCGGCTACTGGTGAACTCATTTGGCTACTGGAGGACTCTGGTCCCATTATGAATGAACTTACAGAAATGTGCACATTCAGGCAAGGGTGGAAAAGAAGAAGAAGAAGAAAGAAAAAAAGAAACGCACATACCAGAAGCATTTCTGGTGCGATACCAGAGCTCAAACAATTCTGCACATGACATTCTGAGGATTTCTTACCCTCCACTAAGGTGCACTGCAGTTACAATACAGCTGGGTGCTGCTTTACAGCTCCACAGGGCAAAATACTTGAGAAATTCCTCAACGTTTAACTGTCCCGCTTAGAAAATTTATTTCCAATGGTTTTGACATTTTTATACTTTGTAAAGCATATCTATTCCTGCAGATCTTGACACTAAATAATCCTCACTACAACCTTTAAATCAAACAGATGCAACATATAAGCCGTATTCCCCCCTGCAACCATCCCCTGGTTGGGAGACTCTAATCGTGTTTTAGCTTGTAAGTCATAAAAAACTCAATAATCTGACAGACTGTGGTCATTCCAAAGCTCCCTGATTGATTTGCAGCCACAAAGACACTAAACAGTCGACAGTTTAGCACGTTAACATCCTACTGTTTGCTAGCAAACACAAACACAGTTGTCACTTACTTAATAACCATTTTTCTTGCGCAAACGTTCCTCCTTATATTCACAATGATAGCCTGATTACTACCTAGCTAACATTAGCTGTGATTTGGTGCTCCTCCAGATTTCCACCAGCGTATGTTTTAAGGATTCCTATCAAATCATGGAGCTGTGACGTGATCAGAACTCATCAGATTATCGAGGCTCGGAGAGCTTTAGCGAGATAATATATGAGCTTCCCACACTAAGCGTGACGTCACAAGGAGATGGCCTCTGTGGAAATAACGTCTGATGTAACCTTAAGTGTACTTTTTTTTATGCTGGATGCAGGGCAGAAATAATGCCAATAAAATCTGAAATCCTCCTGGAAGCTTTTTAGATGATCTCATCGACAGTTTTTCATCTTTACATGTCAAAGTCTAAAGAAGCTTGACTCTACGAGAACATTGTGGACATGCATCAGTGTATTTTTACATCAGATAGTGCTGTCCTTTCAGAATTCAAGATGTCAAATTCAAAAAGGGCGCTTTATTTTGAAAGGACTGCAAGTGATTTTTCCGTCTGTTCAAGTCGGAATATTTCGAAATGCTCGATAAAATAAGGAAACACAACGCAGATTTCTACATATTTAAAATTCAAAACGAACTGAACAGTATGCTAAATGTAAATGAAAATAACACAACACACTTTGTTTATAGCTACAAATACAAGTGGTGGCTACACACGTACACACAATAATTTAATTTCCATGTTTGAGGGAGCCTCGAGCCCTGTGGGCCAGGAGCAGAGCGAGCCTATATTTAACAGATGACAAAAAGTTGCATTCCAGATGTACAGTACTATCTTTGTGTGCAGCTCTATAGAAATGCATGGGAGAAAGAGGGAGTAAAGGGAAGGGGGTGGGTGCTGCTGGGAGTGGGGTAGTGGTGGTGGTGTGGGGGGTTACACTGGGGGCTGTAGGGGGGCACCAGTGCACAGCTGCTAAACTAATGCCTTTTTTTTTCCCCCTCTTTCTTTTGCTCAGGCACAGAGAAGCAGAGTGTGGTGGCTCACTGACAGAACCAGGAGGTGAAATGAATTTAACTCTTCTGATATTAATTTGTTTAAAAAAATAGAAAAATAAAAATAAAAGTGGAAAAATGAATAAAGAGAAAAACATCCAGGCTGTTCTAATGACTAACAGGCCTAATCTGTTACAGCTGAAATTACGCATCAGATTAGCTGTTATTACATTAAAAACAATGAAGTCAATGATTTAATTAAAAAAAGGTTCAGCCTTGACTGCAGCTGAATTTCTGCTACACCCAAACTCGGCTCGCACCGCCACCAGGGAGCCACTGCTCCCTCTGCACTGGTTAAAAATATGATTAGAAACACACTCACAAAAACTGACTGAGTTTCTCTTTTTTTTTTTTTTTGCCTGTGTGGAGTTTCAAGCAGAGTGACAGATTGACAAGCATATATAAGCTCCTACACAGCTCGGCCTGCCAACAAAATCAGCATTAGACAATTAAGCCGGGCTTAAAGCAGAAAAAGGAAAAAAAGCATGAATATATATATACCTCACTGGTAAATATTTACCACACGTTCATTCAGCAGGCACAAAACCTTACTGTACTCCCTCTGCCTCTCTTTCTGAGTCCCCCTACCATCACTGCTGCCCCCCTCCACCACTCCTACATCTGCGATTCATTGACTTTACAATTTACCACATGTCGAGATGGGAGAGGTCGAGCCTCCATCTGAATCACGGCACAAATATGCGAGTGATTTATTGTTTTAAAAACCCCGGGCCGATTTAGTGCAACTCCACTTTTCCTGAGCATTACTCCTATTGGCAGACCATGAACAATTACAGTTTGGACTAATTAAGCTCAGAGAATGTGCTGCGCACCGCTAATGTCTAGCAGGCCCCAATTTTAGTTTAATGGTGCCAAACTTTGCTTCCCAGCCCCCCCTGCTCCCCCCCACCACCCCTTTCTCTAACTTAACTCCTCAAATCCAAAGCAGATTGTGCTTTTTATGACTGTTTATTGAGTCGAGGAAAAATAAGGACCTTTTCTTTCCCCTCTACTCGCACAGGATGAGAGAGGAGCAGCAGCAGCAGCAGCAGCAGAGTGAGAGAGAGAGAGAGAGAGAGAGGAAGAGAGGGAGCACAAAAAGGAGTAGTGGGAGGGAAAGAGAGAGAGAGCGGGAGCCGCTTCCGCCATACTTTGTAAACAAAAGTGATTTGCAAGACAAAAGGAGCGCAACCTTCCGACTAAATTCAGAGTGCATTCTGCAGCTAGGGGCACAAATTGTGGCCGCGCTGTGCCACCAAACCCCCCGTGGACACCAATTAGGCCCCATTAACATGTAAAGCCAATTTGATAAGGTGTGGGCCCTATCCCTTAAATCCGCATTAAACTATCTTTCCTCTTGTCACAGCCAAAAAAATCCATTTACAGCTGCCGAACACACATAATCCATATGATATACCATTGTTATGGTTATGCTGCTGCCACGTTAAGGAAAGATACTGTCTGTCTGCGCCAATTACAACAGATAAGGCCTGAGCAATGTGTGCACGTGAGCACAAAGGCAGCAGCAACGTTGCATTCACTTGCAGCCTGTTCATTACAATAATCTGAGCAGAAAATCCTCTATTATTTTGACCCTAAAATAAAAAAAATGATAGAGGGGGAAGTCAGCCTGCATGAAAGGGGATTTATTTTTCCAAAAAGGTGAATCCACGGCAACATGAGCAATCCTGGAAGTGAAACAAAGAGGGAAAAGGGGAGAAAAGCTATTGTTTCAAGCACACAAAGCCTTTCCACCGTCTTGTAGTGGAATCGCCACAGGTTCTGGGAGCGTCTTTTTTCACTCTAAACACAGCAGTGGATGCTTGGTCTTGCATTTTCTGCACCCCCCCTCCTTACACACCCCCCTTCCACACTATCTTGTTCTTTTTTAAACTGGTCGTAATTATACGTCGAAACTCAAAACCTCCGCCAAAAGTCTCCAGGCTTGGAGAATTATGGGGCCAGGGGTGGCGTCAAATATCTTAACATTCATAAGTCCGAGAGGCAGTAAATAAAGCCAGCGGATTTACGGCCCTGCAGCCCCACGATGCTGGAGAGCCGGCCGCCTAGATCCCGCTCTCCCTCCCTGAGCCTCTGCGGTCTCTTAGACCTGTTGAGGTGTGATGTTAGCCCACAGCAGCGGAGTTAACCCGCCGCCTTTTTTCACAAGACCTGTGTGAGCATCGGCAGGAAACAAAAGGTAGACAGAGAGAGGAAGAGGGAGAGAGAGAGAGGGAGAGCAAAGAGGGAGCAAAAAGGATGGAAAACCGGGGTGAACTGGGCAGGCCACTTCTCCAATTCGACCTGCACCCAGTGATCCAGCAGGCCTTTGTGTGAGGTTTAGGGAGGTGGAGGAGGAGAGGAAGGCTTTTTAAAGCCTGGGCACAACATCATGTCAAATTGCTAAATGATGCTAAATTGTGAGCCTCCTTGGACTGAGGTGGTAGGAAAAACAAATTCTCACTGATTATGGCTCCCAGAGGTCAAACAAATTATGGTAACCGCCACATGCAGGTTTTTTTTCCCTTCCCAAAGACATGCTCAAACAAAAATTAAGGAAACAAAGCCGGCTGTCAAAATAGATCAGGATTAGCGCCGAATAACAAATCTAAATTTGTGCTCAAAAACAGCTGATATTTTTGCTCCACAAAAATAAAAATCACAATGTGAAATAAATTTAAAACAAAGATATGAAGGCCTTAATTTTGATTTTGATATCCTTGAAATACAACCACAGCAACATCAGAACCAAGAGATAGAGAAGAAGAAGAGAAACGAAAGGAAAAGCAGCGAGAATCAAAAGACTCAAAGACAGAGAGAATGACTCATTGCAATAATCCGAGCAGTCATATTCAGAGCCTCACATGACATGTTAAGAGAGCAAGACAGCTAATCAATGTCCAGGTGAATTATTTATGCCAGCTTTAAGTCTAATACATTTATTTTACAGCGACCGCTGACTTCAAAGCTCTAATGGCTGGACACACAGGGCGCTGCAGACAGTGGGGGCCGAGGCTCACCGCGAGCCGAAAAACCGTGTTCTTGCACAGTCCCTGTTCAGGTAGATCTTTGAATTAAGGTGGGAGAAATGTAGCCTTCTAATTTGCTCATCATGGCCCCAAATAATCAGATTTTTAATGACCTGATCACCTGGTCAACAAGGTAGTGACGTGGAGAAAAATCAAAAATGAAACAGGTAAACTCATAACATTGTTGTAACATTTTTACAGGGGTCTTAGCTGTTTAAAATTACTACACAAAACACTTCCTCAGGTGTGGAATTACGAGGGCAAAGGTCAACCTGGTCTAGCCGCAGCATCCTCCAGCCATGCTCCACAATTTACTGCTTCCCTACCTGCTGCATAAGCACAATGAAGTGAGCGCTCCGCCGAGTGTAACAGTGAACACAGCGCTGTGGTAGCCACAAAGAACAAAACTACAAACCTCTCTGCCACTGAAACAAGGAAGTGCCTCAGCTCAAATCATGTGTGTTGTTGTCAATGAATGTTTGTGTCAGCGCTGATGAGAATAATGAGTGACTAATTCCAAAAACCAGCCGGTAGCGTTAACAAGGCCGGCTGACTAAGAGGGAAAGAATGGCAAAATGTTCTCTTATGAGCATATGCCAGGAATGATAAAATCTGTTCAGCAATTAAACACAGGCACACTCACACAGGCACACACACACACACACACACACAAGTGTAAGCAGCAAAATAATTTCAGGTGATCATGTGGAACTCAAAGGCTGAAATTGTGTCACACACACAAAAGAAGGCATTATGTGTCAGGTGTGCATTTATTTAAAAAAAAAAAAAATTCAGGTGACAAATATCAGTTTCTTTCCTCAGCCGGAGCTGAAGTGAAGGTGGTGGTGGTGGTGGTGGTGATGTTGGGGTGGAGGGGTCATATTTCCTAATGCCTGGTCTTTGCCTTAACCTTGTAAAATGAGATGACAGGTCCTAAAGTGCAGACTTGTAATTGCAGCCGTTTAAAACAGGGGGGCAAAAAAACACCCGTGGTTTGAGAAAATTATTCCGCTAAAGGATTGCACATTGCCCAGTGGGACTAGTGAGGTGCTGAGCAAATGAGTAAGTGTGCATAATTATAGCATGGCTGATTGTGTCTAAATAACATGAATTTATTTATAAATATGGGTTTACATGGCACATGCTTTTATTTAAGGCAGTGGTTTCCTCATTAGAAGCAATGTGGCGCACATGCAGAGCAAAAATAAAATACAATTGCACAATCATTAACATTCAATAAATGACTCATTTAAAAAAATATAAATCAATTAAAAATATATATTTACAGCAAAAAGATTTTAAATCCATGCACCTTTTTATCCATGAAGACTTTACACGTTTTGACACATGCAAATCACTTTGATAAGCTCATTTGCATATTGATCTTAGTTGTGTGCCTTTACATTGCATTGCGCAGCGTGCAGCGTGTCAGAAAGTCAGTGTGAGGGTCTGAATGCTCATGCAGCTTGTGTTAGGAAAAAAGGGCATGTTTGATGAGGCTGTACAAACACGAGCCAAGTGCATTATTCAGTGGGTTCAAATCATGCACTAGCAGAACTTGCACAATAATTGCGTGATAATACTAATTATAACAATAATTCTAATTTTGATTTTTTTTTTTCGTGCATTTTTTTTAAGTTTAAAAAATATTATTAAAGTAAGAAAAAAACATATTCAGGTGCGTTTAAGACTTTTTTAAAAATAAAATCATAATTTATCTCTGCAACTAGTCCCAGCGCCTAGCATTGTTAGCATGTTAGCTCCCATGCATGCCATTGTACTGTACACTTCATGAGCAGTTGCAAAACTTGGCTCTACATTTTTACCGGCTGCACTTTCTGGGTGACAACTTTTCCATATCTGTCTGCCTCCGTGTCCACCCGGAGTCCGTGTCTGGGAGAGTGAGTGTGTGTGAGTGTGTTAAGGAGAGTGTGTGTGCACATACAGTAGTAAATAAATGAACTTACTGTGCGTGCTGTTGGAGAAAGTGATCCATTGGGGAGGTAGGGGCTTGTGAGATCGGGGATCATTATAAATGGATAGCCCGGGTACGGTGGGCTCTTGAACAGCCCTCCATCTTGCCTTTTCGCAGCTAACATGGCGGGGGGGAAAAAGAAGAAAAGTTTTTTATAAAGTGGCCTCGCGAAGTTTATTATTTCCCTCCATATTTACGCATTAGAAGGGTAAACCAGTGGGGGATATCCCTCCGCCGGGCACATGTAATGTCATGGTGCAGAAATTCAACAAGAGAGGAAGAATAAAGCAGAAACTCACCCTCCTCTAAACTTTCTCTTGTTTTGTCTCTGAAAGTTTCAGATCTAGGCGGAGGCCGTCTTTCCGCCTTCAAATGCAATGAAACACAGGGATTGCGTTAAAGTTAACACAAACGGGCGATGAGGGAGATAGTCAACTTTTCTTTTTCAAGTGTTAACATGTCACAAATATAGGCCCCGGAGTGAAGTTAAACAGCGTTAAAACGTGAGGGGGGAACGATCGTACCCCGCTTTTCGGCGGTGCAACTTACCTCTGAGTCCGACGAGCTGTTTTGATTCGTTTCCGACTCATTTACGAGAGAAGATTTGACATCGGCTAAATCCCTTTCTGCCGAGGAGTTCTCCGAAATTTTCTCTTCCTGCTCCCCTTCGTCTTTGAAGGAAATCATTTCATCGTTTGCACCCAGATCGTCCCCTCCACCGCCGTTGAGTTGCGGCATTTTTCCCGTGCAAAAATTTTCTGTATTTTTAAAGAGGGGGGCAAAAAACACGAAGTTTTTAAACCCTTGATCTCGGTGATCTAGAAAGTCCGAGTACAAGTTTGGGGGGTCTGTATTGGCGTTTTCCAAAGCTCTGGCCGGTTGGTAGAAAACTCAAAAAAAGGGAATCTTGGCAGAAAAAGGAAGCCGGAGAAGGAGCCGAGCCGCTCGGATTGAGTGAGTTGAAGTTGGTCGGAGTGGTTTTCAGTTCAAAGGCGGCGCTGATTGACAGATAGAGAGGGATGGAAATAGAGAGAGTCTGGATTCAGGATTATTGACAGGGAGAAACACACAAGAAACTAATGAGATTCAAACAGGGAGGGACTTGAAGTGACGTTTTCATAAATAGGAGGAAAAAAAAGGAGAGAGGGGGGAGAGAGAGAGAGAAGGAGAGAGAGAGTGAGAGAGAGAGAGAGCCGGCGGAGTACTGCGGTGGAAAGCATGTGAAGAGGAAAAAGGCAGTTTGGGAGCAGGACAGTGATGGTAAAATAGGAGGAAGATGGGAAGTTGCTAGAAAATTTGGATTAAACGCACATATGGGCGGTCTCCTGGTGGGGGGAACATAAGAAAAAAAAAAGGAGGAATGCACTTCCTGAGGCTGTTTGCAACCAGTTTGACTCCACCAGTCTGTCACACTGGGGCCAAATGAAGTTACAACAGGGCTTAAATTAAAGTTTTCTTCACATTAAGTCTCTATAACCCACTTTTCTTTCTTTCTTTTTTCTTCTTCTTACTAAATACCAGAGGCCAATCAAAGCAGAGGAAAAGCATTTTTACTCCAAGCTTGTTTTCCAATTTTACCTGCTTTGTCAGTTCCTTTAGATCTATTTTTCATTATATTAGATAATATTTCCTCAGATCTATTTTTTGGGACGGAGGGTGTTATTGCATCCTGCTTTTCTTGACAGGTGTGATGTCCTCTGGGACTAACCTGAATTCCTCACTGGCAGAACAGACTGCTTTTTTTTTTTTCCTCTTTTTTTTCTCCCTCTTTCAGCAGACAGAGTGGACACAAATAACTGATGCAGATTTGGATGCTCTATTTCTGCGTTTTATTCTCTTATAGACATACAGCTATACCAAAATAGACATATGGGAGTAAACGTGCACTGTAGGGCATAGGAGTTATTTAAAAACCACATTAAACTACCTGAGCTTATATTATTGCATATATTGCTGATTTTAAATGCATACCACTTATTACAAGAGGTTAGTAGATATTTTTTTTAATTTACCCTGCTTTTATTGATTAAAAATAAAATATGTACAAACAAGAAAAAAAAAATCCCAGTTAGTAAAATCTGTTTGTTACAAGTCAGGATAAAATAATACATCAAAAAACAGTCGTTTTCGACCTGAAATGTGGAAGGAAAAACCACCATGTGTATGTCTGTGTGTGTGCCATGATGAGCCCAGTCCCCTTATCTTATCAGTCCAGGAAAATGCACTTTCTATCACAGCCCCATATTTGATGCAGCAATCACAAAATCAACAATGAATTTTCAGATGTGTAACTGCAAGTGAATGGAGCTGAAATGCACACACGCAGGTGACACTTACACTCTGTTGCAACACGGCCGGCTCCTTTCACGCAAAATAAATCAGTGTAAGATCAAAAGGAGACGCAGAATAGCTGATTAAAAAATATTGTTTCATGTCATCACGCGGTTAGATGCATACAACCAAATATTATGACAGTAATTCCTCTGTTTCTGCTCGTGTCAGACAGCAGTGATGAGGAATTATGTGCACAGTGTAAAAAGGCTTGTGAAGCAGCACACAGACGCACCTACACCAGGCAGCACCATGAAAGCAGACTATTCCGCTCCATGATCACTGATGTGCTTTATCTAGATGAGGTGAGAGCAGTGTGTGAGTCAATGTGTGTGTGCGTCTGTGTGAGTGTGTGTGCTGGCTGCAGACCAGGCAGCAGTGTTAGGGTGGAAAAATGGGGGATCTGCGTCTCTGGTTCTCTGCCGGTGGAAGAAGAAGAGGCACCCCGCAGATCAGGGCCACTCCAAAAACTGAACCCCCACACGGACCAGACCAAAGCAAGGGAGCTCCAAGCTGGCCTCTCCCCGGATCGCCTCAGCAGGTACCTGAGAGAGTACCAGGGAGGGGAGTGGGCTCTGGCAGCGTGTTATCATGCCTGCCGTTGGAGGGACACCTGCCTCTGATGATTCTAATCTACAGGACCCTTTAATAAGACGATGATAGGCTGCAAAACTGCCGCTGCTGCTGCTGTCTGTTGGTCTTATTTATACAGTTGTTGTGGGCTTTTGCATGCTCACCTTATGCTCCCTGTGCAGATGTGGAGTGTGTGTGTGTGTGTGCAGCAGAGGGATTGTCTCATCCATGCACATCCATGTGTCAGACGGTGGAGGAAGTCAGAGACGGCAGAAGCAGTGATCTCAAGACTGAAGATGATGATTGATTCTGACCTCTGCAACAAAACAAAAATATTTGATTAAATCCTTACAATTTTATACATTAGGTAAATATGATACTGTGACACCGTGTTGCCTTATTGGTAACTCGAACATTATCGAACATGTACCATATCAATATTATTGTATTGTACTTTCAGTGTTCTTGGGAGGATTTTTTCAAAAGTACACGGAATTTTTTAGCAACTATGTATTCATAACTTGTTCCTACATCTCCAAAAACTAATCACCATAATGAAAGATTTCAAAACGCCTTATTTTGAAATTGAAATATGTTCAACGATACATATTTACACACTGTTTAAAAGATGTATTAAGTGTATTTTTTATACCTGATTTATTTTGTAAACCGACCAAACTTGTACACTTGAAAGCTTTTACATCGTTTAAGTTTCAAACAAGTCTGGAGAAATTGTTTTTAAATTGTTTAAAAATGAAAAAGTTCATCTGCAGTCAACAAGCAATGTTAAAGTAAGCGAAGTATTTCCACTAAAAGGGGTTATTTGTCAAGCGTATGTGATTTGATTGTCCAAAAAATAGACAAATAAATTAAAAGTGGTTAATTAAATTCACCTACAGGGATTTTGTAAGACACAGCCCCCAAACTGGATGTATTTTACAAATTAGGGATTTTGAACCGTCACAGAATCACATTTTTAATAAAAAGTACAAACACTGAATCTTTTGTCATTTTCACTGTTAGCTTTGACTTTATTTTTTGCACCTACATTATGTGGCAAATCATTTGACTACCATACCCAGTCTGAAAAAAAGTCAAAGGAAATACTTGGTAAGATAAAAAAAAAAAACTCCAAAAGAAAGCGTTTTTATTTTTTAATTCTCACACAGAGCAGCAAACTTCTTTTGAGAAATCACCTACTTCCTGCAAACACCCTCATTGTTTTATCTCAAGCAAGGTAACAGCAGCACACAGCGAGCTCACATATTCTGTTTGCAAACAGTTAATTACCCATCATGCCTCCATGTTGCCAACCATACCAGCTAAAAGGTCTCTCATTCCTGATTAACATATTACCGCTGGACATTTTCTTGTTTTGTTTTTTTTTTTTTCCTCCCTTCCTCCTCACAAAAACATGCTTGTTTTATGGTGACTGTGGTTTGATTTATTCTGGTGATGAGGTTTTGTTTGCTTGATAATAAGTGAAACTTAACATTTAGCTTTAGTTGCATTTAGATGAGAGGCTCATTCTCTCTATTGTTAGGAAGGATGCTGTTAAGTATTTTGGCATTTATCGTCCACACAGCTCATATAAATTCTGTCAGTGGGTAAATACTGTGGTTAGCCGTAATTACATGTATACTAATGGTGCTCATCAGTGTTTGGAATGGACTGGATGGAGGAAAAGACTTCTGATTTACCTGATAATGAAAAGACTGTTTCATGCTCTATATTATTCATTAGGGTAAAAGCAAATCAGACGAGAGACATTATCAGAATATGCCTGTAATTGTGCGTTAATGTTTCATTCTTGAATAGTTGTCTTAAAACTGTTGATAAATGAAGCGCGTCACTGTTTACATGCTTTTTAGGCTCATTTTAGTCTCTCTGAGGAGTGTGGCCAGCTTGGGATTTGTAGTCTTCACATCAAATATAGAAAACAATGAGGAAGGCTGCTTTCTACAGAGAAGAGTAATTACATATGAGTCGTATATATACCTTAGATATATATTCTTTTTTTTCCCTCTCATTGTGGCGGTAGAAAAAGAAGCTGTTCTGCTCCTTTGCCCTCTCTGCATTGTAATCATTTGACACAATAGGACAATACACATGATAAATACAAGTAAAAGCTTTGAATGCTGGAATTGCATTCTGAAGTCCTTGAATTTAGAAAGAGTGTTATGTTGACCAAAGCGTGAAGGGCTTCTTCTTATATAGGGAGTGCTCATCTCAGTCTACACGCACACGTACAGAGGAATATTGTGTGTTTACATCTACTAAAAGTCAACAATATCTTAGGGATGACTTTTTAAAGAGTGCACCAGTATTGAAAAGCACCTTCTCAAGAAATGTAGTCAACATTTTTTGTTTAATTGCAGTATGTTTACTATCCATAATACTATGAAAATAGAGGGATGAAGCTGGATAATAAGGAGATGAAGAATGTGGCCTTTAAAAATCATTGTTTACTCCTATAGATGTGTCATTATGAGACAATAACAAGAGTTTCATCGGGTTTAAAAGCTGAGGATGCAAGAAAATAAAAGGTTTACTCTCAGGATGCAGAGAAGTTTTTAACCCAGAAAAATGTCAGTAGTGGAGTCAGGAGCTTTCAGTCTGGACACTCATGATTAATGTATGCACACTGCTTTATCGTATCACTGTATGTATTGGACTCAAACAGCAGCAGAGCGTCTCCGTCCAAACAGCATCGTGGGAACCAGATCAGGCCACGGCTACGTGAGCCGTCTCCCACCGCCTCCAAAACAAACAGCCGAGCGCTTTTCAGAAACGGACGTGATAGTCATTAATCAGAGGTCCCAGGGCAGGGCGTGAACTCTCTAAACATGGAATCCACCTGAGAGACGAGGTAACCTGCAGACAGTGTGGACTTGGCTGGTGAAGATCTGGGCACATATGGCGTTCACCTGTCCATCACGGCTGCTTCTCACACGGGGAGGAAAGCCAAGCCACTGCTGGATTGTAAATGTTACTTAAAGGTCAATGGTAGAGACACCACCGGGTTAATGGTTTGGGTTGTATTTTCACAATAGCTTTACAGGTGGCATTGGGGATTTTTTTAGCCCTGATTTATGTCTTAATGCATAAGTATAATGCTGATTTTGTACAGAAATCCACTGACAGACTTTAAAGGAAAACAGAAAATCAATCATAGATGCACCAAAACCCATGAGAGCTCTCCTGAAGATTACCACCCCTTGTGAGGTAGGATGTAAAACACTGTCTAGGTGTTTTAGTCATGATTTGAAAAGACTAATGAATTTTAGTTGTTTAACTTTTCACTGCTTTTGTTTTCATACCTCTTCTATTCATCTCGAATTTTGCCTCCTACTGGGGAGACATGCTCCTATCACAAACAAGGAGGATCTCAGAAGAGCTACTTCTCAAACAGGATACAGGAGAAGGGGTGAGACGAAAAAGACGGAACAGGGTCTTTTTCTCATTCCTGACAATGGCGAGGAAAAGTTGACCTTTCAGGGGGTCTGAATTAAAGGATTAGTACGTGCACAACGAAAGCAGGTTGACTATATGTTGTGCTTTTCTGCGTCTAAATTTCCATGAACATTTATTCTACTCACTGCCATTTATCCAACTTTACACTAAACATTATGATATCATATTGCTATAAAAGATAATATATTGTCACTGAAGTGCTCCTTGAATTTCAGCACACATTGAACATTAGTTCAGGGATATTTTCAGTGCACTTTAGTTCAGTGAATGATGTTTTCTCTGGGTTCAAGAGTTTAACAGAAAATATATCGCCATCTTTGCTTAAAATGAAATCAAACTATCGACAAGAATAAAAGATATTACAGCAAAAAGAGAGCACTACTTTTCTTTCATATCATCTGGGCTCTGGTACTCATTCACTCACAGTTCAGTTGTAAAGAGGCTGTTTTTCCTTAATGCTATAAATGATTGGAAAAGCTTCAGCACAGAGAAACAGTTGCATCTTTAACGCTCAACATGCACTCTTATTAACGAGCGACACAATGGAGCCGCGACCTTGACTCAAATGAGTTTCCTCTCGGTGCAAATCAGAGCAACGTCGTGTTCATTTGGCGATGTTTTCATTAACTGGATGGAAGATGAGCCCATTAATGAGACATCAGTGCACATTTTCTTTTTTACAATACAAGTCAAAAGAAAGGTAAACATGAGCCAAGGTTGAGCTGTGAGCAGGTTATAGTTGATGCAGGCTTGTATTTCTGAAGTTGCACGTTTTTTTGTCACTGTCTCCTGACACACACAACAGAAAAACAGCACATAGATTTACAGTAAAATCTATTCATCAGACAATGAAATATGGCTACATACGTTTAAGCTCATGGTGTTATATGCCAAAGAGTATATGAATGTCTGAATTAAGCTTTTATACACTCGTGAATTTACAGGAGAGTCAAGGTTTGGGAGTTGAATTATATTAGCCTGTATTTTATGTGTTTTAATCATAAATTTGTGTATTTCAATAAAAATACTGCACTTCATTTGCGCCTCATGCTTCAATAAACGCCTCACTTATAATGATTTTATTAGGCGTGCTTTTTCTGCTCTAACGGGAACACATAATTCAAACTTGTACATCATGGGGAACATCTGGCTCTGTTTTAGGACGAAGGCGTTTCGAGCCATGGCAGCATTTTTACATGATCTGAGCCAGACACTGAAGGAGGAGAGCTTTCACATTCAGATAAATGAAAATACTGATGGGTTACTTTTTTTTTTTTTTTACTGGTGGATCAAGGCCGAACTATATGCTGTGAAAAAGAGGCAAACTTTGAAAGTTGTACATACTGTGATAGTGTGATCTATGATCATGCGACATATTGAACAAGATCATGATATTTTCTTTTTTCATTAATGCACGTTTATTGGGTAGTTACAGTACAGGACTGGTGATGTGAATAAATCAGAAATGTTAACATTCATAGAAATAGATAATGACATGTTGGGTACTTTGTGTACTGGTTAAGGTTATGAAGTAATGTGTTGCTCCACCCTTGTTGTGCATTTCCTCAGTTTGACTGGTTGTGTTATTTACAACTTTTACATAAATGTCTTTAAAATATTGTTTTTGTGGTATTTTCTGGCAATGATACCAAATTTCAATATTAATAATAATAATAATAATAATAATAATAATAATAATAATACATTTTATTTGTTAAGCGCTTTTCACAGACTCAAAGACACTGTACATAACTAAAATCATACATCAATATACAATAAAAATACATCAATATACAATAAAATACATCAATATCAATTAAAATCAAGTAAAATCAGGTAAAATCAACAATCAATATTGTGAAAGCCCAATATACAACTTTTTGCATAATTAAGCATTATAGGGTGGATGACTGACTTCACTGACATGCAGACACACTGTAGCTGTTTGTGAGGACACTAAAGTGCTGCTTCAACTCCACGACTAAAGCCTACCACTGCAGGTGGGCTTCAAAACTCTGTTTTAGAAATCACTGATGCTACGCTCAGGTTTTACTCTGTCTGTGATTTCAAGTTGTGTGACTGAGTAAGTGCGAAAAGCAAGATTTTGAAAATACCTGAAAATGTCAGGACTTTATTTGTTTAAAAGGCTTAAGACTGACTCGTGAATGTAGCTTTGAATCTGGTCACTCTCTTGTCCTGAATTCAGATCCATGCTGAGATTACCAAACCAACAACAGCAACAGGAGTTTGCCTGAAGAGATTTCTACCACAGAGCCATGTGTACTTTCCTGGAAGATCATACAAGCTGAACCTAGGCTCCATGGTGCAGGACCAGGATTTTGGAGCAAGGGATTGGAACAAAAGAGACTCCAATTTTGACTCAAATCCTAACATTACATATCTTTTTCAAGCAATATTAACTCAGTCTGAGGATATTTTTCTCTGCATCTCTATGAGAATGTTTTTATCCGTTATGCTCTACAATGACTATTCATGCCATAATGCAAGTTCAGACACTCAAAACCTGCTTTTATTTGGTGGATATGTTCCTAGACATGATCATTCTTAGTTAAATATTAATAACACTCAGGATAAAAAGGAACAAGAGCTGCACCAAACCTCACATTTAGTTCTGTAATTTCTCTCTTTGTTGAACTGCGTTTTGTTGTCAATATGACTCATGCTGTTGGCTCACAGCTGCTCTTTAAGGTCCGTCAGCCTTTTGTTCTAATGTCTGACTCTGATGGAGGGATGTGAGTGTGTGAAGTTTGAGGGCATAGTTGTTTCAAATATTGATTACCTCTCAGGTATCCCTTTTTCCTGAAAATTGATCCCAAAATCCTTTAATAATCATACACATAGTTCTGTGTTAGGTAGATCAGATACAACATGGAGACACACACACACATACTACACACACACACACTCACCATTAGGAACCCTTCAGCATTAACTGGACTTTTTTTTTTTTGGCTGCAGCCCTCATGGTCCTCTTCAAGGATCCTAATTGAGAAATTAATGCAGAAAAATCAATTGGCCTCAAGTTTTGTGTCCAATAGGCTCCTGAAGGCTTCAAGCAAGCAACAATCAATGCTTTCCACATGGGTGGCTCCAAAGCCCCTTCACTCTTTTGTTTATGAGCTCATAGCTTGAGGATTTTGTATGAATTTCAATGAAAGAAAAACACAAACGTTCCACCTTTTATGATCCCCCATAACATGCAAAATGTATATTTGGCAGCATGAAATAACGTCTTTGGTCACCACTTAAGGATCACTTAACAAGGAGGAGAAGATTTCTAAGAAGTGGAATATATTGTGCAGAAATTGTGCCCTCACCGCCAACACTTTTGAGGCTGCCTTATTTACACTTCAAAATGAGGATCTTTTAGCATTCTGTGATCATCCGCTGCATTGTTGGCGGATGAATCGGTGTGTTTTGTGCATCCCTCTTGCCCAGAGGACATGAGCTGATTTAGGGCCATTTTAAAGCACTGTGTATCATCATCAGGTCAATGAAAAAGCAACCTTGAATTCCCATTGACACAACTGTCTTTTACCAGCACTCAAACAACACGAGTTTGCATCAAGACTGAAGGCAGAAGGTAAAATGGAGAAAATTGACCATAAGAGGCTAAAATCTTCAAGCAGTTGAATGTTTTAGCTCAAACGCAGCTGCAATTTTCCTCTTTTTTTCTCTCTTTCTAGGTCAAAATTCCAACGAGAAGCAAATGGACATCCGCCTGTGGTTGTTGCAAAGGGAAAACGAGTGCCATGTTCGTCTTTGTGCTCGTTAACCACCTTCCAAATTCATCATAAGCCCAGGGATCAGATCACAGTAATATTTGATCAATATTAATAAGGATAGGCAAACTCCTCCAGTAATTACCACAGTCTCTCGGCTTTGATTTCGACCATTACTAACGCCTCTGCATCTTTAGATTAAAAAAAGCGACCCTCTTTTATTTCATAACATTAAATCCCGACATGCATCTTCTAAAAGCTCTAATAAGACAAAGATAAGATTTGCATCCCCATACAAGTGTCTTTTTCAATTGATTATGAAGCCGCCATTGATGTGCGAGAAATTGATGTTTTCCTCTGTTCTTAAGGGCGGCTAATAGAAGGGGCGGGCTTTGAGGAGGAGACTTTGCCACTTTGATCTTCAATCAGTAAAAAATCCCACTTCTTCTTTGTCAGACTATATTTGGTAAATAACAGTGACAATCTGTTGGGGCCTAGAAACAGAGTGAAAGAAAGAAAGAGGGAGAAAAGAAAGGGAGAGGTGTGATGAAGTGATGAAGAAGGGTTGAGTGATGACTGAGGGAGAACAGGGCGAAAGATGAGGATATCTAATATCTTGATAAATGTAAAGGTTTTAAACAGGC